GAATTCTATGAAATGAAATTTAACCAAAATGATTAATGGATCATATTTTTATTATTCCAAATCTATATTCTATTAGAAATCAACAAGAGTAAATCTGAAATAGCTCTTTAAATATTGCACTTAAGTTTCTTAGAAAATTAAATAAATATTTTTTGTTTAAAAATTAATACTTGTTTGTAGTAATTAATAATACAAATACAATTAATTTAATTTAGAATAGTTAAAATATTAATGAATTGTTAATAGAATTGTTGATACATTTGTAGTCATATTTCGTATTATTGTTTCTAAAATTTTACATTTTATTTAATTAAATTGCATTTTACAATAATGCATATCATTAAAAATAAACTAAATGAATATTTGAGGTTATAATCAAATAATAATACATATTTATGATTAGAATGAAAATAAATTTATATACAAAAACACAAGTAGTAAAATAAAGAATCAAATATATGAAATTTTCTTATATCCATTATACTTTGACAATAGTTTATTCTTCTATAACTCTTTTATTGAAAACCTCACTCTTTTTTGTTATGTAAAATTTCTTTTTTCTTGATCCTATTGTATTTCTCTATTTTTCAGAATACTCTTAGGTGGTATTTCTGGGAGAGTATTGCGAATAAATACACTTTTTGATCTACTTTTGATTCCATCTGATTTATTAATGACATTTAAGTCAGTTATTTCATCTAGCTCTCTTTGAGATAGATTTTTTGTTTCTAACTTCTAAAATGACTCGACTATACTGATATTTGTTTCTACATCTTAATTATATTTATCTTCATCTTAAGAGAGTTTTAATTTAAGCTCATCTAAAGTTTCCGTTATCACTGTACTCTAATCGAAAGTCATCTTAGAACTTTAATCCCTAAAGCATTCTCTTTTCAGTTTATGTTGTCTTATATCTGAAATTGATGAATCACAATTTGATAATTTTTTTGCACATATCTATTATATTTGCCCCATTTATGTAATAATAAATAAATATAAAGAAGTTTATAAAAAGTAATGAATATTTTATATAGTTTTCTCTTTCATAATTAATAAAAACTAGATATTGAATAAATTCTTATTCAAATTTTATCATTCAGAACTTTAGAATTACATTATAAAATAAAAGGTAGAAAGGAAACTTTATTTTTTTAAAACCTTTTCTAGATCTGAGATTATTGAGTATTTGATCTATTTTTCAATATACTGCTAGGCTTATATGTTGAGTTTAATTATTTTAATCCATTATTAATAAGTTAAGTAGCACTTAAAGACCTATAATATTGTTATTTTTTCCTTCTCAAATGTTTTATATTCTTAAGAGATTCTTTATTAATTGAAAATTTATTATCTGCAGAGATTGAGCGACTTCTTTTATTGGATGAACAATAATAGCCTGTACTTATGGACTTTCTATTAATTAACTCTTCATATGTTGCCATAATTTATAGTAAAGAAGTATCATCATCTGGATTGATTTGTACAACTTAATTAAAAAGTGGTTATTTAATATAAGTCATATGTATTTCATTATCATTTATCTTATTTTATTACACATTTGATTAAGATTAAGGACAGCAAAAACAACTAGGATAGGATCCCATTTTTATAAAAGTTAATTATTTTAAAGAATATTCATTTTGGTCACTTGAATATAAGAGCAAAAAATAAAAAAAATTCTTGAATATTTAGTATCATTATTAGATTCTAGAATACTTTTCTTTTTATATTATCTCATTCTTTTCATTTGATGAAATAAAGCTCTTAAGATATAGAATAGTATATATTTGATCAAATTTCGTTACATAAAAGTCCATTTGCAATTAAAATATGATTTTAATAAATTTTATGCTTTCATCCTTTAATAATGATTAAAATACCAATATTATAATTAATTTAAGTGCAATTAATAACAAAGAAAAAGCTATAGTCTATTATTTTAAGTATTATTATTAATCTATTTAGTTTGATAATTTTATATTTGTCTATCCATCATGAAAATATATAAATATGTAAAGGATGAAGAGAATATATTTTAAATTCTTATCTTTATTATTATTTAAGTCAAATATATTATATTTACTTCAATTACTTTAAGTTGCTGATCAATATATCAATTTTATCATTTCGTTATTATTTATAATCCATAAATGTATTCAAATTTTTTTTATGGCAATATAAAATCTTTAGATATGAATATTTTTTAATCTAGATTCAATTGCTTTTGAGAAATTTATAATATATGAAATTACTAAAGTTAGCATAAGCCTCCTTATTGAATTTTAGTATTTGCTAATAATTAAAAAGGGAATTATTTTTATTGAAAGCATCATTTGTAATAAGTATTTCATTAATATAAGAATAATAATAATAATTTAATATGTAGGGATTAAACAATTAAAACTACAACCCAGGAGTGAGACCAAAAACCTTAATTTGTTATATTTGTGGAAGAGAGTATTAAAAATTATTTAAATAGATATGGGACAAAAAGTTTAGAGATTCATCTTAAGACTTGCCAAGAAAAGTTTCTTATGGAGGAAGCAAAAGTATTGTTTTCAATATTTCTTCAATAGAAACCAAAAAATTAGAGGAGACCTTTACCATAACCTCCAAAAGCTATAGGTGGAAGTGGAAATTATGATACTGAATCATATAATGAGCAAGCATTTAGTGCATATAAAGAATAGAGTCTTGAGAAATGTGCATATTGTGGAAGAACGTAAAACAATATGAGTTATCACTAGTTTCAATAGAGAAAGTTATCCTATCCATTTAAAAATTTGTAAACCAGATAAACCATTTAAGCCTCTTCCTGGATTTGTTTAGAATCCAAAAGAAGTCCAGTAATAAATGAATAGAGATAATGGAGGAGCTTAATAAGGAAAATCAAATTCTAATGGCTATTCAGGAGAATATAAGGCTCCTGTTAGACCAAAGACTTTGGTATGCTACATTTGTGGGAGAGAATATGGTACTAAATCTCTGGGAATTCATATACCTTAATGCAAAGAAATGTTTATTGTGTAGGAAATGAAGAAACCAAAGGCAGAGAGAAGGAACCCTCCAACCACTCCAAGAGGCCTATGGGATTTATTAAATAAAGAAGATATTACTATGGAAGACATTATTGCATATAATAATGGAGTAATTTATTTGTATTAATAATGTACAGGCATTTAATAAATACAATAAAGAAGCCTTAGTTGCTTGTAAGAATTGTGGTAGAACATTCAAACCCGAAGCTCTGGAGCATCATGTAAAGGCTTGTACTGCTGATAACCCTTTCAAAGCTCTAGATGCTGTTGAAGAGGGAGGTACAGTTGAATTAGTCCCTTGTAAGAAATGTGGAAGGAAATTCTTACCATCAAGGGTTGAAAAACACGAAAGCAATTGTAAAGATATAAAGGGAGCATCATAAACATAAGCAAATGGATTTTAGAAATAATAATAATAATAATAATAATAATAATAATAATAATAATAATCATAATCATAATAAAATTAAATCTTTGAAACTCCATAATAAAATCAAAAATAATAATCTAAGTAAGTTTAAAAATAATAAAGTTTTTCAAAAACATCTGTTAATTTTAATGATAAAAGTTTAAAATGTAAATCTTTTTAAACAATTTTTAGGCTATAAATGTTTTTAAGATTGCAATAATGTATCAGATTTGAAACAACATGTGTAGAATTGTAAAAATTAAGGTGTGAAACCTTAAATTTATGATGATTTAATATAAATACCAAATCCATCTTAAGCCTTATAAACTATTTATATGAGCTCAGTGTTTGAGAATTTTTAAAAAAATGACAATAACAATTAAAACCTTAATGAATAACCAAAATAAATGCCTAAATAATAACCTTAACAGTAATAAAAATAATAAATATAAAATTAAAATAATTATTCTGATGAAGATCAATAAAATTAAGAAGATGAACTAGATTTAATTGCATGTGAAAAATGTGAGAGAAGATTTGCATAAGACAGAATAAAAAAACATATGAAAGTTTGCAAAGGCAAATAATATTTTGAAAAAAAAGAGCATATTGTTGAAGTTCAAAAGGCTCCTAAAACTGGATGGAGGAAATATCATGAAGAATTTATTAATACTGTAAAATATAACAGACAACTTAAAAAAATATAAGAGGAAGGAGGTGATATTAAATAATTGGGACCTCCTCCTGTATCTTCAAATAGCAATTATATTTAATGTCCTTACTGTAAAAGAAAATTTGATCCAAGTAAGGCTGATAAACATATATCTATATGTTAAAATGTAGTAAATAAACCAAAAACTATCCAAGAAAAGAAATAAAATTAACAGTTACCCGTATCTTAATAATAATAATAATAATAATAATAATAATAATAATAACTAACTCAATAAAACTATTTGCAATAATAAAAAATTCAACACTCAAATTAATAACAACAAAATACATCTAATCCAACATATGGAAGGGTATTTTAATTGAATGATGAAAATCCATTATAATAATAATAATTGAAATCTTCTTAGACAAGATAATCAATTACTTCATTAAAAACTCCATAACCTCCTTCAAAAGCAACAAATCAATAATAACAATTATTATCTCCACCCTAACCTACTAATCAATTTAGAATAAGATCACCATAATCAACATAAAAAACATAATAAGTAAAATAATCACAAAATCCTACAAAAATTGAAAACAATATATTCCGACCTCCAACTTTTGGAAGAACTTAAGAATTAACAAAACCTAATTCTTAATTGTAATTAAAACCTTTAAGTTAAAATTAGAATATGTTTAAAAAATTTTGAATTCAAAGTCATTTTAAAATTATATTTTTTTTAATTAAGAATTAAACTATTGTAATTTCTATACATAAGTATCAAATTAAAGATACAATTTCAATTTAGAGATGATCTGAGATTTGATATCTTTTAGGATTGAAGATATAGAGATATTATATATATATATATTAATGAGAATAAATAAAAATGAAATAGATAGTTTTTTCAAATAATAAAAATAAGCTTAATTAATAGTTCATTATTTTGTATTGTATGAACCACAATGGCTACATTTTAAATAGTAATTAGAAGAAATATCCCTTGAAATTTATCTACAATCCAAACATTTGATTGAAACTTTCTAATTTTAGATTTGAGCAGGTAACAATTATTTTACATCCTCAGCTAATTTATCATATTATTCAATTTCATTTATAGTCATTCTCTTTTAATATATGAGATAATTACAGCAATAGGAATACTACAAAGTGGACAATTTCTTTAATTGGATTAAATTAATTGGTTGAAGCATTTTGAATGAATAAAGTGTGCACAATTAGGTAATTACATTATATAATTTGTAGAAACCTTTAGATTTTGTAAACAAATAGGACAATCATTATCGACTACTTGATTTAAACATTTATGTGAATTTTATATTGATTTTGATAAGCAGATGCCACATACATTACAATGAAAATTTTGTTCTTTAACTCCCTAGATTAATAATAATAATTACTCTTCTGCACATCTTACATTAATCACAATGATACACATCTTTATTAGGATCATCATCATATAATTTACAAATAGAACAAAAATATTTAGCAAATTGTATTCCACATTATATACACTTATTAGTTGGTGGTTGTTCACATAAACATTTTCGACATCTGATTGTTGTAACATTATATCGATCCATGATTTCTGTTTTGCATCCATTAGAATTTGGTCCTTAATAATTAGCATCATGACAAAGCCTACAAGGGTAAAACTTACCACAACAAGGAGCTTTCTTATCACAATTTCTTTAATAGTGTGGACAATTCGGTATAGGAGTTATAATCTTTTTTTAAACAATTTAGTAAAAACATAATTTTTGGAATGACACATCATTATCTAATTATTTCTTATATTCATTTATACTGAGGTTTATATAATTAACAAATATATGTAATAGTAGAATCGATTGAAGAGAGCATTTTTACATCCTGATATATATAGATAAATAACATAAACATTTGGAAATTGGATGAGCAGAATAATTAGTTGTAAATCTTGCATTAGAATTGCAGAAAAATCATTATGTTAAAATCTATACTCCACATCATGATCCTCATCATTCATTTACAGAACCAATTGGATAAAAACCTGTAAAAGTAGGAGGGAATATTATACCAGCTAAGTTTTTTGGTAATGATTTAAATAATGAATAAGAAATTGTACAGCAATATGTGCCTATAAAGAATGATCTTAGCAACTTTGTATAAATATTTTTTAGTCGTTCTTGGGATGTTATCATTATTGATTAAGTATCTATCTGTCTTTCTTTGTTTTGGTTATTTAGAAGAAGAACTATATTTTATTGTCATTTTCCTGATAAATTATTATTTTAGAGAGAAAATCGTTTATTAAAAAAATTTATAGATTTTTCTAGGATTCATTGAATAAATTAGCATAATATTTGCTAATTTAGTATTAGTAAATAGTGAAAAATAGTTATAAAAGCATTCCCTATTTATAATTAATATGGTAGATAATCAGAAGTATTGTATTCAGCAATATAATTCTCTAAATTTGAATCACCTCCTGATTTAAATAGACATGATAGTACATTAATTACAAATAGCTATTTCATATCTTTAAATAGATATGAAAGAAAGAAGAATATTGCTTTAGCTATTTATGTTTTTGCTGTTTTTAGATAATCATTGAGTTAGGATGAAAATATTGAAACTATAAGATTAGTCGTAGCAAGAGGATATGAATAGAGAGTTGAAGAAAATGCGTAACCTTTGATTAATTAAATTAGATTGCTTAAAGATAAAATATTAATGAATAAGTTACTTTTAAATAAAAATTTCAGATACTGAAAGAACATGGTTTATGTCAATGCATTAGCTGTACTATATACCAGAAAGAGAACATTTAGGCATAGTTTCATTAGAAGCTATGTATAGTTAAGTTTCTGTGATTGCATGTAATTCTGGAGGTCCAAATGTATTTATTTGATTAGAAATTAATAGGAATCAATTTAGAATGGAGTAAATGGATATTTGTGTGATTCTAAGACTAATGAATGGTGTCAGAAAATGATTGAGATACATTAAAATAAGAAACTGAGTAAAAAATTGTGAGAACGGGAAAGGGAAAGAATTTAATTATTTGGATTTGCATAATTTTAAATACAAATTGATAATTATGTAAAGATGGTAACTAAAAAATAAAAATAAAAATAATAATGAATATTAAAGGTTATTTTGGAATCATTTTATTATTATATTACATAAAAAATTGCGTAATACTTTAGAATTAAATCCAACTTACATAAAATGACATCATTTTTTAAAATAAACATCTTTTCTTCTCCACACGCTGAACAACTACTATAGATTATCTAGATCATTTAATTAAACTAGCAAATATGCTTTTAGATTATACTTCTTAAGAGGTAAGCTTATCAATTTTAACTAATCTTAGGTTGTGATAATAGATAGCTAACCATATTATAATAGAAGGAATTTCTCAATTATACTAAAATTGATCCATATGGTAATTCCTTTTTGATGTACAATACGAATGAACTTAAAAATAAGATAAATTAATGGAAATTAACTCTTCCTTGGATTACACCTTATTACGCAATTAAGAGCAATCCTATTGAACCTTTATTATAAGATATCATAAATGGACCATATGGAACTTTTGATTGTGCATCAAAAGGAGTAACGTATAGATAATATCTTTTCAGGAAATCTAAATGGTGATTAAATATGGAGTTCCTGCTTCAAAGTTGGTTTATAGTAATCCAGTTAAAGAGGAAAAAGACATATACTTTGCAAAAAATAAAGGAGTTTTAATAACAAGTGCTGATAGTATTGAGGAATTAATCAAGATCCAAAAAATAGCACCATAGATGAAGATATTATGGAGAATATCTATTGTTGAAGAGAACCCAGAATAAATGGCTACTCTTTTTTCTGGTAAATTTGGAGATGACATGCTAAATATAGATGCTGCTCATAAAAGATTTAAGTAAATTCAAAAAATGAAAATTTAATTACATGGTATTCATTTTCATTGTGGTAGTGCTGTATAAGGATCATCCTCTTTTGGAAAAGTATTTAATTTTAATATATTTAGGCTATTGATTTGGCTTAAGATTGTATGAGAATTGGAAGATTGTATGGACATAAGATGGAATTATTAGATGTAGGAGGTGGATTTCCTACTGGAAGTATTCATGAAAATGCAATTAATGCATTAAAAAAAACACAAAATGATCCTTTAGGATATGAAGTAATTGCTGAACCAGGAAGATATTTTAGTGCTAATTCATGTTCACTTTTGTTTAGAATTTTGACTAAAAGAATTAAGCATGGTAGATTATGTTATCATGTTAATGAATCTTTGTATCATTCTTTTAATTGTTTACTTATGGATGGAATATCATTTGAAAATTAAAAAGATCAATTTTATAGTGTTCTTAATTCTAATGAATCTTAAAATTCTTAAATTTCAAACCAATCTGATGCCTCAATCTTTGGTATGACATGTGATGGAGCTGATGTTATTGCTAAGAATATTACAGTTCCTACTGATATGCATGTCGGAGATTGGTTATGCATGTAAGGTATGGGAAGCTACACAGTTGGGCCTAAATCAATATTCAATGGAATGAAATCAACTACTAGAGTATATTAATGGTCTGGCTTACTAGAATAGTAAAATTAATCATCATCTTCAATAGCTATTAAATAAATTTTCTGATCTATTATATTTATAAAAAGGATGCATCTATTTAATTTAAAATGAATTTGATATGATTATCTTTTAAATCTTATTGGATTCTGAAATCTTTATCAAATATTTATATCATTATGATATTAAATTCAATTAAATTGATAGACTTAAACTTAATTTTACTGGAAAGGAAACTTAAAAATTGGATTAATATTATAAAACTGAATTTATATACAATTCAAAAAAAAGTTATATTTGAGATTATAATATGATAATTTCAAGTTAGTTATATTCATTTTTTCATTAAAATTTACATAGCCTTTTGAATCTCTATAATAGCATCCAATTATGGAGCAACATATTTCTATTTGTAATTTTCGCCAGGTTTTCTTTCAAATTTAGTTTCATTAACTTTAGGCCTCAGTTAATCTTCGGTTGAAACTAAAATTATTTTAATAGTAAACTTTAATTTGTTCTCTTATATAATTCTTTTATTTATTTTTGCTGATTTGTTTATCCAACATTATTTGTTTGTTATTATAATTTTGATTTTTTAAATTCTAAGAAATCTTAATATTCATTATCATCAATTATTTTTTGTTATTTTTTTGCTGCTTCTTTAAAATGAATAAATTCTAAATATTCTTAATCTATTTATTAATCATCATTTTTTAATAAATTTAGTTTCTTTTCTTCCTTATGACCATTCTATTAAGGTATTGGAGGTCTAGAAGGTCTTTACTAATGCTAATAATTATTATTAACATCATCTTCGTATTATTTAGGATAATTCTATGATTAATAATAATCATATTCATCTTAAATTGGTTATTAATAATGATATTAATTTTGTTATTAAAATACTTATTACTGTTAAGGTACATATAGATTTGGAGATGGACTATAATATTATTATTAATATTAAATTGGATATTAAGTCATATGTGATTTTGGAATGACATTTTATTCTTTAAATGAATTTCTTTTTCTCTAATCGTTTTATTATTATTGTTATGGATTTGGAATATTTTCATCATAAGATCTTTTCCTTTAATATTATGGTAGAGGAGGAGGAGGCATTTAATAATTATTTTGTTAATGATGAACATTTTCTTATTGATAAAAATGAGGATTATATTATTGTTCTGATAGAGGATAATTGTCATAATAAGCTTACATAGGCATTTTTGGATTTTATAACATTTTAAGTGCAAAGTTAGCATTATCTATTTAATTTTGATGCCTCTATTGTCTATCATAATAGTTAACTTATGGTTAGTAAGGGATTGGAATATTATTTTAATAATAATATTCTAATGGATTATGATTATTATAATGTTATTGTTAACCTCTTTCTAATTATGCATATGTTGAAAAAGCATTATACTTTCTAAATTCATTAAATTCATCCTTAGGTGGTTATTGTTCTTATTCTTCTTCTTCTTCTTCTTGTTCTTCTTCTTCATCTTATTCACTCTCTAATTCTTAACTGTCTTCTTCACTCATTTATAATTCAAAATCTAAAAAAATTGATTAAATTAATAAATAAATGGAAACTCATGACAATTATAGAAGTTACCACAATAATAATTCAAGTTTTTTTGAACCTAAGTATTTCTTAATGTCTATGATATTGTTGTTTATCCTTTATTTTATTGTAAAAAATAGCAATAATAAGAGAGAGCCAATCAAAGTAATAATCTGATTTATTAATATAGGATAAAGTTTGGAGAAAGTTTGCATTTTCATATTAGGAAATGATGAATACATTTGATAGTACAGATAAGGAACTTCTAAAAAATACTTTTCATAATACAATCTTTAATACTAAGCCATCTCTTGTTATGAATGATGTTAGAAAATTCAATAAAAAAAATCTTAGCGTGTAATTTGATTTAAATAAAAATGTAACACATTTATTTCAATATAATGGATATTGAGAATAGCTTAACTTATTGAGAATTTTATTAATTAAACACACACTTAATTTATACAATAAGTTTTTCATTAAAAGAATTTTTCTATATAATTAAAATTTAATCTCAGCCTTAATTGGTATTACGTATTTATATTTTGTTATTCAATCTCATTAAGCGTATTAATTTGAATAGGATAAAAATGTCCAAAGAAGTTGTAATCGTTGAATTTTATGCAAATTAGATTAAGTCCTCATTTCAAAAATGGTTGGTCTTATTCTCATATTCAATAATTGCGTATTACAATTTATAATAGTTAAAGAATGGCTAATGTAATGTAATTGGTAAGTTACAGTCCAATTTGGGAATCAGCAGCAATATATTACGGAATCCCTCCGTAAGATTTATAATGGATAGGGAATATGTATTATATCACCTTTTTTGTTTTGGCTCCTTTTTGTATAAAGCCATTATTAGTAAGATTGGATATTAGTATGCATTTGATAGGAGTAATAAGTGCTCTAGGGTATTATGGTTTAACAATATTATTTGAAGGGCATGGATAATATGGATTGGAGGATAATCATATTTAATGACTATGATAGGTTTATTTATAATTGGAATTAGTGATGCTATGATATTAATAGTTCCAGTTTGTAATTAAATTGTAAATAATTAAGTTCTCTCTGAAAAATGGTTTTCTATATATTAGAGATTGTTGGCTACTAGTCTAGGTAGTTTTTTTTAATATATTGGAATGGCATTTGCTTATGGATTTTCTTCATTTTATTTTGATATAACAGATGAACAGAGTATTGTAAATACAAAAATAAATGAAATGAATTTGATTATTGCCATCTTTAATACAGTAGGAGCAGTTCTCCTTTTAATGTTTTTCAGAAATAGACCTCCTCATCCAGCTTCAAATTCAGATGTATCATATCTATAAATATGTATATAAAGAATATAGTAAAAGATACAATTTGGAAATCTACTGTGAAAATGTTAACATAAGAAGAATCAGTAATTGATTTATTATCTTTAGGAATTTGTAAATCTATTAAATTATTAAAAGTTATTGGATTAGGTTGGGTGTACACAACTATTATATCTTTTGAATTGTATCCTTTTGGTTATACACAAGTATTTTATTAATTTATAAATTTTAGGCTGAAGTTGCAATCAATGGAACTGTTTATTAGATTTCTGGAGTGGCAGTTGGTTTATGGGCTTCGATCAAATTAGATTCATAAGCTAAATAGGGAATATAACCTGATTATGACAGATATATTAAGATATTTACAAGCATAGGAATGATCACATTGATTTTAGAAGCATTTATCATTGAATATTTAGAATTCTGGATGTTGCTTTTTGTTAATTTTGCCATGGGTGTGGGTCTAAATTCTTTTTATCCAATAGCTATATAAGCTTATATTGAGAAACTATACCCTGCTTCTGAATTAGTATTGGTTACTGGATTATTGTGTTTAGCAAATGTATTTATTAAAATAATATTGAAAGATGGTTGGATTTGTATTGAATTATTTAATTGTTTTACCAGAATTTGAATAATTTGGATTATGGATAGGATGTTTGACAATTACTCCAGGATATTTATATATCTTGTTAAATTATAAAACAAAATATAGAAGATTTGAATAAGAAATTTGATAATATTAATTATTTATAAAAATACATTAATTGGTGTTCTTATGGAAAATAAGGCCATAAAATATTTAGGAATGGGCTTAAATGTTTTAATCTCTGTTTTTCTTGCTCTTACAGAATGTTTCATCTATGAACTCTCTGATTCGATTATAATGGATATTGTTTTAATTTTATGTGGAACTTTTTTTTCTTGGATTTTTATTACTCAACAATTAGGATGGAAAAAAGGTAAACTTCAATATTACATTTAGGAGATATATCACCTTTTTTTTATTGGGCTTTGGCAATTAAAAGAATAACTCTGGTTGGAACATATAGAAGTGAATTTATATATTTCTTGTTTGGCTTTTTAAATGGAATCTATTCAAGTAAATTAGTTGTGAAAGATTAAAAGAGGTATTTTTAGAAGGCTAGAACTTCTTTTTAAGTTATATTGATATTAGTTTTAATATTATTCAATTTCTTAACAAATACCTTTCAGTATCAAATAATCTTAATAATCTTTAATATAATTTTATTACTTCTATTAGGAATATATGATAATATTGAAATTTAACCTATTAATTCAAAATAATAAGATTTTAATACTGATTAAAGGAACACATAAGCAGAATTGAAAAAGTGTTAAACAATTATTTAATAATATCAATCAAGCAAATCAATATGGGAATAATTTAATTATCTAACAGATGATTGGATATGTAAAATTGATATAAACAAATATAAATTTAATCGAAGTTGGGAAAGTAAAGAATAAAGTTTTGTTTTAAAGAATTTTTTATAAGAAAATAAAACGAATTTGAATTAATTTTTAAATAGTTTAATAATTGTTGGATAATCCTCTAATGCATCCGTTTAATTATAATATGAATTATAAGAAAATAATACATTATTATAATGGTTAGAGAAGAATTATTTATAAGAAAATCGGCAAAATTAATAAAATTTTGAAAAATAGAAATAATTAAAAGATACAAAAACTAATAAATAATAAGTTTAAGATGATTAATAATCAATTCTATCACCTTAGAATGATGGCAAATATATAATTTAAAAAGATCAATCTCAAGATTTTTCTAGATTATAAGCTACTCCTCTAAATATGGATTAATAAGTGTTTGCAAATAAAAAATTCTTGCAATGTTAATTATGTCTTAATTAAATTATCTATAATTTAAATTTATCCATATTTTTAATTGATGATGATAAATCTAATGAAATAAAATAATAGTCTATTATTATTTAAATGAAAAATATTGATAGGTTAATTAAAAGTGAAATAATAGATTAATAAAGAAGTTTATTTTATAGATTTATTAGTCGATTGTCATTTCATTCAAGTTAAATGTTAAAATCAGTTTGTCTTATAAAAAAATCTATTTAATTATAATTAAAGTATATATCATAAATTTATTTAAAGAGAATTTGATAGTATCAAGTCAAGTAATTTTAATTCTTCATTTAATGATATTGTATTAAGAAAATCAGAAAGACATATCGGAGGCCTTTTTAATGCCTAATAGACTTTTGCAAATCAAACTTCAGAATAAAATACAAATTAAAAAATTACTTCAACTCATAGTAATCCTCATGAAAGTTAGATTTTGAACATGTAACAATTATAAATTGCATATTTCTAACAATCTTAGGAAATATTTAAATAAATCGAAAAATTAAATTTCGATTTAATAATTATGAAATAAAACAATTTTAATTTCTTTGAATTATTTAGTCATACTAAATTAGATATTGAATAATTTAATATATTAAGTAGTTTTAATATTGTCAAAGATATTTTTTAATAAAATCCTCTCTTAAATCAACACAACATCATAATTACTTAGGAAATAAATCATGAAACTTAAGTAATAATTTAATCTGATAGATAAAAATTTAAATAAATTTTAATTAATATAATTAACAATTCAATAGAAAACTTTGAACATAATTTTAATATAAAAAAATATTAAAATTATGAAAATCCATAGATTCAATAAAGATATTTAAAATCAAAATAGGATTTAAAACAATAAAATATGATAGTCATTAAAGCATAAAGTGATTAAGATAGGATTATAATAGAAATCTAAGATAATGGTGGAGGTATAGATGAAGAATAGCTTAAAAATAGATTGAATGAATGTAAATTTGGTTTAGCAGCAAGTTAAAAATTATTAAGATATTTGGCATATGATACTAGAAAACCTTTAGAAATTATTAATTATGAAAAATGCACAACTGGAGTTAAAGGCACTATTATTAAATTTGTTCTACCAATAACATTTGATAATTTTTAATAAAATGAAGATAGCAATCAATCAGAATCCCTGATAATTAGCAATATAAGAGATAAAGTTTGATCATAATAATTGTATTATTCTTTTTTTATTTTGATAATTCCACTAATATTTCAAAATTCAAAATACTTATTTTTTTTATAATTAAATTTACCAATCACTTTTAGTTTCATTATCTTAAGAATTATTAATTAAACCTTGCAATTTAAATATTCATAGAAAAAAGAGTATTAATTAATATAATGAATTATAATAGTTCTAAATATATTATTAAAAATAATATTCATTCATTTATTAATTCAAATCTATAGAATCCTTTATAATAATAATAGTAATTAAAAAAAAAATAATAATAATATATATTAAAAGATCAAAATCAATATATAATTTATAATCTTAATTAATTAATTCAAAAGCTAAATATCACAAATAGTTTCAATATTGGAGTGTTTAAAAGTTTTAAGAGGGTCTTTTTTCAATTCTAATTTTTGAAACCTCTAAATATTTAGGTAAAGAGAACTTTTTTCTTAATGAATTAAATTGTTTCTTATCCTGTCCTTATAAAAGATTACACATTTCTTTTGCGCATGTTCTGATATCTATTTCATTTAAGCCAGTAATTGAAACCATCTAGTCTTAACTCCAAGAAGGATGAATTCTTCTGATTTTATGAACTAAATAAATAGCTGCACTTGCTAATACATTATTTGAATATTGAATCATAGGATATTCTAATAATGAAAGTTCTATTAAGTATCTAAAAGTATTATTGAAATATACCTACAAAGCATAAAATTTTTTTATTCTAGTTTTGCTGTTTCTTAATATATATTTAACATTCTGTATGTACTAGTAGTTAAAAAATCAAAGGAAAGTAGAGATATAATTTAACCCTCTGCTTATAGTATTTCTTCTTTAGGATATGCATTATCACATACATAAACTAAATCTCTTACATGAGGAACAGAGTATACTTCTTCATATTTAGATGCTATAAATAATGCTGCCACTCCATAAAGTTAAAATTTAGATTTTGGTATCTGATGTAATTCAAGTACTCTCAAATTTAGGTAATAAATACCTATCAATTATTGATATTGTTAAAAATAGTGTTTCTGGTTCTAATTTGAATTTATGATGTACATCTATTAACCAATCTAATAGAATACTGCGCATTTTTTCTGTAATTTCTGTTTAAAATTGGAAAGCGGTCATTTTAAAAATAGATTTACACTATAATTTAATATATTAATTACGCTTCTTTCTCTCATAAATGTAACAATTTCATTTTTATATGTATTTACCATTTAAGGATTTTCTATTTTTTAGGGTAATTAAAATGTTTTATTAATTAAAATTGTAGTGATTCCACTTGTAATACTCAAATTTCTTCCATTTTTTAAAGGCATAGGCATATTTGAATCTGTTTTTACTCTTTAAAATCCTTCTCTAGTTCTATTGCTCTATTCTTCATTTAATTTCAATTGAGGTTTTTGAGGAGGTATTATAGAATGAAATGAATTTGATGATTTTTCTCTTATGGCTAGAGATGATTAGACTCTTTAATGTTTTGGTGCACAATAAAAATTTTCTTTTTAGTAGTCTGCAACACAAAAAAGTCTTGGAATTTAATGTGCTTTCATTTTGAATATAAATTATTTAACTGAAAAATTACTATTTATTTTAAAGAATAATATTCATTTGATTTTATTTTTTGTGAATTTATTTTTCTAAGGGTGAATCTTTTAAAATAGAATAATCTTCTTTGTTTTAAATATTTATAATTTGATAATTGAGCCATTCAAAATAAATTGCTTCTTTAATAAAATACATTGTTATTGATTTATTTCAATTTATGGATCTTAAGTATAGTTTCATAATCTGTTCAAAACGACTAATAAATATAGAAAATTTTATATTAAATAAGAATAATCAATTCAAATGATAAAATAAGTTAAAATTATCATAAATAAATAGATAATAAGATTCTCATGCTTTTTGATAATTTTATTTTTATCAAATTTATAATTTGTTTTAAAAATAGATCATAATTTTTCTCATTTATAATTGCTATTTTTAATTGAAATTTAGAGAATTTAAATATATTAAAGTGTATATAACCTCTAAATTTTTTTGAGATAGTCTTAATCTTTAAAAGAATACAAACATCTTATTTAAATAAAATTTTTATGTGTCATTTTGATTTTATTTATAATATGTATAATATAGTTCTGATTTTCTCTTTTGAATCCAAAATGATGCATAATTTTAGTTACCCATTTTTGATAATAGCCAAACCAATAAATACAGTAAAAGAGTGTTATTTTTTATAGAGTTTCATGTATATAAATTAATTAACAATATGCTACAAAAAATGTATAAAAATAAATAAAGTTTTGTTTATAAATTATTTTTTAATAGTTAATTAAAGATTTTTGTTTAAAAACAATTGTGATTAGATTTTGTTCTACAAATTAAGAATTCCCTTAAATTTAGATATTAATTTTATTTAATAAAGGAATAATAAAAGATCTATATCATTATCTTAGTAGTGGCATTTTCTTTTCACATAGAAACTTAAACAAAATTTTAGATGCTTATGAAGCTGGCAAAAATTCTAGTTGTACACAGGTAGAGGACCATTTGGAGAATCAATGCATGAGTGTCACTTGATGCCATTCATTTTTACTAAATATTTATAGGATGATTTTGATGTGCCTGTTATGATTTAATTGTCAAATGATTAGAAGTTTTTCCATAAGAGTTAAACTATATTCAAAGAATATCAAAGATATGGAGATGAAATGCTAAAGACATTGTAGCATGTGGATTCGATATGAACAAAACATTCACTTTCCTAAATTCATCATATGTAGGATACATTTATCATAGCATTTGTAAATTACAACATGCCATAACTTATACATAATTGAAAGGAATATTCAGTTTAAATGAATCTGATAATTGTTGCAAAGTATCTTATCCAACCGTTTTAACTTCTCCATCCTTGTCTTCATCATTTAAACATATCTAAGGAAAGGATGAAGTTATGTGTTTAGTCACTCAAGGTTTAGATTACTTCAAGAATGACTAAAGATTTATTTAATAAACTTAAGGTTCCTAAAGCTGAATGCATTCATTCCTTATTTCTACCAGGACTTTAGGGGGTGATTATGAATGGATTATTAAACAATACAAATATGGGCACTACAAATCCAACTTAAGCTATATTTTTAAGAGTAATTCCAAAAGAGATTGAAGAGAAAGTTAATAAATAATTAATTATTTTAGATAAAATAAACTGCTTTGTATGGGGATTGTAAGACTATAAATGGACTTAAATAAAAGGTTCTGATCTTTCAATAGATGTCCCATATGATTATTCGAGATTTTTTCTTGAAGATGATATTCGTCTATAAGAAATCAGAGATCTATATGGAAAGAGTATCATGATGACTAGTGAAATCAAGAAAGAATTAATTACAGTTTTTACTAAGATAGTAAAAGTTCACTAATGGGAGCTCTTGTGACAGATAATGTTGTATAAAAATTCAGGGAATTTAGACCTTTAAACAATTATCCACCTAAAAAGAATAATTGATATATAATAAAATAAAAAAAAATAATTATTAAAATGCTCACTGGTAAAGAAGAATTAGATAAAATCAATCCTAAAGTATCATTGTTATTTATTACATCTAAGAGTGCTAAAGGGAATGCTGAAAGTGAAGAATTGCCTTAATATCTAAGATCTTCATATTCCCAAACATATTAAATATTGGAACCAACTAAAATTCTAAAGGGAAAAAAAGTAAATATCATTCTTATCAATAATTAGGTTTTTCCTTAATTTGCTTATGGGAATTCTCATGAAGCTCCTACTTATTTTAAATTATCCAACTCTTTAGTTTGTAAAGAAAGTTACGATAATCCATATATAAAGAATAAAGTACCTCCATTAAGCAAGTTAGACTCTCTTAAGGGAAGCACTCTCAATAATTATGAATTTTATAATATCTCTGATTAGAGATTCACTAATCGAAAACCTACAGGTTACATAACTAATAAAATAACAGAGTATAAAATTAATCTCAAAATTAAGTACTATCACAAATTAAGTTAAATTTGTATAAAAACCATTAAATGATGACAAAGACTAAATGTTTACTTTTGAAAGTGCTTATAAATCCATTTAAGATAAATTATTTAATAAAAAACGAGGTATGATTTAATCTTTAAAATAAGAGCTTTTCACAGATTTTGTTGAGAAAAATGATTTACTTAATGTTTATGGGCCATTAAATATGAGAACAAGACCAAAAGAATTTAGAGAAGTCAAAAATTATGCATTAGATTCTGATTAACTCAAATTATTAAAAGAATAAAGATCAAGATAGCAAATCACTCCTACTAATAGAAGTGGATTTACTGATCTTATAAAAACTGTTCGATTACCAACAATTTCTAAAAATTAAGGATTAGATACAGATAAATATTATAACAAAGATTAACATTATCTCAATTAATTATCTAATTCAATTATAGTTGAAAAAATAGATGAGAATATCAAACATAAAAATAAAACTCTTTAAAGTTTCAATAAAAATAAACGTTCTATCAAACACAATACAGAAGACACTGAAAATATGTAAGGAATTATTGATATATTTGAAAAGCATTTAGAATTTGAAAAATAATATAATTGTTGAAATATAATTAAAATTATACATTTAATTCAAAATTGATCTGTGTAATAACTTAATTGTTCTTTTAATTTTTATATTTTAAAGTCCTTTTTATCTAATGCTTCCTATACTATAGATTCAAATTTTTTAATATCAGCATAATGCTACTATTTTTAATTCTATAGCTTCTCTTCATAATGTTGTTTTAATTATAGATTTTACAATCTTAATTATTCAATCTTTTCATAAGCTATTTTCTTTTCTTCTTCTAAATTTATTAACAGAGTTTCAATTTATATTAATTTATTGCTAAATTCCTCTGATTATTAAAGTGATTTAAAATTTTCTTCTTGCAAGAAGTGAAGTTATTCAATCAATTCATTTTTGTTTTCTTAAATATCTTATCTTTAATATTATGCTAATTATAACTATAGATCCTTTTTATCTTATAAAATCTTATCTATGAAAACTACATACTCTTATAAAATTGTTTAGAATTCATTTTTCTATTTTAATAGATCAGCCTCTAACTTAGACTTCCTAATTAAATATATAATAAATACATTTCTAATTTCATTTAAATTATTGTTTCTTTAAGTTTACGATTTTCTAAAGCCAAATTATTTTCTTCGGTTAAATATGGTTATGCTCTTTTTGTTTACATCTAAGGTACATCTACAGATAATTCTATATTCTCATCTGTGGGATGTGATTCCCATAATTTTTGGGTTAACTCTTAGTAAAATTTTTAATCATTTGAAAATTAACCTTTGGGAATTAAAGGGTGAACATCTGGAGACTTTTTTTTTTTTAATTAGGAATACATTTATTTATTTCAGTTAAAAAAAATTATGTATATTAACATCATTTTCTTCTCTACACATTTTTCAGAATTATAAAGATCCTCTATTTTTTCTAATCTAGCTCTGCGTTACGAATTTTATAATACTTTTCTGTAATCCACATTGTTATCTTTTAAATATTTACAAAATGAATAGGTTTCAAGTCCATCATTTTATTATTTTATAATACTCATTATTGCTGATAAATATTCAGGATTCTTTTTTCCAATCAAAATAACAAGATTTGAATTCAATATTAGATTCAAAACACCATGTCTATGATATCTTTCAATTTATTATAATAGTCTTCCACCAAAGATTTAGACTTATAAATCTGTTAAATTTTATTGTCTAATGGCTAATCTATAGATATCTGATCTTTTGTAAGAAAGATAATCTTTTAAAAGATTTAGAGATTTAACATCATTTAACAACTTAAATAAAGATGGCAATTACTTTTCTTAATAATTAGTTTTTTTCATAAACTCTGTTATAATAGTAGGTAATAAATCTTTGAAGATTTATGAATCTTAATATTAGAAACTTAAAATTTCATTTATAATTTTTAGAGGATTATCTTTGATTTTTTTATATAAGTAACTATTTAATTTAATTTTAAGTTTTTCATTCTTAATTACTGCATATGAATGAAGGGGGCGTGAGAATGCATTCTCTTCAGTTAAGAAGGAATCAACATCTTATCCACATATAAATTTTAAGTATAAAAGACCATTTTCTAGGAAGGAAAATTTACAAACTTAACTTACATAATCAGAAAAAATATTTAATTTAAATCTAGAATTAATGGTTAATTTCAATTTCCATAAACTTAAAATAATCTGAGATATCTTATTGGCTTATTGGACTGAATGTTGATGAGTTTCTAATAATAGTCTTTAAATAATTTCATCAATTAATTTTTCAACTTCTTATGTTGTACAGATTGGTTCAAGATTAATTAAAAATTATTAAATAAAATTAAGTGATATTTTTTAAGGTCTCAAACTTAATTATTTAAATAAAAACTCTTTAATTTTGATTTCTAAAACAGGATTAACTTCGTGAGGCAACAATGAAAAATTACTTATGAGCGAAAAGATTGTATGTTCATCCATGACATTAAGATTATCAATTAAGAATTATCTCATTTTAATTAGAATAGGATGTGATTCCAAATATGGGTTTAAATATTAATATTTCATTTTAAGTAACATAATGTAAAATTGAGTAACTTGTTAGAAATCATAAAAGAGTGAATTAGCATCATAATGAGAAATACAGAATTCAATGAAGGTAGAATTTACAAATTTCTTTTTATAAGATTTCATCATTTCACATCTAACTAAAAGAATCACTTCCATTGATGAAAGTGGTTCAGTGTATAATCGATCTTCAACTAATTAATAAATTTATGGTATAACCATATTTAAGACTTAGGAATCATACCAAATATTAATGTAATGTCTAATACTAAAATCAGAGCAATTTTATAATGTCTGATTTAAATTATTTGCTAAAATTTTATCATTAATATTTTCAAGTAATGATTATTGACCTTTCACTTAATATTTAGATTTAAAACAAAGTAATTCAAGTAAATCTATAGGAGTTAATTATTCAAGTTGATTATTTAATAATTTTGATATTTCCCCCATTCCTTATCGAAATATAGGTTCACTTTAATAATTTTTTACAGAATTCAAGAAATGAGCAATGATACGAATTGTAAGTAATGAATGTTATAAGCTAAATATATATTTATTCTTGTTAAATATATCTATCAAGATTTTAGGATCTACATGTTAACTAATGAGTGCCATCAATTCTTATTCATTTTATACAATTTTCACATCCTCTTTTGAAGAATCAATAATATCTATGTCATCATCTGATTCATGTTGAAAATTATCTTTAAATGAGAAATTTAACAAATTAGTTTGAGTAGAAAATCTCTATTTCAATAATGTTCTAAAAATTATCATAAATATTTTTAATATTTATATTTCATTTGGTGACAATTGTATTATTTCTAACAAACTCTAAAACTGATTCTACAGTTCTATTTTCACCTTTCCAAGGAATGGCCTTTCTTTATTTGTCAGCAACTCTAAATAATACAACATCAGGATATGAATGAGGTTAATAAACATCAGAAATTTCATTGTCAGGAGCATTTATTTAAGCTACTACAATATTGGGATTATCTCTCAATTCATAAGCAATTTAATCATAAAGTGGTTTAAATTATTTGCAAGCTCCACACCATGAAGCATAGAATTCTAATAAAACATCTTTCTTATTTTTGATAACTTCTTCTTCATAATTCAATGCCACTACTTTCTAAATTAATAATATAATATAATATTACCCTAACATAAGTATTCTCTTAAGTATAATCTGGTAATGGTTCAGATTTAATGAATTTTTCAACTTTACCTTATCTGAAATCGAAAATGAAGTTCTTAATTCCTTTTACTGTAAAATCTGGTCCATTATATTTATATTTTAATCCTTAATTCCAAGCAATAATCTTTGGGAACACATTGTCATCTGCTCCTAATTAATTTAATTAATCAAAAAATTTTTCATCAGTAATTTTTGCATATGAAAATTGATATGTTTTTTTAAACAATTAGGCTGTTTCAAGGAATGCTTTTTCAGCTTTAATTGATTACTCATCTAAACTACTAAATAATATAAAAGCAGGAGTAGCTCCAGAATATACTAATTTTTCTGATTATTCATTTAATTATGGTACATCAGGCAATTAATTTTGTAATAAAAATCTTTCAATATTTTATTTGGTAAATGCTTGATTGAATTATTTCTTCTCTGAGATTTCTTTAGAATAATAATATAATCTTCCTGGTTTACCTATGGGGAAAAGATATGAGAAAGCAAATGCAGCATTTGAATTTGTTTTACTCATTTCGAAATAGGTCCAATAATTAGGATCATTGATATTGTTTTCTGATCCTTAATAGAAGAGTACAACATCATTATCATTCAAAAATTGATTAAATTGATCTTATGTTAATATTTCTGTAGGATTTGGTCCATTGACTAACTAAAATATTATAGATGATATTTATATACTTATAACATCCATTAAAGTATAGAATCAGCACTTCTTTATCCAGTAAATTGAAAAGGTTTGCCATCCATGAAAAAGATGAAAGTAGGGAAAGATGATATTTTGAATTTTTCAAGAGCATATCTATCAGGATCTCTTTGTGAATCATAAGCAGCACAAGCAATGGAATGTTTGGATGCCTTTTCGGTAAGTTATTGATATTCAGGAGCAAATTATTTACAGGGAGCACACCAAGATGCATAAAATTCAATTAAAATTAAAGGATGGCCTGAAATCAAAGTATCAATATTTGTGGGCAAAGCAACAATAGGATGTACTACAGGTTAGGGTGTCTCAACAGGATTTGAATTTTCATCTTATACTGGTGTTTATGTAGGGTCTTATGCTAATAATAAAGCAATGAAACAGAATATTAGCTTAAATTTCATAATTAATTAATTCATGAACAAAGTTGAAGATTCTACAATAAAATTATTAGAAACAGAATAGAGTAAGAGAATAAAAGTATTTAAAATAGTAAAAGATTATGAAAATAATTCATGGAAAGATAAATTAAAAAATTTTTTGTTTTACCAATATAGAAATGTAGATGTACCTATAAATTAATAAAGTAATGTAATTAATAATTCTAAATATAATGTTATATCATTTCTACCAAAGGTGTTATATGAGTAATTTCATCAATTCATTAACATATTTTATTTGGGATTGACAATCTCTTAATTTATCTAGCCATTTAAAGCAGGATTTCTCATAGGATATTTGGAGCCTCTAGCTTTACTAGTGACTCTTAGTGTCATAATTATATGATGATATTAAAAGACATAAGAGAGATAGATAAATTAATAGTACGATATATAAACGTTATTTAAATAACTAATGAGAAGATATAACAAGTGGTTAGTTATAAATAGTAATGATCATAAAAGTCAATAATAATTGACGTATACCAGCAAAAATTTTAGTATTATGGGCAAGTGATGAACAAGTATTTATTCATACTGATTAATTGGATGGAGAAATAGATTGGAGATTAAGGAAACCAGTTTAATATATTTAAAAGAAAGAATTTCAAAATTTAGATTTAGCAAAATGTTAATTAAATTGTGATTGTCCTTAAGAAAATATATATGATTCACATGCAAACTATGATGAAATGAAGAAGAGTTTATAGATAAAATAGGCTATAGGAAATGTAGAAGATGATGCTATCTTAAGAGATTTATTATTAGCGATTGAATTATGTCATAATGTTACTCCCATAGAGGAGAATGGAGAAAGATAATATTAAGCCTCATCTCCAGATGAAGTAGCTTTAGTTAAGATAGCAGAATCCCTTGGAATAACTTTAAAGAATTGAGATTAAAATTTAATGATCATAGAATTAAATGGTTAAACTAAGAAATATGAAATTTTGTAAAACTTTCCTTTTTCTAGGGAGAGTAAAAGAATGGGAATGTTATTAAAATTAGAGAACCTCTATATTTTTATTTGAAAGGAGCTGATGCAATTATGAAATAGTTTCTTCCAGAAACATAACGTGGATTTGTAGATGAAGAATGTGAAATTTTGGCTAGAGAGGGATTAAGAACATTAGTATTAACTTAAGAAATTAATACAAGAGAATATTTTGAAGGATGGAAACAAAAATATGAATAAGCTTAATTTATTGAAAATGTAACTTAGAGATTAATCAAATTGGATATATTTAGAAAAGAATTAGAAATTAATATCTAATTTTAGGAATAACAGGAGTTGAAGATAAATTATAGGAAGATGTTAGTGCAACTTTAGAAAACATCAAAGATGTTGGAATCAATGTATGGATGTTGACTGGAGATAAAATTGAAACTGCCATTTGTAGAGCAATCTCAAGTGGAATTAAGTCTGCTACATAAGAGATATGTCTATTAAAGGAAATTATTGATGAAGAAACACTATTAAAAAAACTAAAATAATTTGAGACAAAAATCAATCAATTATTAGTTATTGATGGTACAAGTCTCTAAACAGCTTTTAAAAAAGAAGAAGATGTTGTAAAAAAAGTACAATTTAATCCAAAATATTATATTTTTATAATATTTTGGATTAAGCATTAGAGTTTCTACCAGTTTACAAATCATTACAAAGGAATAGAGATTTAAATTAAAAGACTTTTTTGATTTAGTGTTGGAAAGCTACTTATTAAGGAACAATTATTATGATTTTGGCTTTACTTTTATATCAGAATGTATTCTTGTTTATAGAAACAGCTGCTTTCACCTCTTTAATTATAACTGAATATTGTATGAGTTTTAGTGAATTATTAATATTCCATCATATTAGCTTAATTCATTTCAACAATTGGTTTCACTATATTTTATGTGTTATCCATGGTTCTGATTCCAGAAACCCTAGTAATTGGAGAAGTACTAAATGGAACTTTTTGGATTAATACTTTGATCATTATATTATTTAGTTGGTGTCCCATATTTATATATTTATTATATTATATAAACTATTTTTGAAAAATAATGGTATATCATTGATATTATTTATTCTTAGAATAGTAAACTAAGTGGGAAGATTAAAAAGGCTCCAGTTGTTGAGGAAATATAAAGTAAGATTATCAATTTGAATATAGGCAAGCCAAGAACCGAAGAATAAATATAATCTGTTGTAAAAAATGTTAGGAATGGAGATGTGTCTAATCCCGAAGTTGTCCTTATTGGGGAAGCTGAATTATAAAGAATGAAGGTATTACTTATATTTTCTATATTTCCAGAATAATGCTATCATAACGACCAAAGAAGAATAATTATACTAAAAAAAATTGCTAGAGGAATAAAAAGAGAAGTAGATGGCTGCAGCAAAAGCTAAAAAGCAAAAGATGTTACAAATGGAAGAAGAAAAGAAAAAATAAGTGCCTCTTTCAACTTAGTAAGAAGAAGATAAAGTGGTTAAAGATTCACTTATTGCAAGGGTAAATTATTGTTTTTATTCTTTGTTAGGCAGCAGAGATTATGAATGAATAGATGGATGATGTAAAGGAAATGAACAAAATGGTTATGTATGCAAAATGTGTAACTGTTCGAGATAAGCAATTATAAGAAAAGAAAGAACTTCATGAATAATATAAAGTATAAGAGAAACGTAAAGATTTAATGATGGAAATTGAAAGACTTAAATCTATTAAATATCATGAAGAAAAAGATAAACATAGAAAAATTGAATAAAAACATGGTCATGATATTATTATTGAATAAATAAAGGAAAGAGAACTTATTCGTTTAAAAGATAAAGAAGAATAAGAAAGAGAAGGATAAATAATGCTTAAATAAATTAAATAGCTGTAATAAGAAGAATAATAGAAAGCTATGCAGAAGAAGATTACTTAATAAAAAGTTTAAGAAGAAATCTTAGAAGCAAATGATAGAGCTATTTTAGTGAAAGAGAAAAGAAAATTGGAAGAAAGAGAGGAAGAAGAAATGATTGTCAAATACAATTTATAAAAAGCATAGAAGGAAGCAGAATTATTAGAAGAATAAAGAAGAATCAAAGAAGAAAAAGAAAGAGAAGTTTAAAGATTAAGAGAAATGCAAGAAAAAGCTTAAGATAGATAAGCAGAATTAGATGCATTAAGAGCAAAAAGAGCTATGGAATAAAATGAGAGATAAGCAAGAGAAAAAGAAAGAAAAGAAGCAGAATGGAAAATGAAATTAAATCATGAAGTTTAAGAAGCTAGAAAATTACAATAATTTGAAAAACAAGAACGATTAGAAGAATAAGTATATTAAAATATTTATATATTTTATTAGGCTAGATTAGAAAGAGATGAATTTTAAAGAGTAATATAGAAATAAAAATAAGAGAGAGAAAATGAATTAAAATTACATCATGAAAAAGAAGCATTAGTAAAAAAGCATGCTGATGAATTAAGAAAATAAATATCTCTTAATGAAGAAAAAAGAAAATAAGAAGAAAGAGATAAGTATATTCATTAATCTTAATATTTTAAGATTAGAGGAAGGTAAAAAAATTAGAGATAAAATGTTAAATGAGAAGAAATTATTAGAGAATATCAAAGAAACTAAATTAAAGACATTAAATGACAATGCAATTCCAGATAAATATAAAGCAGAATTATCAAGGAAAAAAATTAATATATTAATTTGAACAAATTCATTATTCATCAATTTAATTGGGTTCTTAAATGTATGTTTCCTTTAATGCATCTACAACTCTTTCAATTAATTCTTTCCAAGTTTATGGTTTGTATGTTTATAAATGGTTTGCCAATAAATTTATTCTCTCTTCTAAATTTTCGATTCTTTAATCTATATAACATTTTTTAGGATCAGCAATTGCTCTAAATTAATGTTTTTCTTCAATTATTTTAGGATAATTCCATAATTCTGGAGGTCTTCTCATTAAAACATATTAATTATCATAATCTTTCTTACGTAATTCATTAAATAATAAGCTAGGATCATTTTATTAAATTTATCTGTTACGAATCCTATAAAGGATTGAAATAATTGAATTACTTTGGTATCATACCTTCTTTTATTATTTCATCTTCAATATCTTATTAAACTGCTACATTAACATGTCTAACTCTTTCCACACAATCTTCAAATATTTCTCTATTTTCTTATGTACAATAAAAATCCCATAACCAATATCTTCCATATTTTTCCATTAAAGATTATTACTCTTTCTCTCTTGCTGTTTCTTCAGCCAATCTTTATTCTTCTTCTCTTTTTTTTTATTCTTCTTCTAATTATCGTTTCCTTTCTGGAGACATATAAACACTAGTTTAAGTATTACCCAAATTTTCATCTTATATATTTTTTAATTATGAATGTTAAAGTTAGGTTTACTTTAATAAGTCTTATTATTCTTATTCTTATTTCTATTATTTTAATTCATCTTCCTTTTTTCTATCTTTCCAACTTCTCATATGTAATATTGTATGATATACAATTAATTTTGGAATACTTCCTTTCATACAATTTTCATCTTTCCTAAGTAGAAATTCTCTTGCTTATGGATTGGCATGATAAATAATGTTTAACACTTTAAATACAAAATTTATTTAATCTCTTTTGAGAGGTGATCCAAGTAAATGTTCACTTATTAATTCTGCCTTTATGACTTCATTAATATCAATTACAAATTACTATTAAATATTAATATAATTTACTTAATTTTCCATTAAGGGTGCTTTATAAAAATTTATTCCTTTGAGCATTAAACAGAATAAATTTCTTCTCATCTTTTCAAATGCTTCAAGTAATGGTTTAAGATAAAAAGACTCAATTTTATTATTTTGCCTAATATATATATCTCATAGATAACTTACCAATTTTCATAAGCTAATTTATTAAAAATAAGTTTAACATTAGGATTTGCTTTAATAGCTTAAGATTCTAATAAAATCCTTTAACATTCTTGTAAGCAAATACAATATTATTCAATATCTGCTTTTAATATAAAATCTCTTATCATTCTTTCTCTATGTGCAATATTTTTCAAATCAAAGAATATTAATTTCTTATTAATTTCTAAGAGTGCTCTTAAAGGAGCTGTAACTTGCATTAAACGTTCTTCTATAAGTTTATGACTAATTTTAATTAGAATAGGTAATTTCTTAACAAATTCATTCAATAAAGTTTATAGGTTTTTTCTTTCAGCCTGATAATTTTCTGCATTCATTTCTAAAAACTTATGATCCTCCAAAGCTTAAATTGTTATTATATAATTTACTTCTATATATTTTTGCAAATGCCTATTTAACATGATTTCCACGATCTTTGTCTAACTTCTCTACAGCACAATATATTCCATCAATATATTGTTTTATGATTTGTTTATTTATTTCAATATCTTCTTGAGCAAAGAAAGCACTTCGAATATGAACATGATCTATATATTTAAATTTTGGTTTGCACTTAAAGACTTAGCACAATTCATACAATTTGTTATGATATATCTACATAAACATTAGATTTACTTGCCAATTTCCTGTTAAATCTTTGGTTGTTTCAGAAATATTTGTATCTAAGGATTTCGAGATCATTTTAAGTTCATTCCAAACTCTAAATTCATCACTTTCTTTCCATTTTTCAAATTGTTCCTATGATTTATTTTTATAAAAAACCTATTATAATTAAGGATCAATTTATTTGGGTTTTTTAGGTGGCATTATAAAACTTAAATAATTTAAATATTTATTAACATATACTTATAAGTTTCCTTATCATAATTTTTAATTTGGAATTTAATACAATAGAATAAAATTTTTAATAACACTTTAATTTTTATGAATGAATAACTTACAAAAGCAAATGTCAAGCAGAAAATTCAAAATATAGCTTCTGAAATATATAGTAACGAAGTTTTTGTCTTATTTATTATTTCTAATTCTTATGTGACAATTTAATCAATATATGGAGAAGGTAGGTTATTTTGTATTTACAAAATGTTAATAGAATATGATAAACTCGATGATTTTACAACCTATTTTGTAAATTTTATTTCAAACGTCGAGGAATTATTTTGTTTCTTTACTCTTAAAGAATAGTTAGAATTTCCACTTTTTAACTAAATTTTGAGAAATTAGCAAGGATCTTTTGAAAAGTTATTTAATTTAATGGAAATGAGGAAGGTGAATAAATTATGGTTATGTTATTAATGGATAGGTTTCTCTTAAGTAGATTTGTTATAGATAATCTAAAAATTAGATTAAGTGCATATAATTATAAAGGAAAATTGGATAAGATTAGAAAAGATTAATCAATTCAATAATCCTGAATTATTAGCATAAGAAATATCAATTATTATCTCTTAAATCTAATTAGTACTTAAATGAAATTTTTAATATTTATATTATTTTCATTTCAACTGCTTTAACTTTTCTTCAATCATTGTTTATATTGATAAAGCTTAAAACTGTAAATTCGATTCTAAGGTTTGTATCATCTCTTTGTTATTAAGAGATTTACTAAAATTTATCATATAATCAATACTTTAATTGTTATTTAATCTATTGTGGAAATTCATTTTTAATAAACATCAACAATTTTGTACTTAATTGAACCAATTCTTCTTTAAAAGTATTTAAAGTCTAAACTATTTATTTATGGGCTTTATCCAAAATATTCTTGGCATCACCTTAAGCCTTTTTTTATAATGAAAATAATTTTTATTTTATTTCACCTTAATGCTTAATAAGGAGTATAAAAATTGGAAAGATGTTCTTGTATAAACGATTCAGTATTCTTATTGAATTTGTTGGCATTTCTTAACAATTTAATACTTTTTAAATGATATTTTATAGATCCTATAGTTTTGATAGATCAACTAAATAATCATTTGTTGGAATATCATTTTAAGGTTGAAATATAGATATATAGAATCTAGCAATTGACAATCTAAGTTCTCTCTCTTGAATAATAAACCTAGTTATATTAATTTATAAAAACTTACTCATTGTAATCAAATAGATACTTTATTTACATAGGTTAATTTTCTAATTGATTTCTATAATTTAGGTTAATCTCTTAATAATTTTATTGGACATTCACAATTTCTTTATAAGCATTCAAAACTTTTTAAACATTTTAGATATCATTTTTTAATTCCAATAATTCATTATTAAACTAAATAGAATAAAAAATTATATATTTACAGATAAAAATAAAGTTTCTAAAAATAATTATTTTTGACTTTGATATATTCCAATATAATTATTATATTTTAAATTATTAATATTAAATTCTCTAATAAAATAGCTTTGGAAATGAGTTTCTTAAATTGAGAAAGTTGAAGGTGATTTTAATTTATTTTAAATTTACTCACAAAAATATTCTACATTACTCTATTATTTCTGTTTTTCATTAAATAAAGTACATTATACAAAATAATAAATTAATTTAATATAAGAATTTGAAATCCAATCTTCAAATTAATGAAATGATTCAAATGGTACATAATTCTTCATTTTAAATGATGTTAATAAATTTTTTTTAGATTCTCTTACATTTTCTAAATAAAATATTAAAGCTTATTAATTCTTTCTTTCAACTTAATCTAAATTACCTCCAAATTCAAGAAAGGATTTTGCAAAAGACATACCTAATGTTTCAAATTAAACTCCTTTTATATCTAATCTTGTTAGAGATTCAATAGCCTATTCTACTAATCCTAATTCAGATAATAAAATAATTTATCTGAATAAGAAATCAAAATTATATGGTGAATTTTTTAATCCTAAATCTATTAATTCTAAACTTTTTATAATCTTTTCAAAATCGTTTACATCATAAAGAATATCAATAGCAATCATTAAATATTCATCTTATAATAATCTATCTCCTTTTTCAACCTTTTCTGGAACAGGATGAGATTGATATAATGTTATTAATTCATCTAAATATTTTGTAGGTTCTTCTGAAATATAAATTTCTAATTTTTTCAAATTAATATGTGCTATTGTTTCTGCCTCTTTAGACTTAGATTATGTTTTTACTTTTTGAATAGTATTGTATATTTCTTTATGTAATTTTATTTTTGGAATTGCTTTAAATAATTCAGTACAAAATGTATATTTATCTCCTTATTATTAAAACAGTAACTCAACTAATCTTAAAATCTCTTCAATATTAGGATTTTATGATAAGTTTAATATTTTTAATGAAATGAGTATAAGTTATTTTAATGCTAAACTATTTGTTATTGTTTTTAATAATAATTAACAACTATTATAAATGTGACTCAATAATTTATCTTTAGGAACTATTTAAAAGGGTTTTTCTATTTATTCAATTTCTAATTAAAATGTTTCAGTATAAAATGCTAATACTAATTATTCTTAACATTCAAAATTAATAAGTATTTAATCTGTAGCTAATGAATTATACACTTAATAATGATATTTAAGAGTTTATTCATAAGTAAATTCTAAAAATTATTTTATTAATTATATACCTGAAGGATTATTTTGATAAATCCACAAAGAAATTGCTGCATTTTATTAATATTCAACAAATAAAACACTATGATTATCTAAAATTTATTAAACTTTATCCACATTTTTGTTTTTGTTATTCTAATAAAATTTCAACTAAAATTTAATTAATTAAGCTCCTAATTCTTCATTTGTACAAAGCTTCAAATTGCTATATCATTTAAAATTTTTACTTTTCTAATTTGATATTTTTTGCCACCTTATCAATAAACATTTCTGTAATTTTACCTCCCATATCTTCCTTTTAACTCAATAATACAATATACTCCATCATAAATTCTTAATTTTTTTCTCCTTCTGCTTTGAAAATTTTAATAGCATATGATGATGCCTCTTAAAATCTATGACCTTATATCAATTATGAATAAAATTCTTTTATTTAATCCAAATTTTATGGTTTGAATTTTTCAAAATAATTATTCATCATATTTAGATCTTTACATAAATTAGAATACAATTAAATGACTTCTAATTCAGCTTCATTTAAATTTTCATTCAATATTTTTTTAGCATCACCTAATGCTCCAATCTATACTAATATTGATCCTTTCAATAATTGTAATTATTTTTTTTCAGTCTGATTAAATTTTGGCCTTTTTAATTATCTATCTATTTCAATCAAAGCACTCTAACTTTCTCCTCTTTTCATTTATCCAATGATATTTTCAAAAAGTGATTAAAAAGGTGATTGGGTTATCATTAATAAAAAATTAATTTTTTATTTAAATTTCTTGAATTTATTTTATTTTTAGAAAAAGAATATGTCATATATTATAATATAACAAAAAGAACATAATGAATACTAATTTCAATATAAATTCTAATTTAATATTTCTAATTAAGTAAAACCTTAAAGTATGATTAATCAAATATGTATTTTTAAGAAATGTATTTATATTATTTAGTTTAATTATTTTCATAAATTTATGGATTAACAATAATAAGATTAAGTTTAATATACAACTTTTGAAAATTTGTAAGATTAAGAGATTTAGAAAAATGATCTAAGTGATTGGAAATAACAATTTTAATTCATAGACAGTTTAAGAGCATAAAATAAATTTCATAATGATTAATTTAAAATTTAGGAATGGTGGGATTAACTTTAACCTTTAACTGATAGTATAAGAAGTAATGTATCAAAAAATGCATTGATGTTAATTAAAGAAACAAGTATTAATAATTAAAAATATTAAGTCTAACACAATAATGTTTATGATGAAAAAATTCTGCATAAATTATTTGAAAAATGTGAAAGTGATTTTAAGTTTTTAAAAAATGAAGCATTATAAACACTTGAAATTTTATCACATAAACCATACTCTCATGATCTTATTTAGATTTTGTGTAATATCACATTGTAATCAAACTATGTAAAAAAGAAGATTTACAATAGAAATTATAAACCCATTCTTACCCTACCTTAGTGAAAATAGTATTAGCCTCTGATTTTAATTGTGATTGGGACAATATAATCAAAGTTACTTTATAAGTTTATAATGGCAAAAGTGTTGAGTGTAAAAAAGCTAGTGATTAATTATACTTGGCACTTTAAAAATAGAGACCAGAAGTATTGGAAAAAGAAGAATAATTAAAAGTGATAGGAGAGAGAACCAAATAAAAAGGACCTTAATAAGGATTTAAAGATTTCTTATAAAAATAAAAGAAATGATTCTGAATATATATATATATATTTAAAAAAAGAAAAAGCTTATCTATTACATTTATAGAATTATAAATAAATTGATATCTATGAAAATAGAACTTTTTTAAATTGTAATTATATTTAATGTTATAAATATAATTACATTATTGAATTAATAGAATTAATAGAATTAAATATCTTAAGAAATATATATATATAGTTACAAAAATATTAAGAAAAATTTACTGAATTAATGACAATCAATATAATTTTGATTATTATAATAATTAATATTACAATTTATAAATTTTACTTAATTTCTAAGTTTAGATTATTGAAAATAACAAATTTAATTCAATTATGTTTAGTTAATTTTATTGAATTATAATTCATATCAATCTAGCACTGAACAAAGTAGAATAATAATTAATTGAGTGAAAATATTTTTATAATGAAAATTTATTAATTCTGTTGGATTTCATTTTTATTAATGAAAAAAATAACCATCTTTTTTTTATATGAGAATTATAATAATAATTTGACTCATGTGTTGATGAAAATTAATATATTAGAAATAATTAAAGTAATTCTGTAAAACATCATTTACTATGAACTCAACTATTTATTAGTTTAAAAAATATTCTGCTAAATTTCTGATTATTATTTGAATCATGTTTTAGCTAAAAAGTTAGATGAAGTGTTTCTGAATCTCATTATGAAAGTATAATCCATCATTAATAATAAAAATACTAATTAAAGCTAGTTTAAAATTTACATAATGGATTAGAAGAATATTATCTAAGTGGAAGAGTCATCAGAGAATGATTGTATAGTGATTCGTTTTATGGTGAATAACCAAGAGGTTTTGCCAAAAATAGTGTTCAAATTGACTGAAAATTATTCAGAGCAATTTTCATCAACCCTATATGAACATCTATCTCATTACATTCCGAAAGAGTGTCACTATTTATATTTTGTAAATTATTGATAAACTATTAAATTTCATTAGAACGAACCTTTGAAATGCATGGAAAAATAGAGATTCAATTTGATCACTTAAGTATGCGTAGATGTTATACTAAAATTATTAAACATAAAATATATACCGATAATAAGAACAAATTATTCTCTGTATAAACTTGAAGAGGTATTTTGTACAAATATTCAACCTAGGCTATTCAAGAGGGAAGCAAATCTGTAATTGAGAAACTGAATTAGAGTTGGTAAACATAATGCAAACACAAATCTAAGATCACAAAAGAGTTCCTATCAACCTTAAATTAATTCAAATATTACTATCGTATAGAGATACTATTAACATCAACATTACAATAAATAAAATAAGAAAAATATTCGGAGTATGATGTATTGTATGTACCAACAGATGAGTTAATATTCTTAAAAACAAACATTAAATAATAATTATCACTATCATTTCATGATTTAGAGCAAATAAATAAATGTAATTAGTTAATATGAGTTTATATATATTATATTAAAGACAACACATCAAAAATATCTATACTCAATATTTTCGATATAAATTTAATAATTAAATCAAAACTTATTTGCAAATGGCTTAGTAAAATACAAAACATAATAATTCTAACAAGATTAATTCCAATTTACAATTCTCTTCCAATTAAAAACAAATTGTCAATACATCATAAACTATCGATAATGATGTAATATCCAGTAAAAAGAAGGTAAAATAAAACACTGAATTTTAGGAAGTTTATGACAGATTGATGAGTTCTTAAACAAATAGAGACAATTAAACTGAAGTATCCTTATACTTTGATCATTTAGGAGGTATTTTTCATTAAATATAAATCAAAAAGGTAAATGTCTATGTGCATTATGTAACTGTGGTAAACACAAATGTAATGGTAAAAATTGCATACATAAACCCTAATTACATGGAAATTATACTATTTATTAAAAGGAATATTAGAAGAAGACACCAGAAACAGGGTCTCGTTATAATTAGAATATATTCACATAACCTAAGGCAGAAGGAGATTTAGGAAATGTGACAACATATAAAGTATTTATTAACATATTAATACTTTAGCATGATTTTCCAGGCTATAATAACAAAGCAGAATTACACAAAAATTCATAGAAACCTACAGTAAGTGGAGTCCCTTTCTCTGGATTGTCAACTTATAACAATATGTACCTAAATTGGGGAATGGGTGATACACCTTAATTACTACCTTAGAATAATCCAACAGTTATAAAAGAAATGCCTTTTATGGGAAGGAGCATATATAAAGATAGTTATTAAGGAGTACAAGTCCCACCAGCATAGAGTTGTAAAAACATGAATAAAGCTTTGAAGTATATTAATATTATTTATGTAGATCCCCATTATCTCCACCAGATTTGTAATTCACTGCTGAATCAATAGCTAAATCTTCTTATAAACCATTTAGAACAGATAGAGTACCTACAGCTAAAAGCTAACAAAATGTATATATCTATTTTTTATAATAAAATAGGCAAACTTAAATCCTTCATATAATGGTTAATATAATAGTGAATATCGTAAGGAATTCGACCCAAAAAGTTTGAATTAATGTCCAGCAAAGGATGTTTTGGATGAAGTTGCTCGTAATACATAATTTTGAAGTTTAAAATGATTATGATTAAAGATAATAAATAAAATTAAAATTTTGACATATTATTATTATTATTATTATCAAAGTAAATAACAACTTTCAATGAGCGGAAGAGATTTTCATTTTTATAGAAGAAGAGACAAATATCCTAAATAAGACTCTTTTATTGAGCAATAATCAACTCCTAATTTTATTGAAGATGGTTCTTTTGTAGGATCATTAGAAAGAAAAATTCAACATTAAAATTAAACCATTAATAATCTAATTAAAGCATTTGAAGATTCAAGATTGGAATAATAAAGATAGATCTAATATTTAGAAAGATTAAAAAAAGCAGAAGAACAAAAATATAGTATCTAAATATTAGAAGAACTTAAAACCTTAAAATAAAAGATCAAAAAGATTGAACAAAGTCCACCTATTTTATAATCTACACCTTAAATATATCAATAACCTTTTTTCCCTCCTTTACCTGCTTAATTTTAATAGCCTTATTCATCTTAATAATATAATTATTCTTAAGTTCCATATTTATAGAATCCATTTCATTAACAAAGCCAACCTATTCAACCTTAATAATTTTTAAATAATCAATAATAACTTAGACCCAAAAGACCAAAAGAAATGGATACATTACATAAATTTTTGTTGAAAATGTTACATGAGAAAGAATAATAAAAAAATAAGTAAAAGAAACCAAAAGATAATTCAGATATTAGATATGTGACTGATATTGAATCATCTTAAAATTACTCTTCCAATAGATAGACATAATAAACACCTTTAATAAAATCTAGATCATAGAGAAGATCTTAAAAGCAAAAATAAGATAATATTAGATAAGGTCTTTCAGAAAATTCTTAATATATAATTCGAAAACAATCTTAATTATCATAATAATAATCATTAGGAGCAGGTTCATAAAAACCATCTTCAAAAAAATTAGTATTAACTTAATAAAGATTAAAATAACTTATGAGAAAATTCAAAGGAGTAGTTAGATATTTAGGGTTAGCATTGACTTATTTAAAATTTTGTAAAAAGATTTGGAATAATAAGTTAACATCATTTAAGGAATATTCTTAGGAGTAGATAGGATCTTATGATTCTTAGTTTGTAAAAATAATGATATATCCATTTATAGAATTATCTGTCAATCATATCATAATTTTATAGAGAATGCACACTTAAGAAATAAATGGATAAATCATGGATCTTTACTTAAACAATAGATATTCAAGCTAGATGTCAAACTATGCTAAGTGTATTGGAGATATTCTTTAGATATTTGATAGTTTAACCTTTAGATTTTACTAAAGAACATATAGAATTTATGAGAAAATTTTCACTTCCTAAAGGATATTTATTAATTGGGCATAGTAAATATGTTACTAGTAGAATAAATTTAAGACCAAATAATACAATAAAGTAAATTTTAAATTAAATTTAAGTATTGAAACACCTGAGTAATCTTAAATGTTACTTATGGAATATTCTTTTATTTAAATATTATTACCATAGATTGTTGAAGCTGATTTTTGGAAAAAGTTAGTAAATTATAAAGAAGCCTTAAAAGTTTTTGTCTCAGTTCTTCATTATTTATTTATAGATAAATTTTACAACATACCTCTTAATAAATAATAATTACCTTTTAATGTACATTTATAAAATACTATTTAAGAAAGATTATGTTCCTTTTTTTGATTTTACAAGAAATCCAGTTGAAGGATTTTACTAATTAATTGATTCAAATCATCCTTCATATGTTGAATCTAAAGAAGAAGTGATTTTAGGATTGTATACTAAGGCTCAATTGCATCCTCTAATATTACATGTTGGATTTAAGAAGGTCTAAGAAAATTTTAAGTAATATTGTGATTTAATTTATTCTTTAATAAAATGAATACTTAAGAAAATAATTTCAAATATTTATTTTATAATGATGCGTTTTTTTTGGTAATTATTAGTTTTATATTTCTATAATCAAATTGATTAGGCCTAAGAATTGGAAAACTTCTTCTAAGAAGATAAGGGTTTTACTTTATAAAGAAACACTTATATAATAATGCTAATTATCAAGATAATTTTAATGGAAAAAAAATACATTGTTTTTAAACAAATAAAAGTTGTGATTAAAAAAATTCATAATTCAATGTTTCTTCTTAATTCACTATAGAATATATTAGTGCCTGTATGAGATTCTGATATTTATTGGATATTTTTTTTTTCTTATAAGTTTAAGACACATGCATAATTGAGTTATGTTTCGATTATGTCTATTAATAATTGTAGATATTCAATGAATGGTGCTTCAATGCTTGGTTTCTAAGGTTTCACATCCATTTTAAATTCCTATATCAGAACTCGTTTCCTTATTTAAAAATAGTTAGAATTCCACCAAATTTCTTGCTTTGAATTTAAGGTTTTCATGGCTAAGTATGATTCAATCAAGATCTATTTAAATATTAATCTTACTTTAACTACACAAAGTTCGAGCATAGGATAGGCGACATTCATAAAATTTTGTTGAAAAGGAATATAATAAGAATTGATCAAAATCCTTAAGTATTTATGGATAGTATTATGAGCAATAATTCTATCACTTTCAAATAGTAATTTTTATTTGTTCTTAGTCATCTAGGAATCTATTAATAGAAAAAGATTGAAGACTGAGTTCTTTAATTGAATAGAAATAGATTCTAGATTTCTTCTAGTATGTTCCTAATCAAGTATTTTCATAATTTCTTATGTATTGTAAATTTTGATTTTAATTTTTGTACCAGTAGAGCATAATTCTCCCATTTAATTAAATAATATAATAAAATTATCAAAAATTAATCTGCTTCTAAAATAGGAAACGTAAGAGCCGAAATTCAATATCATTAATGGAAAGTATGATAATCATATATTTAAAAAATATTCAAAAATTTAATTTTTAATTGATTTTAATTGAGATTTTAGTATCAGTATTTTTTAAGTAATGAAGATATATAATAAAAAATGTTATTTTACATTTAAACTCAATCAATCAATCAATACAAATTTAATTTTGTAACAATAACAACTTTACAAGTTTAATCCAATCCACACAAACAAGCCAATCCTAAAAAACATTTATAATTTAATATACCTAATTTATCAGCATTCCAATCCAAAGATGAAATTGGCTATTAACATACATCTTATTTATTGAGTAATTCTAATTTTCCAATTACTCCTTTAGGTTTTCCTTCTGAATCTTAAATCTATCTTTAAGATGGATATGAATATTTATAAATATTCAATGCTCCATCTCCTCCTTATGTTGCAAATAAATCTCTATTCTAAGGTAAATGTTTGACTCCCCAAATAGTTGATTTTTATCCTTCATCTGTTAATGATGCAAATCCATTATTGAAAGTTCTCAAATCAAAAACATTAATTTTGCCTAAATTTAATTTAAAAATACTTTCTAGAGTAGTGGCTACTAATTTATTCATTTAAATATCCTTTCTATCAAATTCAATACCACAAATTCCATTTTTTACATTAGTATCCCATATCAATTAGTTTTATTTTAAATCAAATAGTTTAATATCTCCATTATCATATCCACAAGCAATAACACGTTCATCATTATATGAATTACCAAATACTACACTCCAAGCATCTGGTATAACATCCTTTTCAATAGGTTCTAATGAAACAACAGGTGCTGCTTATCTGGGATCCCATACTCTTACACATCCATCTCTTGAACCAGTTACAATTTCAGGAGCTCCAATATTAAAACAAGTATCAATAGAATTAATTATTTGATCATGTGCTTTAACTTCAAAAGTTGTCTAATATTTATATATTTAAATTATACTTTTTTAGTTTCTAGATCTAAAACTTTTAATTTTCCATCAAAATCACCAAATGCAAATAAATTATCCAAAAATTATCCACATTTTATACCTTTAGGTTATTCTATCTAATTATATATTTATTTATAACTGATGATATGGTTTTCAGTTCTGTTTTATTTAATTGTAATATTTCAATAATTCCATTAGCTTTAGGTGGTTGACCACATAATACAAATTTTGCAGTTCCTGGAATCCATTTTGTAACAAAAGGAGTGAAATTTAATGATTTATTAAGATGTTCAATAATTTAAGGAGCATTTGTTGTGTCCATTATTTATTTATTAATAATTTAATTATCTATTTAATATATGCAAAATTAATTATAAAATTTTGTTTTTTCATTGTAATTCCCTTAATCTCTTAATCATTGTTGAATGCAATGAACTATCAAGGTACTTGTTTATATGATTTAATAATCTTATTTTTTTAACATAACCACAACTCTCTGATGACTCCATTGAAACTGATGTTGATACTTCTGTGGGTTCCCAAACTTATTTTACATATTCTAATCTATTTTTATCCCCTTCTCTTAATAATTCTTAAAATATTTATTCATCAAAATGTTTAGATGCAAGTTTCAAGCATACAGCTTCAGAATTCATTTATTTTTTATGAATTAATATAAATTTTTATTTACATTTAGTTCTAAATATATGTAATCAATAATTCTATTCCCATAAAATTTGATTCTTTAAATCAATATTAATTTAAGAATTTCTATTACTTGTAATAATATTTTATTTAACAATACTTAAAATTATTTGAACTTTTAATTATAATTCTTAATCACATCAATTTTTTAGATAATTTAATAGTTATCGTAGAATAATTATAAATGATTTTACATTCTATAAAAAAGTAATGAAATTCAATAAAGGAATATATTAAAATAAAATTATATCAATTCCACTTAATTCATTTATTCTATTTTTTTAAATATTTAATGAATTATCTATTATTTTTTGTTGGTTTTTAAAAACTAAAGAAGCTTTTTGATTTTCTTTCTCTAACATACTAATCTGTTATTATTTCATTCATCTCAGTACTAATCTAAGTACATAGTCTAGTTGATAAATTTAATAAAATTCCTTGTGTGTCAACTAATTTACTCTCTAATTCACTTAGTTTATTTTTTAAAAAGAGAATTTATTCAGATTTATTGATTAATTCCTAGTCTTAATTCTAAATAGTTTGAACTTGATCTTCATAAATTGCTTTATAGGTTAAATTCGATTTATTCATAAAATGAGAATGAATCATTAATTAAGAAATGAATTAACTTATATTAATTTTGAATATAAATTGTATATAATTTCCTTTTTCATTCAAATTTCTAAACTAAATTATTCTTAATAAACCTTAAAGTATAAATGAATAATTTAAGAGTGAATATATTCAAAATACAATATTAGTAATTTTTAATTTATACGAAATAAATTATAAAATAATTTATAGTAAAATGTGTGACACAAAATGTGAATGTATACCTTTGTAATTAATAAAATCTCTTTAAAAGAAATAAAAGATATCTGAAATTGATTTACAAGGCTGTAATGTAGAACATTTAATATAATTGAATTAAATAAAACAAGATGTAGATAAATTATATTTAGCATCAAATCGAATTTAAAATTTAGATTATTTGCCATTGAATATACTCTATTTGGATATTTCCAATAATAGTATTGCTAATGTAGACTCTCTATAGCAATTATAAAAATTAAGAGTATTAAGGTGTGGAAATAATTTAATTGAGCAATTTGAAATTCAATCAGCATAACTTGAGATTTTAGATATATCAAATAATTATTTAGATAAATTACCAAATAAGATACCAAATTTAGTTTCTTTGAGTATATATGCTAATTCATTTAAGAATTATGAAAATGATGCAAAAATGAAATACAAAAAATTATAAATACTAGATGGTTGTATTATATAACAATCATAAGAAACAGAATATATAATAAAATTGTAGGAACAATAATTAGCATAGAAATTTTAAATGAATATAGATTATTTGAATAAGTGGAGATAAGAAGTTTTCAAATAATTAGTTTAAAATAAATAATATAAATTACTTACTTTTGATCATTTAAAAAATATAAAGTAATTAATTTTAAAAAACTTTGGACAAATGAAATATCTATAGATGATTGAAAAGAGAACTAAATAATTATAATAATTATAAAAAAAATTGTTTAAGTGTTCAAGTAAATTAAAAAGAGAATAACAATAAAAGTAACATGAATAATAATTTTTAATTTATTCTCTTAAGCATCTGTTAGAAGAAGATATTTAAGAAGAGAAACTAGATATATTAATAAAAAAATGTTCAGAGTATATAACTAAAATGAAATAATAAAATCTAACAATCTAAATTTAAATGTAAGGAATATAATAAGAGAATGAACATTTAAGAGCATAAGTAGATCATTTTAAATAAATGTATAATTAAATAAGTAATTATATTGATTTAGTATCTTATAGAATAGATAAATCTAAAAAATGAGGATTCAACTAATTAAGATAAGAATAAAGGTTTTGTGAATTTGTATGCTTAGATTAAGAATTTAGAAGAAGAAAAATTAAAATTGTAATTTGAATTAAATAGTTGTTAAGAAAGATAGAATGTTGAAATACTTCATATTAAAGCATAATTAGAATAGTAAATAGCTTTATTAAGTTAAGAGAATTAGTTTTTTAAATAAAAATTTAATCTATAATAAGAAGAGATAAAAATAAAAATGGATTAAATTTAATAACAATATGAAAAATAATTATAATTATAAAATAAAGAACATTAAACATAATGTGATAAAATACGTAATGATTATTAATAAATAATTGATAATTATGTACTTAAAGATTAATAAAAAAATTCAGATTTATTGAAATTAAGAGATTTATAAAATGATTTAGAATTGTAAATTAGATAAAATAGATAAGAAAGTGATTTTAGTTAAAGAGAATATTCAAATTAAATAAAAGAATTATAATTATAAATTAAATAATAGAAAGAAAAAATTATAGATTAAGAAAATTTAATATTACAATTAAAATAAGATTTGTAAAAATAATAAGAAGATGTCATCAAATAAATAGAATAAGCTAATCTTGAATAATAAGAAATCTAAAATTAATTATAAAAAACAATATTTGATCAAAGCAATGAAATCTAAGAATAAAAAGCATCTAAAAATAAACTTTCAAAATAAAATATGGATTTATTAAAAATGATTGAAATGAAAGATGGAGTAATACGATCATTAACACTTGAATAAACAAAAAAAATAGAAACTAAATAATTTTAAAATACTTTAGAATAGAAATATCAAACTATTCCTGATTAAAAATTCACCACATTATTTAATTAAAGTGAATAAAAAGTATCAACATTATCTGCTTAAAATGAATTAGAAAGAAAAGCATTATAAATATTATAAGATGATGATTATTGAATTATCGTTAATTTTATAAATATCAATTTTTTTATCACAATTCTGGATAGTAGAATACAGAACCACATGAAACTAATGGTTAAGCTTAAAATTATGAATCATTCTATTGTTCATCTATATCATTCTCTTCTTCATTCAATTTACAATTACAAGTTCTAATTTATAATTACTCATCAAAACAAATTTTTAATTATCCTAATAAAAATTTCCCAGTCACTTCTATGAACAATTAAATTAATAAATACAATCTTTAAAACAAGAAAAGGTAATTTTAACATTTGTACCTAAAACTGCTGCAAAGGCATTTCTTATATCTGATTCAAATAATTATCTACTATTGTCAGGATAAATTCCAGCTTTAGCCAAAATTGAATAATAGTTGTATTTTTATGCTAATCCTGCTGCTGTTTAAAAGAAATAATTCTATGAAACTTCTCCAGGATAGCATGTACCATGTTTCTCCCATTCATATCTTCATGTAATATATATTTATATATATACCCTCTAAAAGTTTCAGTGTCTGAATATAAGCCATTCCAAACAACATCTAATAAATCCTTTGTATTTTAATATATTTTAGAAGAATCATATGGATCTGTTCTGCAATATTGGATTGATCCACAAGATGAGGTTAGTTAAGTATTAGGCCATAAACCATGCATATTCCAACGTTGTCCATCATATTTTCCCATATATGGACAACTTGGTTCAACCTTGCAAACAGATCCAACCCATTCTTAAGCAAGGATATACATATAGGTTGTAGCTTCTAATGAGTTTGAAGCATAAATCAAAATAGTGAAAACTACAAAAACTTGTATATTTCTTCCTTTCATTACGTATTTGATGAAAATATTGTTTAAATATTTATAATTTATTATTGTAGAATAATTGTTGTTATTTTCATATATTATAAAAGATATATAGTATCTGAAAATAGAAACCAATTTTATTTAATGTATATAAATATATATAATTGATAACACATATAATTGGGTAAACTATTATTGAAAATACAATTGTTTTTCAAAATATTAATTTTATGGAAATCAATAATCATAATTATTACTTTAAAAATAATATAACAAATTCTTTAGACTTATTGTCTTATTTTTGTTAAAACTAGTATTCAATAAATAAAGTGTCTTATATTTTTAATTATCTTTTTCTTCTTTATTTTCTTACTTCCTCTTTAGAAAATGATCATATAAATATATGGATTTTATTTATTATCTAAAATGAATTGAGTTAAAAAATTTGTCTTGATGATTATAGAAAGATGTGTGAATTGTAAATATGTGATTAATTTTATATAAATATGATGACGGTATCGTAAATTTTAATTGAGTTTATAATAATTTAATTTTGATTAAATTTAAATCAATATAGAATTAATTATATTATTAAATTGATAACAATGACGTAAAAGTTTATATTTTAATGACTTCAAATCTAGTAATTTAAAGGCTATAATCAAATTGTTTGACATTAATAATAAATCATGTCCAAAACAATATTAGCATTGGGAACTATAGCTTTAATTGGAGCCCTTTTAATGGCTAATTAACCTTAATCAGTTGATTATGTTTCTAAGTTTGAAACATTTAAATAGAAATTTGGAAAGAGATATGGAGCAACAGAATAAGCATACAGATTAGCTGTGTACACCTAAAACTTATTATATGCTGAAGCTTATAATTTATCAAAGGGAAAGAGAGTATTTGGAGAAACTATCTTTTTCGATTTAACATAAGAAGAATTTGCATAAATATATCTAACAGCCAAAGTAACTGAGGAAGACTTGAATGTGGAAAGAGTATCTGCTAGATCAAACAACCTTAAAGCATCAATTGATTGGAGTACTTAAGGTGCTGTAACTCCAGTTAAAGATTAAGGATAATGTGGTTCTTGTTGGACTTTCAGTACTACAGGTGTCTTAGAAAGTTTCTTTTATCTTACAACAGGAGAATTACCAGTGTTATCAGAATAACAATTATTAGATTGTTCAACAATTGTCGATTTTAACTTAGGTTGCGATGGTGGTTTACCTGCTAGAGCATTGAACTATGTTAAAAGAAATGGTATTACTACAGGTGCAGCTTATCCATATGTAATTAATATTTATAATTTAGACTGCTGTTTAAGGATCATGCAGAATCAAGGGAGGTGCTTATCATATTAAAGGATCTTAAACTTTAGCAAAAGATGAATAAACATTAGTGACATATTTAAATAAAGGACCAGTTTCAGTAGGAGTAGATGCCACTAATTGGTAATATTATGATCCAAAGGTTGAAAGAGTATTCAGTGATTGTGATACTAAAATGAATCATGTAGTATTAGCAGTTGGATATGATGAATAAGCATTCAAGATTAAGAATTCTTGGTCAACTGATTGGGGAGTCAAAGGTTATATCTTTTTGGCCAGAGGATAAAATACTTGTGGTATCTATGATACAAATGTTGTTCCAATTTGATTAATCAGATTATATTTTATATGGTCATAAAAATATAAATTAACATTTAATTAAATATAATAAATATTAATTATATTCTTGATTTTATAAAGTAAAGTTTATAAAACATAGATCTTATAAGCTATATTAATTACATAAAAATAGAATGAGAATATAGTTATTTTAATTATTGAGATAAAAATTAAGTTTTTAAAGAATTCAATTAATTTATAATATTAATTTATAATAACATTTGATGAGTTAATCCCCTTAACTTAGGAAACTAAACTTTGGTCCTTTAGTAAAGATAAAGAAATAAATAAACTTACCTAAAATAAGAAAATAAGAAGAATCATTTTAGGCTATTTTAAATGTTTCTGATTATGATCCATAATCTGATAGAGATAGATCATTTAATAATAGATCATTTAGAAAATTAATTCATACAACCAATATAAATTTTTCAACTGATAAAAAAATATCAGAAGAATATGCAGTATATGGATTATCTAAATTAAAAATTGAAAGAAAAGAGTAACCTTTTTAAAGTGAAAGAACAATAAAACATTTATATTATATGTAATAAGATGAAAATACAAATAAAGATTGGTTTTAAATTTGTTTAAAATAACCACCACCTCATGCTTAAGCATAATTTTATAAATAATCTGAAAAGTATAATTTAAATTTCCTTTTAGATAATATGAATGGTGTGATGTTTAAATTTTAGATTTTAATGAAGAAACAGAGAAATTTTTAATTCAATAATATCCAAAAGGTCCTAAGAAACAAGTAGATCGATTGCAAATTAAATTCAATAATTAAAATCAATAATTTTTTGATAGCATGATTAAATAAGAGTATCAAATTATATAGTAATTAGATAATTATAGCTTCATGAGAAATAATCTGAATTAGCTTATGTTAATAAAATTATGGCTGTGGATACTAAATTAGTTAATTCAATTTCTGATAAATTAAAATAGAAACTTTTGATAAGATTTTCAAAGTATAAGAACTAAAATTTAGTTATGAATTTAATTAGTTAAGTAGAAGATATGTATTAATAAAATATGAAAAAATGTGTATATTTGAAGGATTTAAGTAAATATAAATAAAAATTTGTACCAATTCCTAGAATGAAGATATTTTATACATCATAATAATAATTAAAAAAGAGTCTAATGTTTGTGAATAAGGCTGTTATAGATTGTTGGTTATAAATGATTAGATTTATGAATAATTTTTAAGTGAATTTATTTGAATTTGATAAAGTACATTTGCCTGTATCTTGGGAAAAATTTGAATAACTTATTGATTCAAATATGAATAAAATTGAATAGTAATTAAAAAAATAAAGATTCTTTATTTATGCTTAAATACAAGAGAATTTATAAACTACTTTTAATTTTTTTAATATAACTATGCCTGAATATATAGCAAGTGATTTAAAAAGCGTAGTTTAAAGATTTGATTTACATTATACTGAATATCTTTATAAATTATTAAGAGATGAATAATAAAAAATAATAAGATTTTATTAAAGATTTTAATTGGTTCAATAGAATATCAAATTGGTTGCAACATCTTTATTTTAATTAAGAATAGTAGGAATGAATAAATCTAAATTAGAAAAGTATGAATAAACTAGAAATTCTATTAATGATGATTTAGAATTGATAACTTTAGATACTTCATTAAATTAAGTGATTAATATAGCAACATATCCAAATAGATGTTTATTTAATATTATTTCTTAATTATATAAAATAGAAAGTGAAATAGTACCATTATTAAAAATTCCTTAACAATTTTCAATAGAAAGAGATAATTTGGCTTTTTTTGAAGTTTTAAAATAAGAAACTGCAGATCTTATTGAGAAAGAATATTCTAAATGTTAATAATCTTGCAAGAAATTTCTACCTTATCAATATTTATTGATTCCAATGAAAACTAAGGCTATAAATAAAATTTTTGGAATCGAAGGGAAAGAGAAGCCATCTTTACATTAGATTAGACTCTCTGTTATACGTGAAGCTTTAGATAATTTAAGCAAAGCATAAAGAGAAATAAATTATAATTTTATTGATAATTAAGTAATTGGACTCTTTACTTTAAATTCAAAAGAAATAAAATAAATTTTAATATAAAGAGCATAAGAAAACTATTAGTTAATTGTGTAAAAATTAATAGAAATAATTAAGCATAATGTAACTAATATAAAAACACATTATTAAGAAATGTATGCTAAAACTTCAACAGTTCCTTAAACAGAAGAAGATTTAATTGAATTAAAGTTATTTCTTGATGAAATAAAGATATAATTTTCAAAATAATATTTAGAAATTACATAAATGTAAATATGATGTTAATTAGTTATTAGTAAAAAATTTATAAATTATTTGGATGAAATATTTTAAGAATATGATTTGATGTTAATGAAAGAATATTATTATTTATTGTAATGGCCAAAAGAAATTAAAAGAAGCATTAAAACTAATAGTCGATAGATAGAATCTATTGAGAGACAATTCTTTTAAAAATTAGAACATGATAAAGTTGAATTTACAGAAAAGTTATTTTAAATGAAAGAATAATTTACAAAAATAAAAGGATTTAATTAATTTGGAATTGTTAAATAATAAGCAAATGAAATGAAAATATTGGCTGATTGGATATTTTAAGGATAAGAATAAATAAATTCATTTAATTAAAGAGAAACTATGTTTTAAATACCCTTATCATAATATAGAGAATTTCATTAATTAGTAACAGAATTCAAACCATTTTAATATTTATGGGAATTAGCAAATGAATATGAATTTTAAAAAGAATCATGGCTTTATGGTTCATTTAAAAATTTGAATCATTAATAAATATTATAAAAATTGACATATTATGTAAATGAAACTATGATTTTATCTAATACATTTAAAGAAATAAGTGATGAAAATGGATAATCAGTTACAAGAGGTTTTAGAAGAGCTTTAGATGCATTTAAAGATAATTTATGGGTTGTAGAAACTCTAGCAATTGAAGCATTTACTAAAAAACCAGTATTATGGAGAGAATTATTTAAAGAGTGTAGAATTTAGAATTTTGACCCAAAAGAAGAGTTTTCTTTGTAATCACTAATATAAAGAGGAATCCTTAATGTTAAGGAATAAGTTGTACAATTATCTTAAAAAGTTGAGAAGGGTTGGAATATAGAAAAAAGATTGAATGAAATGTATGATAAATTAGTAATCATTGAAATAGAATTATAAGAATTTAGAGAAACATTCATTTAGAAAAATTATGAAGAAGTTCAAACATTATTAGATGAATAATTGAATGTATTATCAATGTTAAAGAGTTAATAACATATTAAAATGGTATTAGGTAAAGCAAATTAATTGGAATATAAAATTGTATTGATTCAAGATACTTTAGAGTTGGGTATGAAATGTTAAAAACATTGGATGTATTTAGATCCAATATTTGCAAGTGAAGATATAAAAAGAAAATTAGTAGAAGAAACTGAATATTTTAAATTGGTTGATTAATCATATAGATAATAGATGGCTATTTTAAATAAGAATAAAATATTATGGGATTCTATTGATAATGAAAAGATTAAGTAAGAATTTCAGAATAATGTACAATTATTGGATTCTATTTAAAAATCATTATCAAAGTATCTAGAATAAAAAAGGACTCTATTTCCAAGATTTTATTTTGTGTCTGATGAAGAGTTAATAGAAATATTAGCATTGGTGAAAGATCCAAGATTATTGTAAAAGCATATATTTAAATGTTTTGAAGGGATGCATGAATTAAAATTTGAAGGGAATCATTCTTTATTAGGAATGATGTCTTCATAATAAGAATTAGTTATTTTTGATAATAAGATAGAATTATTAAAAGGAGAGAAGTAAGGAAATGTTGAATAATGGTTATGTGAATTATAAAGAATAATGGTTTAAACATTAAGAACTTAGTTGAATAAGACATTACAAGATTTAAACTCATAAAAATAAGAATATATTAGTAAATGGCCAACTTAATGTATATTATTGGCAGATCATATAAAATGGACAAGAAATACTGAATCAGCAATAAGAGAATTATAAAAAATGAATTTACATATTCATTTGGAAATTCTAACTAAATAATTATAAGAAACAGTATAATTAGTAAGAAATGAAGAAAGAATGGTAATGAAAACAACATTGGAAGCAATGGTAGTAATGGAAGTTCATTGTAAAGATATAGTTTAATAATTAATACATTAAGATGTTAAAAGTATTTATGATTTTGCATGGGTTTCTTAATTAAGATATTATTTTGAAGATGAGGGAGTAAATGTGAGAATGGTGAATTCATAAATATAATATGGATTTGAATATTTAGGAAAAGTAACAAGATTAGTAATAACATCATTAACTGATCGATGTTAAAGAACATTATTAAGTGCTATGCATTTAAATTATGGAGGGGCTCCTGAAGGTCCAGCTGGAACAGGAAAATCTGAGACTGTGAAAGATTTAGCAAAAGCAGTTGCTATGCCTTGTATAGTATTCAATTGTTCAGATGGTCTCAATTATATTGCAATGGGTAAATTAATAATATTATAAATTAAGGTAAATTTTTTAAAGGTTTGTCTTCATCTGGAGCTTGGTGTTGTTTTGATGAATTCAATAGAATCGATCCTGAAGTTTTATCTGTTGTTGCTTAATAGATATTTACTATTTAAAAGGCAATAAAAGAAAAAAGAAATAGATTTACATTTGAAGGTGAAGAAATTAATTTGATTCCTACATGTGCTATTAATGTAACTATGAATCCAGGATATGCCGGTCGATCTGAATTACCTGATAATTTAAAAATCCTTTTTAGACCATGTGCTATGATGGTACCAGATTATGCAATGATTGCTGAAATTTACTTATATAGTATTGGTTTTGAGAAAGCAAGAGAGTTAAGTCCAAAAATAGTGACATGTTTAAAGTTATGCAATGAATAGTTGTCTCCTTAAGAACATTATGATTTTGGGATGAGAGTTCTTAAGGCTGTATTAAGTACTGCAAAATAATTAAATTCTGGAACTGAAGAAGTCATATGTTTAACAGCTTTGATTAATGTCAATAAACCTAAGTTTACTTAAAGTGATGTCTAATTATTCTTAGCTATTACTTAGGATTTATTTCCAAGTATTAATCCATTAAATTAAACATCTCAAATATTGATTGATTATTGTTGTGAAAATAATTATTAACCTGATATAGATTTTTAAGAAAAATGTTAATAATTGCATAATACTATAGCAGTTAGAAATGGTGTTATGTGTATTGGAAAGACATTTTCTGGGAAAACAGCAGCAATTTCAACTCTAGGAAAATCATTGAATGCTTAAACTCTAAAATTGAATCCTAAAGCAGTAACAACTGATTAATTATATGGAAAACTTGATCCAGATACAAAATAATGGTCAGATGGAATATTACCTATATTAATAAGGGAAAATCTAAATAAACCAACAAAAATTTGGATATGGTTTGATGGACCTGTAGATTCATTGTGGATAGAAAATTTAAATACAGTTTTAGATGATAATAAAAAATTATGTTTAACATCAGGAGAAATATTAAAGATACCATAAACTATGTGTATGTTATTTGAAGTTGAAGATTTATCTGCTGCATCACCAGCTACAATATCAAGATGTGGTATGGTATATTTTTTATAAATTGATTGGTAATTAATTAATTAATTAATATAAGGTATTTATAAGTATAAAGTATTTAATTACCAGGAGGATTGGAAAAATAATATTTTATAAGAAGAATGAGATTGTAAGTATTTATATTCTATATAATTTAGTTTGATAGATCATTCTTATGCATGGGTTAAGGAATATGTATAATTTCCTGTTTATGATACTATTAATTTAATGGTTTAAAGTTTTATATCATTATTGGTTTAATTATTAAAAACTTTATCTGAGATTCAATAAAATAGTAATAATTGGGATAGTTGTTTAATATTTGCATTAGTTTGGTCAATAGGAGGATGCTTAGAAGAGAAAGGAAGATCATTATTTAATGATTTTTTACATAAATTATTTAGAACAAATAAAAGTGGATTAAAAACAAATTTTGGAGATGATTTAGAGTTGAAATTATATTTTCCAGAGAAAATAGAATTCTTTTCTTGTGTATTTTAAGATGGTTAATGGATCAAATGGACAGATGTATTTTATATTAATTAATATTAGTTAACTTAAAAATTTGAAGTATAACCTGGTATGTAATTTCATGAAATTATTATACCTACTGCTGAATTGATGAGAAATGATTATTTTTGTAAAATGGGATTACATTTCCTTTTTTGTGGTCCAACAAGTACAGGAAAATCATTATCTATGAATAAATTTTCAAAATTTTAAATAACTTGTTCAGGATAAACAACAAGCAATAGTTTATAAAGATTAATAGAAACAAAAATAAATAAAAGAAGAAGAAAAGGTTATTATGGAGCTGAAGAAGGACATATAATGATATTTGTAGATGATTTAAATATGCCATTTAGAGAACCTTAAGGTGCATAACCAGCAATAGAATTATTAAGATAATGGATGGATTAAGGTGGATGGTATGATTTAGATAATAAGGAATTTAAATATATGTGTGATATCACTTTTCTTAGTGCTATGTAACCAGCTAGTGGAGGTAGAGATTAAGTAAGTAAGAGATATTTAAGATATTTTAATTTATTGTATATAGGTGGATTTGATAATTAAAGCATTTCAAATATTTTATAAGTTTTTGTTGAATGGGTATTTTAAAAGATATAACCATCATAAGATATTCTAAAAATGAAAAATGATTTAGTATTTCATACTATTTAAGTTTATGATAAAATATAATTGAGTTTATTGCCTACACCTGCTAAAAGTTTATACATTTATAATTTAAGAGATTTAATAAAAGTATTTGAAGGAATGAGTAAAGTAACTAGAATAAATAATCAATATAATTTAGTTAAATTATGGACTCATGAATGTCTTAGAGTATTTAGTGATAGATTAATAGATAGTTATGATTTGAAGATATTTGAAAATGTACTCAAAGAATCTACTACTTAAATAGGTTATTAAATATAAGATTATAAAAACCTAATTTATGTATCTTTCTTACATAATGTTTATGATGATGCAGGTAATGTTTTAAATGTAAAATAAAAATTACAATAAGTACTTGAAGAATATAATTAAATGAATTAATAACATACATTAAGTCTTATCTTATTTAATAATGCTGTTTTACACATTTCTAGAATTGCTAGAATATTATTAGCTATTTAAGGTCATGCATTATTAGTTGGCATGGGAGGAACAGGAAGAAGTAATCTATATTATTATTTATTATTAAGCATCTCTATCCAAATTAGCCAATTATATCATTTTTAATGAACATGTTTAAACAGTTGATCCAAGATAATGGGATGATTAATTATTAGGTATATTAAAACATATAGGTTTGGATGATCATAAATCTACTATTATATTTAATGATTCATAATTTTAAACTGAATCTATGTTAGAAGATGTATGTAATATTATGAGTCATGGAGAAATACCACATTTATTTCCACCTGAAGAAAGAATTAAAATATAAGAAGAAATGACATATCCAAAATTTGTTTTAAATTGTAAATTAAATACTCATGTTATATTATGTATGCAACCTGTAGGTACATAATTTAGAAAAAGATTAAGAATGTTTCCTACTATAATTAATTGTTCTACTATTGATTGGTTTATGAGTTGGCCTGATGAAGCATTAGAATCTACTGCTAGTTAATTCTTACCATAAAATTTAGTTAAAATTGCAGTAGATATTCATCACAAAGTTTTAGAAATTAAAGAAAGATTTACTTAAGAACTTAGAAGACATTTTTATGTTACACCTACATAATATTTATAATTATTAGCAACTTTTAAAAAGATTCATACTGAAAAAAATGAAAATTCAAGAATTTCTATTGATAAATTTGAAACTGGAGTTGAAAAAATTATTTAAACTGAAAAAGAAGTAGATAAAATTAGAAAAGTTTTATTTGAATTACAACCAAAATTAGAAAAGGCAACAGTTGAAAATCTTGAATTACTTAAAAATATCTAAAAGAAATAATAAGAAGCAGATTAAACAAGAATGATTTGTGAATCTGATGAAAAATAATGTAGTTTAAAAAGAGAAGAAGCTAATTAATTAAAAGATATATGTAAGAAGTAATTAGATAATGTATTACCTTTATTATCCAAAGCTACTGAAGCTCTTGAAAAAATTACTAAAGATGATATGATATTATTAAAATCATTCTAAAAACCTCCACCATCTGCAGCTGTTGTTATGTAAGGTTTATGTTATGCATTCTAAGAAGATGAAAAAGTTAAAGGAAAAAATAATGGTAAAGAACCACCATAAATGGAAGATTTTTGGGAATATTCTAAAAAATATGTTTTAAATGATAAACTTATTAAAAGAATTAAAAAAATGAAAATTGAAGAAATTAGAGCAATTCATCCTACTAAAATTTAAAAATTATCTGTTTTTATATAAAATCCTTTATTTGAAAGAGAAAAAGTATTTAATGCTTCTATGGCTGCTGGTAATCTTGCTGATTGGATTAGAGCAGTCTATTCAACTTATGAAGCTGTTGAAATTATTGAACCAAAAAAAGCATAATTAGTTGAAGCAGAAAAGAATCTTAAATTAGCAGAAGAATAAGTTGAAATCAAAAGATAAGCATTAGCTGAAGCTATGCTTGTTTTAAATGTATTATCAGTAGAATATTAAAAAGCTAGAAAAGAAAAAGAAGAAATTGAAAAGAAGGTTTCTTAAATTTAAGCTTAATTAAATAGAGCTGAAAAATTAACTAATGGATTAGGTGAAGAAAAATAAAGATGGAAAAGAAAAGTTATTGCTTATAAATCAGAATAATCTAATGCTGATGGAGATTGTTTAATAAGTGCTGCCATTATATCTTATTTAGGTGTATTCCCAATATAATATAGAGAATAATGTTTATAATTTTGGAAATTAAAATTAAAACAAAATTAAGTCAATTTCTCTGATGATTATTCATTATAAGCATAATTATGTGATCCTATTTAAATTAATAAATGGATTTAATAAAAATTACCAAATGATTCATTTTCTATTGATAATGCTATCATATTAAAATAATCAACTAGATGGCCACTAATGATTGATCCTTAATTATAAGCTAATGAATGGATTAAAAATATGGAAGATATTAAAGTATTATTAATACTTAATTCTACATAATTACCTTAATAAGTATAATTATAATTAGAACATGCCATCTAAATTGGATATCCTGTCTTACTTGAAAATTTAGGATAAAGTATTGATCCACTATATGAACCTATTTTATAATAAAAAATTATTAGAAAGTAAAATAAATGTTCTATTAAATTTGGTGAAAAATTAATTGAATATTCTAATGATTTTAGATTTTATATGACTACTAAACTTAATAATCCTCATTTTCAACCTTAAGTATGTGTTATGGTAAATATGTTAATGTTTTAAGTAACATAAGAAGGATTAGTAGATTAACTTTTAAATATTGTTGTCAAAATAGATGAACCATAAAAAGAAGAATAACGTATTAAAAATATTTAATCAAATTTTATTAATAAGAATAAACTTATTTAAACTGAAACTTTAATATTAAAATTACTCTCTGAATCTAAAGGAGAATTGTTAGAAAATGAAGATCTTATATAAACACTTTAAAAATCTAAAGATGAAAGTCTTTCAATTGAAGAAAAATTAAAAGGCTTAGAATATGATAGAGTAAATTTCAATCAAATAAGATAATTTTATAAACCAGCTGCAGAAAAAGTAGCAAGTTTATATTTTATATTGAATGATCTTGCTGTAATTGAACATACATATCTATGGTCTCTTGATTTCTATTTCTCACTCTATACAAAATCAATTAGAGAAGCTTAATATGAAAAATCTAAAAGAAATTAAAATATTATTGAAAAGTTTATATTAACTCTTTATACATAAATTAATAGATCTTTACTAGAAAAGGACAAACTTATATTCAGATTTTTATTGTGTGTGAAAATGATGAATGTTCCAACAGATCTTATACGAGCCACTGTTATGGGTTGTACTCTTACATCAACTGATATATAAATGCCTAAAGGATTTCCTTGGTTAACTAGTAAAATGTGGTTAGAACTTGTTGATTTAACAATTTAATTTCCATAGATATTTGAGAGTATTTGTTCAGAATTTGTTGAATAGAAAGCATTTTGGGATAATTTCTATTCAAGCTAAACTTGTTATAAAATGCAATATAAAGAATTAGATTAATATTAGATAAATATGCTAATTAAAATTATTAAACCTGAATAATTTATATAGGCTACAAATGAGATGATACGAAAATAAATAGGTAATGCATTTTTAGAAAATATACCTACTACTTTTGAGCAATTCTATTTAAAATCTGATTGTAAAATTCCATTGTTATGTTTGATTACACCAGGAGCAGATCCTAGATAAGAAATCATCAAATTGGCTTCGAAGTATGAATTTGAAGATAAATTCAATTAAATTTCTTTAGGTTAAGGTTAAAGTTAATTAGCTATAAAAATGATACTTAGTGCAATGTCTTAAGGTTCATGGGTTTTATTACAGAACTGTCATTTAGCATCTTCCTTTATGCCAGATTTAGAATAATTATTTGAGACACAATATAAGAAAGAAATAAATGCTGATTTTCGATTATGGCTCACTTCTTAACCAACTTCTATATTACCTCATAATGTTATATTGAAATGTAAATATAATAAAATAATAATTTTAGCTTTAAAAATAACTTATGAATTACCAAGAGGATTAAAAAATAATATGTTAAGATCTTATTAAACATTAGATGCTGATAAATTTGAATAGTGTAAAAAGTTAAAAGAATGGAAAAATTTATTTTTTTCACTTTCTCTTTTACATGCTTGTTTATTGGAAAGAAAGAAGTATGGCCCATTAGGGTGGAATATTGGATACAATTTTTCATAACATGATTTAGAAATATCAAAAGAATAAATATTATTCTTTTTAGATTAATATTCTGAAATTCCTTGGGATGCACTTCATTATTTAATAGCTGAAAACAATTATGGAGGTAGAGTAACAGATCCAATGGATAGAAAATTATTAAAAATTTATGTAGAAGATTTAGTGAATCATAAGACAATATCTTAAGATTATATTTTCTATGATATTTATTAGACACCACCTTAAATGAATCTAAAAGGTTATATTGATTATATATCATAATTACCATTAAATGATCCTCCTTAATTATTTGGTTTACATGCTAATGCAGAAATATATTCAGCAATATTGGAAACTGAGAATTTGAGTTCTGTGATATTATAATTATTACCTAGAACTTAAGGAGATTCAGCTCAAAAACATACAGATAGTTTGGTATGTAAAAAAAGTTAAGAAATTCTTAAAAATTTACCATAATAATTTAATATTGAAGAAGTTCAATAATTATTCCCTTTAACTTTGGACAATCCTTTGAATGCTGTAATCTAATAAGAAATTACTAAATATAATAGACTTTTAATTAAGATATAAGATTCATTAAGTGTACTTATTTAAGGTTTAGATGGATTTATTAATATCTCTGATTAATCTTTAGAGATATATAATTCTGTTTTTGATAATAAGATACCAGAATAATGGTTAGCTTTATCTTATTTAACAACAAAATCTTTGGGTTCTTGGGTGACAGATTTAAAATAGAGAATTGAATTTCTTAATTAATGGATTACAAAAGGATAACCTAGAGTTTTTTGGTTAGGTGGACTATTTTTTATTTAAGGTTTCTTAACAGCAATCTTATAATAATACTCAAGAAAATCTAAAATTCCTATTGATTAATTAAGATTTGATTTTAAATTTCATCAGGATGAGCCAACAGAAAGTGGAAATCATGTATTTGCAAATGGTATTTCTATTGATGGAGCATCATTTGATTTCTAAGAATCAACTTTAACTGAACCTTCAAGTAGTATATTATTTTATCCATGTCCTATAATATAATTTTGTCCAACCTAAGAAATTGTCAAAACTTATAAGTATTATTCATGTCCACTTTACAATACTTCATAAAGAAAAGGTGTATTAACATCAAATGGACTATCAGTCAATTTTATATGTAAAATTAAAGTACCAATAAATAACAATAAAGAACATTGGTCTAAAAGAGGAGTGGCTTTAATTATACAAGCCAATTGAAGACTATAATTAATTATTCAAAATAATTCAAAGCAATTTATAACTATATAAAATTTCTAGGTTTATCACCAATTCTTTAATTCAATTATTTCTTTAAAATTGAAGATTATAAGGCATAAAATATTGAAAATAAAACTAAAAAACATTAAATATTCATAAATTTAATATAAAACTCATGGTTAACCAGATTATTTCCTAAGATTAACACAAGTTTATCCATCACAAAATGGTACACTTTTTGTTAATTTGCATCCACATAATTCTAAAGAATCTGTTTCTTATTCTAAAGTAAATCTATATGGTTTGAATGATGTTCCTTAATGAGAGCCATCACATAAAGGCTAAATTAAATATTGTTATATACTTATTTCTAACTTAATCCACATGAACACCATCTATAAGTCTTATTAGAAACTTTAGGATCCTCTATTTTTATTGGACCTAAAACAGGTGAGGTTGGAATTGGAGTAAATTATTCAACTTCAGGTTTATTATTTTGTTTATTCAAATGAATCACTTTCCCTGTCTACTCTAAATTTTTTTATTGAACAGTAAAACATCTTTTCATTAACATTCTTATCATTTTCTTATATTAATTTAATTCTTTAAAAAAATATTAAAAAAATTCATATTATGTTCAATATCATATAAATCATAAACATTTTTTTCATAATAATTTTATGTTTCTAAATGAATTTTTAATAAAATTGAATAAATTGATCGATATTCCATGTTAAAATCTTTTTGCATATCTCATATATGCTTATCCATTTGATTAGACAGATGGAATATATAGATATTTATATCTGTTGCTATTAAAAAGCTCATTTCTTGTCATATTATTCAATATACATGTTATCTAGTATATAGAATAATAGAGTTACTTCAACTAGCAATTCAAAATTTAAAATAAAAGATAATCCTACATTGATTAAAAATACTATTGATTATAATCTACTATATTGATCTATCAAGAAAAATATATTTGGTATTGCAATAACCAAAGAATTTAATTTGTCATAGTAATGCAAAAAAGTAAATAATAGATAAAAATCAATCAAGATTGTAAATGATAGAACAAATAAAAAATAAAAAAAATGATTTGTTGAATTAATGCATTTTCCAAAAAATTTAGAATGTAAATGATAATCTTTAACCTAAATCTAAATTCAAATAAATTACACACATATTGCAGCTTGAACAATGAAAAGTTCTAGGAAGCTTATAAGAAAGACATGTAAAACAAATTCTATTCCAATCTATTCTATGTAATAATTTAAATCTATTTGTTTCAAATAAAAAGTAAACTATATGAATAATAGTAAAACCATTATACCATAGTGGATCATTTATTTCTAAAAGAGAATTTATTTCTTGCTTGAATTAATTGATTTTATTAGCAAATTTAAAATAATAAGAAGGTTTTGTATGCATTTAATCTATTAAATCTTCAACTGCCTTATAATTCAATTATAAAAAGTCTTTTAAAGTAATCCCTTCTAAAAAAGATGGAGTCATATCATTTTGATATAGATTAAATTTCATTTGACTTTCTTTCTGATATTTCTTTAAGAATTTTTATTTTTCATTTAATCCCTCTTCCTCTTCTTAATTATTATCTTCATTTTCTTCCTCCATTTCTACTTCAGCATCTTCATACTCATTCTACACTTACCCAAGATTCATATTTCCAGCCAATGGCATATATTCATCAGACTATAATTATTACTATCTTATAGATGATTTCTATTATCTTTGCTTTATTTCTGTTTGCTTAGATTCCTCTTCCTTTATATCAACATTAATTTATGATGTATTCTTATTTTACTCACTTAATTCTGACATTCTTTTTTAAATGAGTTTAGTTCCTTAATTCTAATTATCAGTAGTTTTAAGCATAAACCATACAACATAAAATATCAAATATAACATTCCAATAATAAAACTAATATCAAACATTAAACCTAAAAATCCATCATTTAAAGTCTAAAAATAAATCAATAATTTACTTTCTAAACTTCACTAATAATAAATAATATTAGTTCAAAAAATATGAATAAAACTAAACATCCAATCACAATATACTTTTAATATGTTTTAATTATTGTTTATATTTTTTAATATATTTGATATTATTAAAGCATTTTTTAAATTTTAGCCTAATTTATTAATTATTTAATTTTTTCATTTGAATTAACTACATCTAAATCAAGAGCATATTCAATTAACTTTGGATTTTCTCTTAATAAGAATTTTATACTATCAATAGAACAATTATTAATTGCTTTTGTTAAAGGAGTTTATCCTTATTTATCAAATAGATTGTATTCTAATTAAAAAGCATTATAAAATTAAAGCATAAAAACATCATTTTCCATTGCTGAAAAATGAACAAAGGAATTTCCAAAGGTATCTTAAATATTTTAAAACTATCCTTTCGTTATTATATAAAATATTAAAGCATATTTTTTATTTTTTATTGCATATGACAAAGGAGACATATTTGATAAATTAGTGTTATCTAAAGAGCAACCTTAATCAATCAAATATTTAGCAATATCAATAAAACCAAAATTACAAGCAATTGCTAATGCATTTTGTTTTGATTAAGTCAATAAATCCAGATTAGCACCTCTTTTTTTCATTAATTTTAAACCCTCCAGCTATCCTTAAGTTGCTAAATAATGAACAATGCCAAATCCTTGTGGACCAAAAGAATTGTAATCTAAAATATCTTCATAACTAAAGATGATATCAAAATTTCCTTAGATTATAGCTTCCCATAAATCTATTGGATTTTCTTTTTCCTTTACATTGTCACATTCTTAATTAATTTTTTTGTTACTTTCAACATCATTATCTTCCTATTTATTTTATTGATTATTATCAGATGCTTCATTTTATTCTAATGATTATTTTTCATTATTGATTTTAATAAAATCATCGGCCATTAATTATATAATGATTATTATTAATTTTAGAATTCAAAATAGAAAGTAATGATTATTACTATAGTGAATTAATATTTTTGTAATTAATAAATAAAAATGATAACAATGCTAATATTATTGTTTTTTTTATGAAAACTAATATAATAATTTTTTAATGATAATGATAATAATAATGATATCATATTTTGTTTAAAAGTAGAGTAAAAATAAAAAAAAAAACATTTTAGATAATGTTTTCATTCTTTAGTTTCTAAACCACTATTATGTTTAAATTTATTTTAAAAAATATTATGTAATTGGAGAAATAATATATATTTAAAAAATAAAAGAATACAAAAATTTGGCAAGTATTTTATAATTTTGTATTAAATCCATCTAATAATCATGAATCTATAATTTATTCTGTTTTCTATATCTGAATTTTAGAGTTTGTAATATATGTTTTTTTTTCTTCATATTTTTTTTGAATAAATTATTATGTTATTTTTTCCAAAGTATGTTTACTTCTTTTCATAAGAAGGTTCTATGCATATTTAAAGAATATATGATATTTAATCTTGAAGTGAAATATCACTTGATACAATGAGAATTATCTTCATGATTTCTTCCCAATTGATATTCTCTCTTCACTGTTCTTATATTTATGTTCCACCCTTAAAGTTAAGACATGATTAACAAAGTCATATTAATCAGATTATTCAGTTTGTATGATTATCATAAATAGTTGATGCAAATCACTATATTTAAATTTATTCAATTATATATTATCTTAATCATATATATTTGATCCCACATTATTTGTTTGTGTGCTCAATAAAAGTACTAGCTAGTTCTTTCGAAATCTAATTTATTCCAAAGTAATTGGCAAAGTTCTATTCAATCTATTACAAACTTAATTGTTTTCTGTTAATAATATATGAAATTATATATCTTTCAAAAATTTTGTTTTTCGATTTTATTTCTTATTCATATTTAATTTATATCTAAGCATTAAATTTTTATCCATTGTAGTTAATTAAGCATATTGATATAGATTAGGTTTGCATTACATCTTAATAAAAATTATAAGATTTAAGACCATCTGCAATCCAACCTATAGGAAATGTTTGAGATTATTAAACATAATGGATAATCATGTCTGAATTTATACCCAACATTTTTAACCAACATTTATTTACTATTCGATTACATCCAATTACATTTTAATTATGATCAACAATAAATTCAATAATTTCTTGTGGTATCTCTAATTATTTTGGTGAAAATATATTTTTTTAATTCTCAGAACATACTTAAAAGTTTGAAACTTACTCTAAAAATAAATAAAAAGGAAAATTTATTTTTAATTCAAATATTTTATTTTATTGAAAAGGCAAGCTGTGAACTATTAGTTCATTTTTTTAGTTTTATATTGCTATTATTTTGAAATAATATGAGTAAATATCTAAAAGCAAATACCCAAATCTCTGTCTATATTTTTCGTTTGTATTAGAAACTTCTTGTTACTATTTTTCTTATTCAGCCAAAGGCCTTATTAATTCACAAATATATTTGGCTTCGTTTTTAAGCTTGTTTGAGTATTTTTATTCTTTATTAATAGCTTTCCTTTCCTTTTTTGAAGTCACTCTCTTAATTTATTTATTAAGTAGGTTGTTGAATTGAGACAAATCCAAGGAAGGATTGATGGGATAATTCATAAAATTTTTTAATTATCATCATCAAAAGTTAAAGGTAATGATTTTTAAACCAGAAAAATTGATAATATTGCATCATTTTACAATAAAGATTTAGGATTTTATAATTCAGGTAAAAAAAGATTAAAAAAATTTTCAAATAAATCGTATGAATGAAGCCTTTAATTAATTAAATTTAGATTATAATTATATGAGCAATTAGTAATTAAAAAATATTAATCATCAAATTTAATGATCTTAATTAATTGGAACCAAGTATTCTCGGTAATCATGCATATGCATAATTAAATTTGAAAAAGTTTGACTATCTAATTTAATTGAAAACAATTAATAAAATATTTATGATCTCACTAATTATAATGATGATTGAAAAATAAATAAAACATTATCATCATGGATTTTTCAAATTTAAAGAAAAATTATCTATAAAAAATCCAGAAGGCTGCTAAATAAATTACTAATTTAATATGAACTTGTTTTAAATCATATTTCTCTATTCTTTTATTGATTCCCAATCAATCAATAATACTAATGGAGAAAAAAGATTCCTTATTTTCATAACAACCTTCTTCTAGCTTTGACATTATCAATTTTATTTGTATATTTTATCTTATTTTCTTATCTTTATGAGGTTTTCAAACAACTTATCATTAAATTTACTTTTCTTAAGCTTTCTTATGATATAAAGATAAGCACTAATATATTCAGATATCCTTACTTCACTTTAGATAAGTAATTTCAAAATCATCAATTTATCACTCTCATTTCTTAATGATTAATAAGCCATCATTAATTTAAGTATGAAAGCTTTCATTCTAGTTCCTGTCACCAAAATAAGATATCTTCTACTTAAGTTATAAGTAATGATATCTAATTTTTATCTAAAAGTACAATAACTCAAGATAGTTATTCAAATATTCAGTCATAAAATTTATTAAGAAGAGGATATCTATAGAAATTTTTCATTTAAACAATTCTTTTTTTTTTGAAAAGACTGATTTTAAATCGAATTTTTTAGAGATTTATAATACTTATATAGCCTTTCATTAATTTAAAAAGGATATAAGCAATTATATTCTCACGTCAGTGAACCATTTTAAATTATTATTACAAATTTTTGATTCTCTTCATAGGAAGTATATAATAATTCTTAAAAGTAATATAATAAGCAGTATATACATATTTATGTAATAATAATATGTAACAAACATATAAAAATTATATTTGAGATTATAATATAATATAGTAGTATTATTGAGTATAAAAGTAATTAGAAAAATAATCCAGATTTAAGCAAATCTTTTTTCTCATTAAAATTTGATCTCTCATTCAAAATTTATAGGGAAATGTAAATATATTAAAAATAGCTAAATCTTGTTTAATATTTTTCATTGAATTATTGTAAAATTTAAACATATAAAATAATGAAATTTAATAAATATTTTATATTAAATTAGATATGAATAGTTTAATAATAATCAATCATAATATTGTATTAATCTTAAGTTCAAATATAAATAATTATTTTTTTCATTTTCCTTATATATGTTAAACAAAAATTGTAACTTAAGGTAATCTTATTGATGAGCATATATACCAATTATTGATGAGCATATATACCAATTATTGATGAGCATATATACCAATTATTGATGCTTTGAGATCACATACAATTGAAATATATATATGTGTAAACTAAAATTATATTTTTTTTCAAATCAGTTACACTTCAAAGGCAAACAAAAAAATGATTGGGATTTAAGGTTTAATTTGTTTGGCTTTGATTTAGTTATATTATTTTGATATTCTTTCTAAAATAAAAAGTTTCTTTTGTAAAATTTAAATTCTCTAAAAATTATTATAACTGCATAAAATAAGAATTATTTTATATTGATAAGACATGATATTGAAAGTATCATCATCATCCATCAAATAATTTATTTACTCAAAAGAATAATAACTAAAATTATTATTATAAATTATAATAATTTTTATTATAATTAATAAAGTATGTTTAGTATAGAAAATTTGAATGGAATCTCTTTAAAGATAATTTTATCAATTTATATAGTAATAAGTTTTTATTTTAATATCTAGTTAAAATATTAATGTTAAACATTTTTATTTAATGTTATTAAAATGAAAAGTTAATATAAATTTAACATTTTAGCAACTAGTATATATAATTAATAATTAAATATATAAATTTAGTTTGTATTATACTAATTTGATTTATAAATGTATATTTACTTCATTTAAGTTTCAAAGATCTATATATAAGACAAAAGAATAAGTAATATATATAATTTATAATGCATATATTGATTTCATGATCTTGATCTTAAATATGGAATAGAATTTGGCTAATCATCTGAACAGTCAACATCTACTATAGAGTGAGATCTCTTATAATCAGGTTCTGAAACTTAAAGATTCAAACTCAACTTTTAATTAAAGATTTAGTCTAATTTAGTTTGATCTTTATTTAAAGTGTAAAATAATTCAATTATATCTTCATCTAAAATTTCAATTATATTTTTATCTATTTAACTTAATTCTTTTTTCTTTTTTAATTTTGCAAAAGATTTAAAGGCTTCTTGTAATTTTATGAAATCTGATTTTTCATCTTATAATATAAATTAATATGCTTTTTTTGATTCAATTTCTTTAACTTTATTTTCTGCATCATTTCCAAATAATGCAGAAGGTATGACAGGTTTTGGTAAATAATTAAATAATTATAATTGATCTTCATTTAATAATACCAATTTCAATTTATCTATCTCATAAATTTTAGATATAATATAGGCAACATCTAATTTAGACATAAATTTATCAGTTGCATATTAGATTTACATTTATTCTTTTTTCTTACAACCAAAACTCATAACTATCATATCTCTTAATGTTAAATTTAAAGATTATTTTTTAGATTTTAAAAATTAACTCATAGTTTTAGAATCTTATATTTTATCAAAATTCTTTGATTTAAGAGATTTTCCTAATGATTTTGAAAATGAAGATTTTTTAATATCAAAATCTAATACTCTTTAAGATGATTATTATTTAGGAGATTAAACAATATAATTTTCTTACACATTTTGATCATCATCAAAACAATCAGTTGCATCTTCAAATCTGAATAATTTATTTGCCATTTAGAGATTCATAAATTTTTAAATCAAAGGTCTTAAAATAAAACAAATTGATAAAAATAAAACTTAATAAAGTCCTCCTATTGTACTTAAAATGGCTTATATTTTAGCATAAGATCTAGAATATTCAGCCTATCTTTAATCTAAAGTTATATAATGGAGAATTAAAAATTGATCATTATATTCCTCTTATGACTCACGATTAGTGTATTAAATTAGACTTGAAGATTCAGTTTTATCATCAGTAATAAGTCCATTATCGGTTATGACATTAGTTACTTTTAAATTTTAAATTATGGTTTTTGAATTTGCTATTGACATTGTTGTATATTAAAGCGAGATATATTCTGAAAACGGATAACCTGGTTGTTTCATTTATACTAGATTATCTGACAAATGAACCACATAATACCCTGTTTTCAATTCTTTTTATATGCTTTCAATAGGTGCACATTAATTATAAGAAGTAGAGTTCCTACATTCCTAAATCATAATTGTAATGTATTAATAAGTTTTTCCAGCAATTTGACCTTATAGTATCTAATGAATATCTATCATAAGTTACTGGAGGAGTATTTTGCCATTATTCATAATTCAGACATTATGTATAACCTAAATTAATGGATGAGAAATATTATTTTTAAATATTTGTAACAAAATGTTTATCACTGCATGCTTCTGTAGGGTATTCAGTACAACTTTTATATAAAATCATAAGATACTTCTGTTATATTTTAGTTTTCCCTGTATTTTCATCAATTACTCTTAATCTAATACAATTTTTCACTGTAAGAGTAAAATGTGTATTTAAAGTTGAAAGAGCATTCAAACTTAGATTTGCAACTGAAATTGCCATTGTAAAGTTATTCATCAATAAAGGAACAGGCTTTAATAATTAAATACTCTTACAGCTGTATCAGTCATTTAATACTCTGAAAATACAACAATTGGGCTTTTTCGATCATATAATTATTTGATTTAATATATTAAATAAAGTACACAGATTGTCGTGATTGCTGATGAACAAAAGAAGCCAGTTGAAGTAGTGAATTTATTTTTTTTTAAAATCCTTAATACAGGAGGTTATCCAAACACATCTAATCCACTTAAAAATCCCTATAAACTATTTTTTAACATATTTGAATTCTTTTTTTGGTATTTTAACATAATTTCAATATTTGATATTCTTTAAAAGCAATTATTTATTTTAACATAATTTCCTTTCATAATGGATTTTACAAAGACTCAAACTAAAGATATCAATAATCCTAATAAAAATGAAGATGATTCTTATGTAAAAGAGATGAAATGTATAATCAAACTTTACTCATTTAAGCTAGATTATTAATTAAAAAACACAAGGGAGCAATTGGTGAAGAAAATTTAGGCAATTTCTATATTGAAGATGAATAAGACACTGATAGATAAATAAGGTTTAGATTAGAGTATTCAGTTAATTTTTGGGTAAATAAACAAACCTTATCAAATTTAGAGTGCATTACTTTTAGCAGCATTTGTATCAAGATCTATTTATCCATTTAGTGTTAGATTTGTCAAAAATAGATTAAAACTTGAAGGCTTTCTCAATATTCATATGGTTTTTTTTTATAACTTTATTTTAGGCAATCTTACCTTTTATATTTCTAACAAATGGTTTTGTCTTAGGAGTATATGAAGGTTTATGGGCAAAATATTGGTTTGATAAAGAAGTAGAGTTTAAAAGAAAATAATATATAAAATTATGATGATGGGTCACAAAAATTGCATTATGTTCTTTTAAATTTAAACTTATCACCATTTTTAATAATTAAACAAATAGTCTAATTAATTTTAATAATATAAATACTTCTATTATAGTGTTCATATTTATGTAAAACAAATATTAATTTCAAAATTTTCTACATACAATAATTTTGGAATATATTATTATTTTTTTTAAATCTAAGAAAGTCTAATGGTTTTCAATAAATTTCCTTATTTTTCTACTTAGATTTAATTTTATTAATCGATACAACAAATTATAACAAAGAACTTTGGATATTAATTAATATATAAAAATTCTATATAATCATGAAAGTTTAGAACAAAGAAATATTAATTAAGAGAGCTATTCAAGATTCACTAATAGAAAAATAATAAAATAATATTGAATTAGGCGATTCTAAAAATACCTAGTATAAATAATTGGAAATATTCTCTATTAACATTTTAACTTTTTTATTAATTAATCCTTACATTTCTTTTATTATATTTACTGCTTGCTTTAAAATTAATTCTAAAATATTAATTTTTAATATTTTAGAATTTTGAAATTAAGAAAGACTAGGAATAATTCATTTTTTAAATAACAATGAATATTTTCATTCTAGAGATATATATTTTAAAGAAAAAAAATATATTATTATTAATTATTAATATAGATAAATTAAATATGATTTAAATGAATTATCATATATAATATAAAGAGATTTAAGAAAATAATATAATAATTAATATAAGTGGAAAATATAATATCCGTTGTGTTAATTAACATAATTCATTTTTTAAATATGCTTGTTGAGTTATAGAGTTACGATTGATATTCTTATTGTTTAATGTTGGATACAAATAAACCATCTTATTGTTTAAATTGATCAAGAAAGTCAGAATTATTTAATTAAAGTGAATTAAATAAATTTAGGTTTGGTTATTAATTTGATTGAAATGGTAACATAAATTAAGCTGAAAATTATAGTTATTGATTTTATTAAAAATTACCTGATTAAAATATTTACTCTTATTGATAAATTTCTTATTATTATTATTATTATTGTTATTGTTATTATTATTCTTTAATTTAAAGTTTATCATTTTTTTTTTCAGTTTTAGAATCATTACTTTAGTAAGGAGGAGATAATTAAATGATTGAATCAACCAATGCATTATAATCAAGTTAGAGATCTTGTTTACCATCCTTTGGTAATTTCATGAGTTTACAAAATAGTTTATTTATAATTCTTGGAGCAGTTCTTAATGCTCCATTCATATAGGTTTATCGCCAATTTTCAATGAACTTTTTAAAACTATAAATATTTGATTATTTATTTACTCTTCATTACAATAAGATTAAATATGTTGAGTTATAAGTAAAATGTCTTAATCATTGGATTCATTAAAAAAACATTTAATAGTGTATCCACAACATACTAAAAAGAGTAATAACTTTTTATATCCTTCTAGGTTATAGATCTAAGAATTTAATTAGAATTACTTCAGAATTTGACAAAAAGTCTTACTTAAAATATTATATGAAATTTTAAATGAGAGGATCATCATCAAATCTCCATTTCTATGATTCAATAATATGGAGAAAGAATATGACCTCGAGTTCATTGAACATAAACTTTTTCGTTACTCCTCTCAGCATTTTGAATAAAGGTTAGGCAGTAGCAGCTTAAGAAGCACTTTCTAAAGAAGCAAAACGGCTTAACATTTAATTAATGAGAAAAGAGTAGTATTAATCTGTATATGCAATGCATTTAGTATCATATTCTTTTTGTAAAACAACTTTGTTTTTTTTTAATTCATTTTTAGGATGAGTTTATTAGATATCTCTATATGATTAATTAGTTTCATCTTAAGTAGTTATAAATCTTTTATTAAGAGGTTCTTCATATAATTGAGTTAAATTTTCTAAACAACTTCTTGGTGTTTCTTTAACTATGTATGTAGGGTATTATTTATTCATCTAAATTGTATTTATAAGTATATTATAAAATTTAAGTTAAAGTAAATCATTTATATTAAATATTAGTTACTTCTAAGGAATGATCAGAATACTAATTAATTTTATCAAAGTTCTTAAATTTAATATGAATGCTTTATCAAATAGAAAATTATAATCTCAAAAACTTTCTTAAATTAATTGATATAATAATAACACAAAAATTACAGAATAAAATAATAAAAAAATTGATCTTATGTAATAAGTATTACTTCATTGCTATTCTGGATTTCCAGACATGGATAATAAATACTATGATATTTAGTCAAATTCTGATGACATCTATTAAATTAATTAATGTTATACTTGATTAAATAGAATATTTAAGTCGTCAAATTATTTCATAATATCATTAACAAATAAATCTTCGTCAAAATTTTATCCATCATTTTATTTATTTTACGTTGTCTCTTGTTTTGCTGCTTCTTATACTTTTTCTAGTTTTTATAAATCTTATTCACGCTAATTTTCTGCTTATCCTTATTCAATCAAAAGATATTTATCTTTTGGTTTAGAAGATGATTATTATTTTTTTGATTCTTAACTCTTAGTTGAACAACAGGCCCCCATTAATTTTATTTAATTTTAATAATGCAATCTATATTGAAATATTTAGAAATGTATAGTATATTAATTTCCATTCTTTTAAATTTATATATATATATATATATAGCTTATCATTATTATTATTAATTTAATTCTCTAACCATTGCTTCAATATCTTAATCCAACTTTTTATATTAATGAGATATTTTACTTAATTAATTGATTCTATTAATTCATCAAAAACCATCTGAACTTATTGTTCTAAAGGATCCAAATCAAGGTCTTCTTTTTTAATCTATGTAATTAGATCAATCTACTACAGGATTATCATTTATTATAACAGGGTTATTCATGGTCTGAGATCTTTAAATTGTAGGTGCTCTATCTAATGGCTCTTCATTAATTAAAGTTTATGATTATCCTCTTTAATTGTTTCCCATTTATGATATGTAAATATAAATAATGATAATAATAATTCATATTTTTTTGTTTTAAATAAATCATATAATAGAAATAAAGTTCTCTATTAATTAATTATAGATATATAATAAATTCACATATCGTCATCACTACTTCCTTTATCTTCCTCTTACATTAATTATTGATTGCTACCTATTTAATCTTACCTAGAAATTCTCGATAAAAAATTTAACATCTGATGCATCCCCCATGAATGTCTTTGAAATTATTATCTTTATTGTAAAAATTAAGCTTAAATTTCTTCAGTTGTTGACTATTATTAAGTTGATTGCCTTATCAAATCTTTTTATTAATAAACATATAGTTAATTTTTTATAGGATGAAACTTTAAACATGATATTTCTTTTTTGTATTCAGATCCCTAAATTAAAATATTTAATTACTTAAATTATTTCAATAGGTTAACTTGATTTCTAAATATGCCAAATAAGTAAATCTCCTGTGGTAGTTGCTGCAGCTATTAAATTACTATTGAGCCATCCAAAATCTAATTGAGGAATTAGAGTATTTAGACAAGAAGTAGGTTGGAATACTTTAATTAATTGTAATTCTGGTATTGAATATAAATTTAATTCTGATATTATATCACTTATAAGTATTAAAATAAAATTAAAAGGTTTATCTACAATTGAATTTTAATTATTTTTAGTAATGGAAATTTAAGAGATTTATTTTTTTGTATATAATTCATAAAGACTAATCTTATTTTGACTTGTTAATAACATAAGTTCTTTTTATTAATGAGTATGTAATTTAAGCAATTTCTCTTCAATTTTTAATCCTCCTTTCCTTTCACTTTCATTCCATTCATAGAGCCATCCATCTTATGAAATAGTATAAATATCATATTCATTTTTTTATTTTTTCTTTTATTAATTAGATAAAACAAAGTTAAATTATTAAACTATAGCATTATGTCCCTCAAGTTTATATTTCTTATCTGTTTAAATATTATATATAAAAACTGTAAAATCTTCAGATGATGTTCCAATATATTTATTGCAAGGTGAGAATATAATTGATGTTATTTTACCAGTTTGACCTGTTTATATTTTTTTTGGCTTTTATTAGTATTCTTTAGTTAAATTATCAATTTAATATAAATAAATTTAGAGATTATGAACTAATGCTTTATATTGACCATTCAATGAAAATATGCAAAATCTAATATTTTTCTTATGTTTGATTATATTGAGTTTAAAATTACAAGAATGTTTTTCAATTATATTGTAATTTTATTCTAATTTATTATGAAAATGACAATCTAAAATTTAATTTGCTTACTATTATTAAATTATTGTCACTAATCTATTAGGTTCAATTAATCCAATTTATTTATAACATAATTATATAATTTCATCTATCAATTCTTATTCTTATTTGACTTTAAGTTCTGGTATATATATCATTGAAGCATATTGATACTTTTATTCTTCATCTAAATATTGATATTAAGAAATGTACCTTAACAAAATTTAGTCATTTCATTTCTCAACAATTAGATTGCTTCCTAAACATTATGCAATTTAAGTAATTTAATATATTGTTATTCTAATACTTTCAAAATGCATTATTATTTTGTACTTTCATCTACATATTGATTCAAAATGTATTCTAATTATTTTATATCATATTTTTTTATTGATTGAGTTATTAATTCTAAACTTTAAGGATCTAATTGAATTTATGATTGTTCCTATAGTTTCTAAAAACTATGATCATATTTATATTATCTTAAAAATTAGAGAATTAGTTTTATTTTTTCTTCCTTAATATTCATTTAATATTTGATTAAAAAAAATTTCTTTTTTTAATTGACCATAAATAATGGATATCGTTGGAGTATATCATTATTGTTATCATAGAATGTATTGCCATAAGTTTTGAAAGACGAAGCTACTGAAGATAAGGGAGAGATGGCCAGATTGGTATATTATACATTATTAACATTCAAAGTAAAGCTTTGTAGGAGCAATTGCAGTTGCAGATCTAGTAAAAACAACTTTAGGACCAAAAGGAATGGTTAGAATTATGAATTAATTATATAGGATAAAATATTGAAGCCAACAGGACCAGGTTAAGAAATGACTCATATTACTGTAACTAATGATGGTGCTACAATTCTTAAATCAATGTATGTTGAGAATCCTGCAGCAAAGATTCTTATAGAAATTAGCAAGACCTAAGATGAGGAAGTAGGAGATGGTACAACAACAGTTGCAGTATTGGCAGGTGAATTATTGCGGGAAGGAGAGAAATTAATTTAAAAAAGAATTCATCCATAACATGTTATAGCTGGATGGAGAATTGCTAGAGATGTAGCTTTAAAGAGATTAAGAGATATTTGTAATGAATTATATATATATATTTGATTAGCTACTGAAAATGATATCAATTCATAAGAATTTCATGATGATTTAGTAAAGATTGCTAGAACTACATTGAGTTCAAAATTAATCACATCAGATAGAAATTACTTTGCTGATTTATGTGTTAAAGCAGTACTTCGATTAAAAGGATCTTCTAATTTGGATTATATATAAATAATAAAACTTCCAGGAGGAACAATAAGAGATTCTTATTTGGATGATGGATTTATTTTAAAGAAATAGATTACTATAGGATGTAAGAGAAGAATTGAGAATGCAAAGATATTGGTTGCTAATACTGCTATGGATTATGATAAAATTAAAATTTATGGTACAAAAGTTAAAGTCAATTCAATGGATAAAGTAGCAGAAATAGAAGCTGCTGAAAAAGAAAAAATGAAACATAAAGTTGATAAAATTCTTAAATATTAACCAACAGTATTTGTTAATAGATAATTGATTTATAATTATCCAGAATAATTATTAGCAGATTCTGGAATTACTGTTATAGAACATGCAGATTTTGAAGGAATGGAAAGAGTAGCTGCAGCAACAGGAGCAGAAATCTTATCAACATTTGATGCTCCTGAAAGATCATAATAAGTATTAGGTCATTGTGATTTGATTGAAGAAATTATGATTGGAGAAGAAAAAGTAATATATATATAATATTATATATTAGATGATTAAATTTACAGGTTGTAAAAAAAATGAAGCATGTACTATTGTATTAAGAGGAGCTAGTACTCATATTTTGGATGAAGTTGATAGATCAATTCATGATGCATTATGTGTTTTAATTACTACAGTTAAAAATAAAAGAGTTGTTTGGGGTGGTGGAAATTCAGAAATGTAAATGGCAGCTGCTTGTGAAGAAGAAGCCAAAAAAGTATAAGGAAAATAAGCATTTGCAATTGAAGCATTTGCTAGAGCTCTAAGATAGATTCCAACCATTATTTGCGATAATGGAGGTACATATTCTTATAGACTTGATTCAAGGTTATGACTCAGCTGAATTAATATAAAATTTCAAAGTTGAATTATAAAAAGGCAATAATACTTGTGGTTTAAATATGACTGATGGAACAATTGGAAATATGAGTGAATTAGGTGTTAAAGAATGTTTAAGAGTAAAAGAACAAGCATTGATGGCTGCAAGTGAAGCAGCTGAATTAATTATGAGAGTTGATAATATTGTTAAATGTGCACCAAGAAAGAGAGAAAGAGCATGAAGTTAAATATAAATAATACAACAATTAATAAACAAATCATATTACATTAATATTTGATTAATTTAGTCTTCCAGCTTCTTCACTTTATTATTATTATTAAGTAGTTTGAAATCGCATAGATTATTATTATTCACTTTCAAATTAAAAGCAAAGATTATCTGTTTCAATTATGTACAGCATATATGGATGATATGCTTTTAATGATAATATACAAAAGACACAAAACAAATAGATAAATATAGGTAAAACTAAATGTAACAATAGAAAGTATCCAATCCAAAATTCTTTATTATTTTCTAAGTCAATATTAATAATTGGGAAATATTAAGTGTCAGTCTGAAAAAAAATAAATGGATCAGTTTAAATGTTTTTCTTTAAAGTTCCACTTAATTCATATGAATATTAAATATTATTTTCAAATATCCATTTTACTTCAAATTAAAATAATGTACTATTATAACCTAAACAAGAATCATTTTAATCATCTTCTATAAAATAGCATTCTAAAAAAGTTTATTATTTTTCATTTTGTATTTTTATTTTTGCAAAACTTATTTAAAAATTTGAGATATCTTTATAATATTATTTTGGTAAGACTTATATTGAAGCAATATTATTTTTAATTATCTATTAAACTTCAACTAACATTCTAACTTAATCTATAGACTTAAATTCTGTTTTATATAATATATTTTCTTCAGTTAATTATGAAAAATTATCATCAATTTAAGTAATTGCTTCTAAATCTAGACTTTAATAATATTCTGAAATAAGAAACATTTATCTTATTTAATATTTAGTCTTAATCATAAAATCTAAATTATTTAATTTTTGATGATGATCAACAAAGATGTTTTAGCTTCCATTAATTAAACTATTATTAGAATCTAATTATGATATTTATAAAGGTAAAAGAGAATTATTTAAATATAATTAAAACCAATAAAACTAAGACTATTAATATTAAGATTTTGGAACTATTGCTTAATAATACAGAGTGCCATTTTTAATCTCTTATTCTAAACTAAAGCGAAAATCATAATAAAATTTATTGTAATTATCTACTTAAGGAATTTATCCTGTTAAAAGTACTTAATCCTAAGTATTAGTGTAAACTTTTGCTATATACACAAAAAATAAATTGATTGAAACATTTGAATTCAACCAAATTTCAATTTAATTCTAACAAGTTAAAAAATGATAATGTTAAATTTAAATAAAAGGTTACGCAGTTATTTTATTGCTTAAATTATACATTTTGTAATTTATGAAGATGTATATTTCATCTTAATTAAGGTACCTATCAAATATGAAGTTATAATTATAAGTTTAGTCTTCATCTAAAAGTAATTGGTTATTTAGGTCTAAACAAATCCCTTTACCTTTTTGGAGTCTTAATTATTATTTTCCATCTACATCTACTAATTTAATTTACTCTTTAGTTTCACAATCTATCCAATTCAAAAATTAGAATTAATAATTATCTAATGGAAAAACAAGATCTACAATGCCTTCAGCAAAAAAGAAGATGCAGAAAAATAATAATGTTATTGATCCTAACATTTATAATAATTAATTTTTATTTATATCTATCTATTTTAAAATGATATATGAACTATAGTTAGTAAATAGAAATTATGCCAGACATACATGTGTTATGATAAAAATATTATGAATTTAAAAATAGTAAAATCAAGTTTTTAGAACTTACGATTCGTAATTATAGATCTCTCTTAGCCAGTTATCGTATATGGGTATATTAAGTATAAAAGTGGATAACAAAAAACATATTATAGGTGCACTTAAGGATAAAATTAAAAGAATAGCAATAAAAGTAAAATTATAATCTGGTTCTAAAGGTGGAACACTATCCTTTAATACTATATCAACTAAAAAAAATTAATAACTTGGAGAATTCATATTAGGCCTTTTAACAATTGCTGTCAGATTAAAAATATAACCAACATTATCTTTAAAATCTAAATCTATAAAGAATGAACAATCTATTTAACTTAGACAACTATAATCATAAGATAAGTCACATTTAACTGTTTCTCCTAAGCTATTTTTTATAGTTATAAATGCTTCTTCAAATTATGATAAACACTATTGAGACTCATATGGATTTAAAGATATTTAAACTTGATTCTTATATCTAAATTTAATAGTATAGTTATAATTTATATTAATTTGATGTTATTAACCAAATTTTAATTCTTGTATATGATTAGCTATCGAGGAATAATTATTATCAGAGATTTATTAAATTGTTTAAAATTGTATATATTTATCAGGTATCTTTGGGAAACAAGGTGTATAAAAATGAAATGTGTATTATGATAAAATAAGAAAACTTAAATCTTTAATCTAACTTACATCTTTAATTTTATTAATATCTAACGTACATACAAATCTAATTTTACCATCAATTTCATTATTAATACACTTCATTTACTCATAAAAATTGAAAATATTAAATTCTAAACATGAACTTACAGATTCAATGTTTTCAAAGGATAATTACCCTTCATAAATTAAAATAGAATTAATTATCTTCTAATTCTTTGTTTATAAATTATATTATGTAATTTAATATTCCTCTCCAATAATTAAATGTGATAAACTTAAGACTTAGTTATATTCTCCCTAATTTTAATTTTCTGAAATCAAAATCAAATAGTTTTTTAAACCCAAATCTTTAGTTTTTGATATCAAATAAAATTCAATACTATTATAACTACAAAATCGTTAATGTCTTATAAGTACAAAATTATCAGTGGCAGTTTCTTAAGTGATATAATAAATTTTTCCATCAATAATTATTAACAACAGATCATCATATTCTATTGTTCTGTTGAATACAAAATAATAGAAACTCATTGGCTCAGATAGACTAAATTAGAATAAATCATGTAGGCAAAGTGGATTGTTATATGAAATAGGTAACTATATGGGTTATTCAAAATTATTTATAAGTGGTTGAATAGAGCTTGAATTGTTACAACTTCCCCATTTTTATTGAAAAATCTAAAATCTATTTTAAGGAAATAAAATTTTATTCTTTGTATTCACAGTTTAACATAGGAGGAGTATAAATGTAAAAATTAAATTAAACATTAAATTTATTTATTATGAACATTGATTAGCAAAACTAAATATTTTTTATGATGACATGTGTGGAATTTGTGATAAGTTTATAAAATTCATAATCTATTTGATAAATCCTAATATTTTAGTATTGTATTCATTACAGAATGCAATTTAAGATGAAAAATTAAGAAAAGAATATTAATTAAATCTATCATCATTAGTAGTGATAACATAAAATAAAAAACTAATAAAATCAAAAGCAATTTTTTATTTACTTAAGTTAACTAAATTTAAATATCTTATTTAAATTCATTGAATTTATTGTATCATTGTGTTTGTCAGATTAGATCTACGATTTTATCGCATAATACAGAAATAAAATTTGTAAGATCAAAAAAAGATGAATGATTATGAATTAATATTAATATCATATTTCTATAAATTCACTATTAAAATTCTAAATATTAATTGTATAACTATTTGTACAAAACTTTGAATAAAATATTGAAGGTCTTTCCTATTAATTTATATAATATAATTTTAGAGAATATATAAAATTAATAACAAAATTTTTATTAAAGAGATTCAAGAATTTTCTACTATTTAATATTTTTCATTAGTTTAAATTTATTCGAATTATCAACACTTCTTATGAAAGTAACATCTACTTAATAAAAAATTATAAATTGAAAATTAACATAAAATTTTGATAAAATAATGATTCAAATTTATTTTTTAAGTAAACTTAAATGAAATAGGATAGAATTGCTAATTCAAAAATATAAAATACTTATTATATAAGCTGTAGAAGTCTAAATTCAATAACAAAGATCTGTAAATTTGTAATATTATGTATATTAATAAATCTTATGAAATTGGTTTGTAAAATCTAAATTTCTGATACTAAATAATATATGATATTCATTAATTACATTACTATTTATTTTAAAACTTATTGAAGCTTCTTTATTTGAAATTCTTAAAATGCGGTTAAGCTATTTCTTTATTTCTTTTATTGGGAAAATGATAATTTAATAAAATTTATTCATTTTTGTGAAAGCCTTTAAAATAAAATTTATCTTGTTTCATATTTAAAATAAGGAGTGTTTGTTATATAAATCATTAAATTGAAATAAATTAATAATAAGTAAATTTTTGAGTTTAAAGGCTTAGATTAATTATAAAATCAAATTTCTATAAATTTATATTTCTCATTTAAAAATTCAATCAATTTAAAATGGGAACAGAGGAATAAGATGATAAGGTAGAATTAGTAGTTATCTGAGAAAACTGCTTCCATTAGTGATGCAATTTTATTGATGATGGCTTTGCTTGTTCTTAACTAGATTATTATAGATCTATTCAACAGAATTCAGAAGACAAGTCCCATCAAAAAATTTATCAACCCTCCTATGATTACAACGACTATTGGAATCCTTGCGGGTATTGTAATGAATGAAATCGAAGCAGATAATGCAATGAACTAAATTAGAAAAGGATTTAGCTCACTCTTTTTGATTGTTCTACTCCCTCCAATACTATTCGAAAGGTATGTTTGATAATTATATATTCCTAAGCGCTGTCAATATGGAAACAGTAATAATATTGTATATATTCTCTAGTAACCATTTTTTTAGCATTTCGGCACTATTCATTTATATGCGATATTTGGCACTCTAATATCAATTTTAATAACAACAGGAATGATATATTTAGGAGGTCTTACTGGGTTTGTAACTGCTTTTCCATTAAATCTTGCATTTGTATATGGATCATTGATTTCTGCAACTGATCCAGTTAGTGTAATAGGTGCATTAAAATCTATGGAAATTGAAAAGATGTTAAGCATTTTAATATTTGGTGAAAGTATTTTAAATGATGCTGTTTCATTAACAAGTTATGAGTAATTTTAGTTAATTGATTTATTTAAGGGCTGCTCTGGATTTTTATAATGATTCTGATTAGGGAGTAGGTTGGGTTATTTTAGGGTTTTTTTTTGAATTCATATTATCAATAATAATTGGATTCTTAATAGGTTGTTTGAGTGCTTATGTAATTGAATTATATATACTAGATATTAAAAAAAAGAAATGAAGATTCATAAGATTCAATTGCAGAATTAGAAAATATTATAATGTTTATAGTTCCTTGGGTTTCTTATTTGATTGCTGAAGCTTTGGAATTTTCTGGCATAGTTAGTATAATTTTTTGTGGAATTTCTATGGCTAGATATGCTATTCCAAATTTAAGTAAATCTGGAAGAAAAGTATAAATAACACTTAAATATAATTAGAGCATTAGTAAAACATATCATAGTCTTTCATCTACATTTGAAAATTTAACTTTTCTATTTATTGGTATTGGATTGATAGGTTTTGATCTTTATTGGGATTAAATGGGAGTAGGTTTATTTTTAATTACGTTCTTTGCAATCTTATTTGCTAGATTAGCTAATATTGTATCAATGAGTTTTATTGCAAATTGGTTTAGATCAGCAAATAAAATCAATAAAAACTAGCAAGTATTTTTATGGTTTAGTGGATTTCGAGGAGCTATGGCATATGCATTATCTTTAGAAAGTTGTCTATAATTTGAATATTATGGAAACATTATGTTAACAATGACAATTTTGATAGCAATAATTAATATTTACTTTTAAGGAGCTTTTATAATACCTTTGATTGAAATATTGAATCTTAAGTTACCATAAGATGGAAATGAAGAAGAAAAACCTTAAGTTGGATGCTTAGCAAGATGTAAATATGCAATTGGTTAATTTGATGAAAAATTTATCTCATCAAATTTAATAAAATAGTATTATTTTACTTTTATTTGTTTAGAGAAGAAAAGAAAGATATTGAATTATAAGATGTAGAAAAATAATGACAATGTAATAATAATATATTTATAATATAAGTTATTATAAACTATATTTAGAATCAAAAAATAAATGTTGCATTTCAATTAGATTTTCTCATTAAAAAACATATTTTTAGTTAATCTTTGGTTGAAATGTACATTATTCTCTTTCTTTTTACAATGCTTCCTCCTCTAATTGTCTCTTATTAGTATTGTTTTATTAAGTTATTTTAAATGGTTCTGGTTTTGTTTTTTCTAAATGATTCTTAAAGTCATATTTTAATTCATAATGAAAAAGCTCTTTTTCTCTTTCCTATTGTTATTAAGCTTTCTTTTTTAAGTTTTCTTTATTTTAGAAGAAATTTTGAACTCCTTTTACCTTTTAATTTAAAGTTTCTTCGTCCTTCTAAAATTATTTTGTCATTGGTTTAAATGTACATTCCTTTAACTCTTAATATTACATTTGTCTAGAAATATATAATATTTTTCTACTTTTTTAAATCTTAAATTTTCCTTTCTTTAAGTTCTTTTTCTAATTCCATATTTTATCTTATTAAATTTTTATCATATTTAGATTTCACATGTTAATATTATTGAGATTTTTTAGTTTAAGGATAATAACTAAATGATTACTTGGATTCTTATTCCTATGAATATTAATAAATAAATTACTTCTTTTAATCTATTTAATTTTTCTTATCTTTCTGGATTGTAAGCAAGATCATCAAGGGATCTTTTTTATGCAATAATAGATGAAATATGATTTATTTAAGGTTTAAAAGTATATTATTGATAATATGCTTATTAAATTTATTCTTTTAGTATTTGATTTTTTTCATAATCCCTAACTCCAAGACGATTAATTTTATCTGACATATTCTCTTAAAGTCTTTCTTCATTGCTTTCCATAATTAATTCGCTTGTTTTATTAATTTAAGGTTTAAAAGTAACATCAGAATTTTTGATAAATTCTTAGATTAGTTTTTCTTTTTTTTCTCTCATAAAATCAGCCATCAAATATTAGGTTTAATAGACTTAATTAATTTATTGTACAGGTTTAGTTGTTGGATTGATCTATGGGTTAAATGTACATTCATCTTTTTCTTAAATTTCATTCTTTTAATTTATTTTTTTTTATAATTTAATTGCTGCATCTTCCATTAATCTTTCAACTACTGACTTTGAAGTTTACTTCTATTCTGCTATTAAAATAGATCTTTATGAAATCTTAGGTTAATATGTAACATCTGATTATTATTAAAGTTCTTATTGTTTTAAGAATAATTCTTCTTATTTTTTTTTCATAACTTCATCAATTCTTTCATATAATGGTTTCATGAATTATTTTTCTCCTTTTAACACATTACCAATTTAACTAATTTCTGGTTTAAAAGAGAACTATTCTGAATTAATATGATCAAATTTTAATTATTCTTTTCTTTTTTTTTATTCAATTCCATCTTAATATAACCTATCAGCCACAGGCTAATCAGTGTTTCTTCTTGATGCAATATCACTAATTATTGGTTTAAAAGTACAATGCTATTCTACCAATTCATCAATATATTTTCTTTTCTCATTTTCCCTCTACTCTATTTAATTTCTTTTATCTTCCAATAATCTATGCCAAACTTCTTCTTTTGAATATTCCAATACTTTTTTTTATTGTTATCTTGGCATATCATAAGATTTTGGTTAACAACAAGGTCTTTTAATTTTTGGACTGTAAGTTGAATTAAATTCTTCCATCAATTTATTCAAATACGTTTTCTATTATTCTCCTTCTTCACATTCCTCTTCATGAGGTTCAGAAATGAATTGTTCTCTATGATCAGACTAACTTCTTTAGATTCTCATCATATATTCATGATTGAATTCTTTATTTTTTTCTAACTATTATTAGAGTTTTTAAGCTGTAAATTCAAGAGTTTAACTTTAAATCTTAGACTCTTTTTTGCTACTACTAAGAATCAAATCATCCCAATATTGGGGAGATTATTATTCGATCATCATAACGAATTTTGAATTAAATTAATAATATAATATAATCTGATTTTAATCATAAAGAGATTCTTACAAAAAATAGAAAAATAATCAATAATTATTAAAAATTGAGATAATAGTTTATATCTAATCATTTACATATTTCTGTAAGTATTCACCTCTACTATTAAATATTATTATGTTTTTAAAGTAAATTTAACTTTATTAAATCTTAAAATTTGTTAAAACAATTAATATAAACAGAAATCTTCATTATCAAACTTAAATTCGATATTATTTTGGAATCTTAAAAATAACAAAGAAATTTGTTAGCATTAAAATAAATAAATAAATATATTATGTCTTGATTATTATTATTTATATTATTAATGATTCACGGTCCAAATTCCCCTTTTTCAGGAGCTTTTACTATTGGTAAACGATATGAATGTATAATCTTTCTCTATTCCTTAGCTGCCATTTACTAAACTAATCCAAACCCAGGGTAATGTATGCTATTGACATAGTCCAAATCACTACTCTATTAATCCAATTGATAAACCCATAGGGTTCAGATTTTCAAAATCGAATAGAAAACCCTTATATTAACCTAGTATTGCCCCAGATCCAGGAGCGTACGATCTGAAATTTTAAGTCTTTAAAAATATAACTTAATTAGACAATCTCCTAAAATTCACCTTCAGCTGTATTTACAACAGCTAAAGATCACTAGAAAAGAGGTTTAGAAATTGGTCCTGGATCTTATAATTGGACAGATTAAAAAAAAGCTCCAGCATTTACATTTCAAAGCAAATTCGATTCTATTGGTAATCAGATACTTTCAAATCCTGGCCCAGGAACTTATGACATTAAACATTACCATACACATTAACCCTAAAATAAGGGATTATCAACAAGTTAGAGGGCTAATCAGTTAACATCAAGTACTCCAGGACCAGGATAGTACGACGTTGAAATACCTAAATTCTCAACCAACATTAAGTATAATTTAATTTCTAACAGATTTCCAAAATCTTAGAGAAGTTTAGAATAAAGTTAAATTGGGCCTGGCCCAGGAGCATTTGATTTGGCATTGCCCAAACAATAAGGCATAACATTTGGAGTCAAAGGGAATCAAAAAATTGAAAAATAAAATGTTCCTGGCCCTGGTAGTTACAAATTAAAATCATTTGTTGAATATGATGAAAGAGATTTAAAATAAAATAAAGTAAAAGGAGTTAAGTATAGATAATTTACTCAAAACTAGAATTGGTACTTCGGAAAGAAGTAGTTAAAATTTTCTCAAGTTTGGACCATCTCCTTTAGATTATGATGTGTCCAAATATAAATATCCTACTAAACATGCTAGGTAAAAGGATATAATATAATTTTAGTTTCGGAAGTGCAGTCAGATAATCAATTGTTCCAAATGAGAATACTCCTGGCCCTGGATCATATATGGTTGATTCAAAACTTCGACCTAATGGACCTATCATACCAAAAGCATCAAAAGATTTTAGCTCATTAGATAATGCTCCTGTATTTTGTAAAATTAACATTCTAGGGTCCTGGAAAGTACAATCCTAACACATCAATTTCATTAAATAAAGGACCTAGCTATCACATTGCTGGCAAATATGAAAAACCATTAGAAAGCAGTTTGGTTGGACCTGGAAGATATAATATTTCAAGGAATATCAATGATGGTCCTAAATATACATTTCCAACCTTAGAAAAAAGTATGGACAACAAATCTTTAGATATAAATTAGTAATTTACTTAGTTAATAAAAAATAGATCCCATTGTTATGAAATCTAATAAACCATTGGATATATACCTCCGTACAACTTACATAATTGAATAAAATCAAAACGGATTAATTTAATATATAATTATGAAAATTATTGTCTTGATATTCTTGTTAGGGGCCTTTGCTTCAAACATCAGACATAAAAAAGAAAGGTTTTTTATTATTCTTATCATTTAGACATATTGATTCATAGACATTATCACACCAATAATAAAACACTAAAGGTATTTGGATAATAAATAAATATGCTTAGAATTATTATAAGTCACTGATGTAGACAACTAATCTGAGACATTTGTTGAGGAAACTCTTAATCAATAATAAAATTTAGAGGAACCCTAACCATTATACAATAATGATGGCAGATCACCTGATATGGGTTTGAACTAGGTTGACAATAATGATGCTCCAGAAGCCCCTATGATGGCAGATAATGTTTTAGATTACTCAGCACAAGAAGAAGTGATTAAAGGTGTATCACTGATATAAGTTGGGGAAATTGATGCATTAGCTGATATTGACACTAGCATGCCATTATTAGATGAGGATTTTAAATATGATGAATAAGCCCTTTAAGAAACTCCTTTAAATATTGATGTCATTGAAGAAGTACCTTAATAATAAGAATAAGAGGTGAATTAAATTGATGATTAATTATAATAAGAGATCGAAATAGAAGATTAGCAAGATTAACTCATAAATGAGGTTTAATTACTCTAAATTGGAGGATTCTATTATTGATTTATTCAAAAAAAATATAATATTAAATTAATTATTCATGAATAAAATCAATATTTCAGCTACATCAATCAATTTTAGAAAGTAGAAAACTATGAACAATTAAATCAAAATTGATTCATCAAATGCTTTCAATCACAACAACTCTATTATTTAAAGAAAGGATGATAAATAATAATCATCTTAAATCTTGTAATCTCACACAGAAAGGACCAAGATAAACTCTATAAGTAGAGAGAAAATTTAAATAAACAAAAAGTAATAATAACTAAATTTTATTTTAGTTTAGCTCTCAAATTAAAACTAAAATAAATAATTCTAGTGTAGATAAGGTGTTGAATAATTAAAGAACATAATCATCAATATCTCGTTAATCAAATTGTAGTCCAACATAAAAGAGCACAGCTTCAAAAAATAAGTTATCAATCACCCCTTAAAGAGATAAATTAAAATAACAATTTGAATAAGAATAAAAAAAGCAGTTATCATCATAAACATAGAGATAACAACAGCAACATTAATAATAATATTAACAATAATAATAATAATAATAATAATAATAATAATAATAATAATAATAATAATAATAATAATAATAATAATAATAATAATAATCTAAAAAAACAGATAGGTAACATACTCCAAAATCAACAAACAAATAAATGTTTACATCTCCAAATACAAAACTTCTTTAGAGTAATATGATAAATAAAATGAAACCAAGCTTTGAAAAAGGAAAATCCTTACCTTTTAAAAAAGAGAGTGCTCCTGTAAAACTAAATACTCAAAATACCAATTAGATATCATCTGCTTAAAAATCAAATAGAAAACCTAATAAAAATTTGAGTTAAAGTAAGGAAATTCCCTTTCAATATGAAGAATTTACATTACAAGCTCCATAAACTAAGAATGTTTAAACTGAGGGATTATCTGTAATTTTTAGGTTTATTAATTTAGTGTTTAGTATTACCAATATTTTAAGAGTCAAAATATTATTAAACCTCATTAATTCATTTTCATTATGAACAAATAAAATAAAAATAGTCCCCTTTCAAATATTATTTTGATAGAGAATATTAAAAAGAAGCACTGATAGAATATTTTAAGGAATTATTTCAAGAGCATTTTTTATAAAATTATAACTGTCTTTAATATTGCAAAAAATATACTTAAAATATATAAAAGAATAAGAAGTGTGAATTTTTACCAGGACATTGTCAAGAGATTAGAACCTTAGTGTTTGATTTAGATGAAACTTTAATTCATTGCAATGATAATAATAATGACCCTACTGACCATGTAATATAAATATAATTACCAAATGAAGGGACAGTAGAAGTATTTAAAGTTAGTAAAATTTAGGCTAGGATTAACATAAGACCATATTGTTAATAAATGTTAAGACTGTTATCGAGTCATTTTGAATTAATGTTATTTACAGCCTCTTATCAATATTATGCAGACAAAGTGCTTGAATTGATAGATCCTGATAGAACTATATTTCAATATAGGTTTTATAGGGACAGTTGCATAGAGGTTGAGGAGGGTCTATTTGTTAAAGACTTAAGGATAATTGGGAATAGAAAATTAGAAGTAAGAATTAGTGATATATAATCTAGAATATTTTGCTAGTTGATAACGCATCTTATTCTTATTGTTATTAATTAGATAATGGAGTACCTATAATTCCATTTTATGATAATAAATATGATAAGGAATTGATATTTTTGGCTGATTATTTGATCAATTTGAAGTAATCTGAATAATGGACTAAGTAAAATAGAATGCACTTCCGTACATATTTTTATTAGATTTGCTCTAATGGAGAAGAATGTTTGAAAGAGCTATTTCAAGCACATGACATTGTTTAAGATTGATATAATTTTATTAAGAATTTATATATGGTTAACTTATATTTTTTTGTTAGGAATTGGTTGAGACTCTGTAATATATATAATAAATAAATTAACTGCAAATCAAATGAATTACGAAGCATTACTTGAGGAACTGGGATTGGATGGTACTCCATAAAAATAAATAAGCAAATCACCATAGAATAATACAAGAGCAAGTGATAATACTTACTTTACCAAAACTCCTGAAACAAAACAAAAAAAAATAAAATTAATATTAAATGTAAATTTGAGTTCCAATCAAGTGGAATAGTTAATGATTTATTAAGATGATGATCCAAAGTTGAAAGTATCAGAATTTTGTCATTTGCACTAATTAGACAAGAATGCATAAAGTGTACTTATAAAATAGATCAACAGTAATACAAATAATGAAAATTATCAAAGTTAACATAAATTACAATAGTAAAACTATTATTCTAAACAATTACAATCATATTCAACAAAAGAGTCAGAATAACCAGGTGAAAGACTTTATCAATTGGCTTAAAAGAAAAAAGAATAAAGAGAAAATCAAATAAAATAGTATTAAACAGAAAAATAAGAATAAGAGTAATAACAATTATAATAGACTCCTAAATTAAGCAAGCAAACAAAAATATATTTGGTATATATTAATTCATTGATTAATTTAAGGAATAAGCAGGATATCGTAAGAATGGTTATATGAGAGAGAAAGGAACTTTAAAGGACAAATAAATTTAATAGGTATTTTTGGATGAATAAGGGAAAGAATATAATTTTGTACCTTAAATAAATGAATTGTAAGAAATCAATATTATTGATTAGATCAAAATAAATGAGTCATTATATTAGAGAGAAACAACATTATGAAAACGTATTTGATGAATTATATGAATAAGCAAGAAATAAAATGTACTCACAACCAGAATATGATATTCCTGAATGTACTTTCAAACCTTCAGTGAATTAGAATATTAAGATAGATGAAGATTTTTTAACTAGGATGGAAAAGAAATAGGAAGAATAAAAGGAAAAAAGAGAATTAATTAAAATGAAGTATGAAAACGTTGACTTAAAAACTCGGCAATTATTATATCGACCTAAAATATGTAGAAGTCCTTATGCTTAAACATAATCAGAAAAACGTATATGAATAGATTAAATCATAAGCCATTCATGAGAAGCTTTATTTATAGTCCAAGTTAAAGTCAGAAAAATTACAGTAAATGTCTGAATAAAAAATCATGGAGGAAAAAGAATCATTAAATGTTAGATTGAAAAACGAATTGTCAGAGGATATCGTATTTCTTTAAAGAAAAAAGATACTAAAACAATTATTTATTGAAATGGATTCAAATAAAGATGGTTAAATATAATGTTCTTATGAAGAAATTAATAATCTATCTCCTAATATTATATAAACTCTTTGGCCTGTATTAAAATTATTATAGGAATAAAAACGAACATTAGATTTTGATGACTTTTTTGAAAATGTTTATGAATATTGTATCAATCTACCATAAATCTAAAAAGACATCATTTTCAAGAAGTCAAAAAATAATTATATTACTATGAAAGATTAAGATTATACTTTCACTCCAAAGACTAATAAAAAATCTAAATCCATGAATACAGTTCATTATCCTAGTTGTAAATGTGAAATATGCTCATAAATTGCTATTATATAAAGGCAATTAAATGATTAATGAATAATATATATATATTACATGATTTAAATAATATCTTATAATTAAATAATTGTTCATAAATGCAAATTTAAAGATAAAGAATACATCAAATAAATAAAATATTAATATAATTATATGTCTGCTAACTGTATTCAAGAAAAAAAATTTGCTTAGATGAATGAAGAATTAACAATTGATAATATGGACTAATCAACAACTAATTAATCAAAATAAAGTAATGCTACACTTTCCATGGCTTTTCCAAATACTGATAACAACTATAAATACAAACCAATAAAAACTCAAAGTATTTTTAAACAATAAAATAGGAAGTCTGTTGTCACTTACTCCATAGATCAGTTAAAGAAGAAGTTCGAAATCTCTGATTGAACAAACATATGTTATTGAAGAAGAAGTATTTACATTATTTAAATATTAGCCATAAATTTAAGGATAGAATGAAGTATTTCTTATTTATTGGTATGATTAAAATATTGATCATAAATATGAGATAATAATCTAAGCACATAATAACATTACTATAGGTGATTTAATTCAACTTTTTATCTAACAATTCAATGAACAAAATCAATATTTATAAACTCCGTTTTCATCTGATGTTCATAAAACAAATATTTATGAATTATTCATACCAAAAAAGAAAAAAGGTAACCCAAATGAGGATTTTCCAGGTATTATGATATAAGTTATTTTTAGCCTTCGCTAATTAAACAATGCTTAATTAAACCAATTTAAAAGAATTTTCCTTAAAAATAACAACTAAATAAATAACAAATTATTCGTCAACACTTTTAAATCCCTAGAATTCCTCAGCATCTAAACCTAATACCAAATAGAGATAAAGTCTAACAAATTCTAGTTAAAAAAAGAAGAAAAACTTTTTTTAGAAATTATTTTTCTGTTGCAATCATCAAGCAGAAGAATTTTGAACTTAATAACTTAAACTTGTTTAATGCATTTACATAACAAATATATCTAAAATCTAATTTAATATAATATAATAATGGTTTCTATATTGATTGATTCTGATATCCTACCTTGATTCTATTTTATTTAACTATATTTTATAAATAAAAAAACATAAATCTGTTTAAAATATGAAAAGAATAATTTTAGAATTCATTTAATTTTCTTGTTGATTGTAATTTGCTTTAAATCTTTATAAATTGAAAATATATATAGTATTTTAAACAAATATGACAATATTCATTAACTTAAAGACTTATTTAAATGTGGAAAAATAAATTAACAAGCTCTAAACTTTAAGTTAGGCTTCTTATATATATATGTTGATTATTCTCTTTAAATAAAATAAAATATATTATCTCATCTATTATTTTTAAGTTATCTTCAGTATAAATTATTTTTACTGTGTATATTAAATAAAAATTATATGAAATCATAATTTTTAACTATTTCAATATTTAGTGATTTTTCGGAGTTATAATAGTTATTTACGATATATATATATATAGACTTGTATTTTGATTCTTGTATAAAATAGGATATTCATTTTTATAATTAGTCATAAGTTAAATAATAGAAATTGGAATAAGAGAGAGATCCTATAATCTGAGATAGTATTATTACTTTTAATACAAATTGAACAGAATTAGGAATATTATTTTCAGATTATGAATTCTCAATATTGATAATAATAATTATAATATATTTAAAATTATACTAAAGAATATATGAGTCGTGTACTTAGATATTAAAAAAAGAAGAAAGATGATGGTAGATAGTTAATTAATTGATTAGGACCATTACTTAAAATAAATTTTGCAAAATTTCCTAATTTACCAAAAATAAGGGAAGAAGAAGATAGATTATAAGGTTTTATTAATTCTTTTGAATCTGATAGCTAGTAATTTTCAATCATCAAAATAGGTTGTCATTATAGGAGAGATCATGTTAATTGAGAACAATGACTGCATCTTTTTCTAGAGGATTAAAAACTACTTCAAGTTCAAGAGACAAAAAAGAGTAAAAAAAGGTAGATGAGAATTATACTATTTATGGATTATCAAAGATAAAAACAGCAAGAAGTCCATTATAATCTTAAAGATAAACTCCAAATCCATATGAAACTGAATAAAAATTGGAGCGATCAAATGAAGAGTGGTTTTAATAGTCTCAAATTTCAGAAGCTCCTTAAGCAAAAGTATTATTTTTCAATTAAAGAAAAAAGTATTACTAAATAAATATATAGATCTTTTTTATGGGAAGATGCTAAAGTCATAAATTATAATCAGGATACTTAAAAATTTCTAGTTTAAAAGTATCCTGATGGATAAACGAAATCAGTTGATAGATTATCAATAAAATTTATTAATTAAGATGAAGAATTATTTAGAGTAGCCACAGTAAGAAGGTTTAAATTTAAATTTATTAAATTTTAGTTAGAATATTAGATAACATTAAAAAGAAGAAATGAAAAGGTTAAGAGAGATAAATGCAATAAATGATAGTGAAGTAAATAAAGCTCCTTAAACTTTAATTAACTCACTTTTTAACAGATTTTAATATTCAAAAAAATAGCATCTTGTTGAAACTTTACTTGAAGAAGTTAATTAAAATTATTTACTATTTTAAAAAAAATGCTCATTCATTGAAGATGCTTCTATTTATAAATAGGTTGTTCATATTGAACAAAGATATCAATATTATTCTATATTATAAAATAATCTTGAGAAAGAAGCAATACTATTAAGAAAAGATGGTTATAAAGCTATGAAGTAATTAATGTTTAGATTAAATTAAATCAATATTGAAATAATACATTAAAGAGATTTTAAGTTTCCAATTATATTAAATAAATTTGATACTGCTCTTGAATTGGAAGGAAAAGAGATTAAGAAAGAAATTAGAAGAGAAAAATTCTATATATAATCAGATTTGTAAGATATTTTAGGTTAAAATTATAAATTTGTAGAATCAAATCGAAAACGATATTATGATTGTGGGTTGTCAAGAATATTGACTAAAGTTGATCTGATGTATTAATAAATTATAAAAGAAAAGGTTCTACATTAGTTTAATTACACAAAAGAATTTTATGAAAGTTTTATACTAAATTCTCAATTTCAAAAGTCTTTAAATTAAAAGCCATTACTTTAATTGCATGTTTAATGTATAGTGCAAGTACCTGTAAAAAAATCAATGAGAAAATTAATAAAAGATTCGATAAAAGGAGATGAAGAGATAATTTATATAGAGCCAAATTTACAATCTATTTTAACAGTCTTAATAAAGCCTTTTGATTACCTTTATCAATTAATAATAGAAGGTTGTTGTATTTAAAGTGAAATAATGACTTTATTATTATTGGAGAAAAAAAAACTATCAACTGTGATGGATTTTCCTTAATTAAATTCTATAAAAGAATAAACAATCACATAAATTTCAAATGAATATAAATCTTGTGATGATATTGTAAAATACTATAATAAATATTCACATTATTTAAAAGCATTCCGATCAAAAGATTTATATGATATATTTGGTTTGGATCCAAAGGAAGCAGCCATTTTAAGTTAAATGAATTTTTAATCAATAGAGAGTTATTTATATGAATTAAAGGAATCTAGATTAGATATTCTATCATACCATTAAAATTAAAAAAGATTTGGTTTGTTTTCTTTAAATATTTATGAACTTAAACACACTTTAGTTGAAAGAATTAATGAATAATAGACATAGATATTTAATGTAAATTTTATATGTAAATTATATAGAAAATCTAAGAGATTTTAAAACATAATATATAATAAATTAAATAATAATTTTAAGTAATGAGAGATAAGAGTCAATAAATTCCATAGACAGAATAAGAATTAATGGAATTAAAATTATTTTTAGGTGAAATTAAAGTAGATTTCTCAAGAATGTAATTTGAAGTTCAATTTGTGTAAATAAATAATTAATATTCCTTTTTAGAGAATAATACTTAAATTTATTTGAAGAATTTTATGTAGCTTTTGACTTTTAGTTAGTAATTGATTATTATGAATTAATCTATTTACCAAAAGATATTTCTGATATTATTGAAGCTAATAAAGCAGTTCTAAAATAATAAGAAGATATATTTTTGAGAAGATTACATAATGACAAATAAGAATTCATAGCCAAAATTTTATAAATGTAAGCAACACTTACAAAAATTAAATCTTTTTCCTAATATGAAAAATTAAAGGAATATATTATTGAGATTAAAAAGTTTTAAGAATAAATAGAGAATTCTAAAGAAATAATATCTGAATTTAATCTTAGAGAACTTACATTTTAAATAGGTGTAACTGTTTATAGAGAATTTGATAATTTAGTCCATGAATTCTAACCTTATTATTAATTTTGGGATTTAGCAGTATAATTATTATATGTTATATTTAGTAAAGATATGATGTATAAAAAGAATAATGGTTATCTGTGTCAATTAAATAATTAGATCATTTAGATATGTAATTATTGATGCAATAATTTAATAATGAAGCTATCTAAATTTTTAATTATTTTACTGATATTTTAGATGACAATGCATAAAGTTTAGTAAGAAATTTAAGAAGATAATTGGATTAATTTAAAGATAATATATGGATAGTTGAATCATTAGCAATTGAAGCATATAAAAGAAAACCTATTTTCTGGAAGGATCTATTTAGAGAATGTTCATTTCCTTAATTAGAAAATAAAGAGGAAATTACAATATCTAATTTACTAAAAAAAGGTATACTAAATTACAAAGATATTGTATTGAAGTTGTCTTCTTAAGCTGAAAAGAGTTGGAGTGTTGAGAAAAGATTGAATGAGATGTTTGATAAATTATCAATAATAGAATTAGAATTATAAGTATATAAGGATACATTTATATTTAAAAATTATGAGGATGTAATGGCTTAATTAGATGAATAATTAAATGTATTAAATATTCTTAAGGCATAACCTCATGCTAAATTTGTTATTATAAAGGCTGGTTAATTAGAAAATAAAATATTACTCATTTAAGATACACTTGATTAAGTTATGAAATGTTAAAAACATTGGATATATTTAGATCCAATATTTGCAAGTGATGATATTAAATAAAAATTAAAATAAGAGACTTTAGATTTTAAGAGAATAGATTAGTCATATAAAAATTATATGATCATACTAAATAAAAATAAATTATTATGGGATTAGATAGAAAATGATAAAATGAAATAAGACTTTGCATATAATGTATAAATGTTAGATCAAATATAAAAAAGTTTAACAAAGTACTTAGAATCAAAGAGAATATTATTTCCTCGTTTTTATTTTGTATCAGATGAAGAATTAGTTGAAATTTTAGCTTAAACTAAAAATCCATAATAAGTATAGAAACATATATTCAAATGTTTTGAAAATATATCAGAATTAAAAATAGTTGATAATGAAGTGATTACAGCATTTTATTCAAGTCATTAAGAGAAGATATTATTAGATGATGTAATAAATCTTAAGAAAGGAAATAAAATAGAAAATGTAGAGAGTTGGTTATCTGAATTTTAAACAAGAATGTAGAAAACAGTTAAGAAAGCTAGTTGTAATGCATTAAAAGATTTAAATTCAACAAAAATGGAGATTATTAATAAATGGCCTGGATAAAGTGTATTATTAAGTAATCAAATAAAATGGACAAGGAATACAGAAGCTTCAATAAGATAATAATAGAAATTGAATTTAAAATTACTTGTTTAATTATTAAATAAAGAATTATAGACTACAGTTGATTTGGTAAGAAATGAGACTAGATTGATTTAAAAAACAACTTTAGAAGCAATGGTAATTTAAGAAGTTCATAATAAAGATGTTGCTTAAATATTATTAAATTAATAAATAGAAGTAATAAATTCATTTTTATGGATATCTTAATTAAGATATTATTATAATGATGAAAATTCAATTTAAGTTAGAATGGTTAATTCATCTTTTGAGGTATTTTATAAAAATAATAATATTAGTATGGGTATGAATATTTGGGAAAGATTTAAAGATTAGTAATTACAGCATTGACTGATAGATGTTAAAGGACTTTAATGGAAGCATATAAAATGAATTATGGAGGTGCTCCTGAAGGTCCAGCTGGAACAGGTAAAACAGAAACTGTAAAAGATTTAGCAAAAGCAATGGCAAGACCATGTATTGTATTTAATTGTTCAGATGGATTAAATTATATAGCAATGGGTAAATTCTTTAAAGGATTAGTAACATCTGGATCTTGGTGTTGTTTTGATGAATTTAACAGAATTGATCCAGAAGTCTTATCTGTTGTTGCATAATAAATATTTACAATATAGAAGGCAATAAAATTAAAATAGGAAGCATTTATATTTGAAGGAGAAGAAATTAATTTAGTACCTACTTGTGCTATAAATGTAACTATGAATCCTGGATATGCTGGAAGATCAGAATTACCTGATAATTTAAAAATACTATTTAGACCATGTGCTATGATGGTTGCTGATTATGAAATGATAGGTGAAATATTTTTATATAGTATTGGATTTGAAAGGGCAAGAGAATTAAGTAAATAAATAGTTACATGTTTGAAATTGTGTAATGAATAATTATCATCTTAAGAACATTATGATTTTGGTATGAGAACTTTAAAGGCAGTATTAAATTCAATAAAAAATACTAGAAATGGAACAGAATAAGAGAAATGTTTAACTGCTTTAATTATAGTTAATCAACCTAAATTGGTTAAGAATGATATTGAATTATTTAAAGCTATTACTTAAGATTCATTTCCAAATGTTTAAGAATAAGAATTAGATAAATTAAATAATGTATAATAATAAACTGAAAATATGAAATTGATATATCATGAGACTTTAGCAATTAAATGTGAATAAATACATAATAGTATTGAAGTTAGAAATGGAGTTATGTTAGTTGGTTAAACTTTTTCAGGTAAATCAACATCCTTATAAATATTATCTCATTTATTAAAAGCTACTATTTTAAAATTAAATCCAAAAGCTATAAATTCAGATTAATTATATGGAAAGTTGGATCCAGATACAAAATAATGGTCAGATGGAGTAGCACCCATATTAATAAGGGAGAATATTTAAAGAGAAAAATATGTTTGGATAGTTTTTGATGGACCTGTTGATTCTATATGGATTGAAAATCTTAATACAGTTTTAGATGATAATAAAAAATTATGTTTAACATCAGGTGAAATACTTAAAATTCCAGAGAGAATGTGTATGATTTTTGAAGTTGAAAATTTATCTGCTGCATCACCAGCTACTGTTTCAAGATTAGGTATGATTTATTATAGTATATTTGATTGGAGATATCTAATAGATAATATAAGATTACCTAATCATTTTGATCATAAATACTTTATTAAAAGAATTAAATAGTATTAATTTATATTAATTTTAGTCTTATAGAACATTCATTAGTATGGATGTAAGAAAATGCATAATTTCCTGTTTATGATTAATAAAATATATTAGTAAGTTCATTTTTGAAATTGTTTTAAAAATTAATGTCTTAATTAGATTAAAATGAAAGTGATACTTTTGTATTTGATAATACTATAATATTTTCAATTACTTGGTCATTAGGAGCTGCAATAAATGAATAAAATAGAAATCATTTTAATACATTTTTGCATAAACTATTAAAACATTAATCTACAGGATTAAATTTAGAAATTAATAGAAAATTATAATTTCCAATTAATGAAAGAATAGATTATTTTTTATTTGGATATATAAATTAAAAATGGATTGAATGGATAGATGTATTATTTATTATTTAAAAATATAGATATCTGAATAATTACAGATAACTCCAAGTATTGATTTTCATTAAATAGTTGTACCTACTAATGAATCAAATAGAAATGATTATTTTTGTAAATTAGGATTGCATTTTTTATATTGTGGACCTACAGGTACTGGTAAATCTTTATCAATGACAAAATTTTCATAATTTTTAATTGCATGTAGTGGTTAAACAACTGGAAATAGTTTATAAAGATTAATAGAAACAAGAATAAATAAAAGAAGAAGAAAAGGATGTTATGGAGCTGAAGAAGGATAGATTACAATATTTGTAGATGAATTAAATATGCCATTTAGAGAACCATAAGGATCATAACCAGCAATAGAATTATTAAGATAATGGATGGATTAAGGTGGATGGTATGATTTAGATAATAAGGAATTTAAATATATGTGTGATATAACATTTTTATGTGCAATGTAACCAGCAAGTGGTGGTAGAAATTAAATTACTATGAGATATCTTAGACATTTCAATTTATTATATATTGGTGGATTTGATACAATTAGTGTAACAAATATATTATAAGTATTTGTTGATTGGGTAATGATTAAATTTTGTGCAACAGATGAAATTAAATCATTTAAAGAATAATTAGTTTAAAATTCATTAAATTTATATTAATAAATATAAGAGAGTTTATTACCAACACCATAAAAATGTCATTATATTTATAATTTAAGAGATGTATTTAGAATTTTTGAAGGAATGAGTAAGGCTTCAAGATTATAAAGTAAATCTCATTTAATGAAATTATGGGTTCATGAATGTACAAGAATATTTAGTGATCGTTTAGTAGATTTTAATGATATAAAGATTTTTTAGAATATAATTAAATAGATAGTTGTGGAAGATAGAATTAATTTAAATAATATACTTTGGATTTAAGGAAATAGTAATTAACATTATGATGAGGTTTAGAATATATAATAATTAAAATAAAGAGTATAAGGAATGCATGATGATTTTAATGCTTAAAGATTTCAAAGCAAATTGTCTTTAATTTTATTTACTAATGCAATTATGCATATATTTCGTATAACTAGAATACTGCAATAAACTTTTGGTCATGCTTTATTAATTGGAATAGGAGGAACAGGAAGATGTAAATCTAATAATTAATAATATCATTAGCATCCTTAGCCAAATTAGCAACATTTATAGTATTTAGATCAGAACCAATAATAATTGATCCTCGTTCTTGGAATGATGAATTGTTGAATACTTTATTATAAGTTGGTTTAGAGAATTAGAAAGCATCCATAATATTTAATGATTCTTAATTACAATAATCTTATATGTGGGAAGATATTTGTAGTTTGTTGAGTCATGGTGAAGTAACACATTTATTCACTCCAGAAGAGAGATTAAAGATATAAGAAGAAATGCCATTCTCAAAATTTTTGTAAATTTGTAAATTTAATGTACATGTCATATTATGTATGTAACCAGTAACAGAATTATACAGAAAAAGATTAAGAACATTTCCTACAATAATAAATTGTACTACAATAGATTGGTTTATGGATTGGTCAAATGAGGCTTTGGTGACTACAGCTGAAGAATTTTTACCTAATCCTTCTCTTGTAAATGTAGCTGTTAATATTCATTGTAAAGTATTAGAAATTACTCAAAAATATAATTCTGAATAAAGAAGATAATTTTATGTTACACCTACATAATATTTATAAATGCTTTAAACATTTAAAAGACTTTAAAGAGAAATAAGTGAATAATCATTAGCATTAATAGATAGATTTGAATCTGGTATTGAAAAAATAATTAAAACTTAAAAAGAAGTAGATAAAATTAAATTGTAATTATTTGAATTATAACCATAATTGGAATAGGCAACCATAGAAAATTAAAAATTATTATAAAGAATTAAATTAAAAAAAGAGGAAGCAGATTAAAAAAGAAGATTATGTGAATATGATGAAATGATATGTTAGAAACATAGAGATTAAGCAACTGAATTGAAAAATATTTGTATTACTGAATTGAATAAAGTATTACCACTTTTAGGTTAAGCAACTGAAGCATTAGATAAAATAACTAAAGAAGATATGATTCAATTAAAATCTTTTACTAATCCACCTTTATCAGCTGCTGTTGTTATGGAAGGATTATGTTATGCATTTTAAGAAGATGAAAAAGTTAAATCAAAAAATAAAGAACTTCCTGTTATGTAAGATTATTGGGATTATGCTAAAAAATATTTATTAAATGATAAATTAATAAAGAGAGTCAAAAAAATGAAATTAGAAGAAATAAGATCAATTAAATTAAATAATATTTAGAAATTATAGATTTTTGTACTTAATCCTCTTTTTGAAAAAGAAAAGGTATTTAATGCATCTAAAGCAGCTGGTAATTTAGCATAATGGATAAGAGCTGTTTTAGAAACATATTAAGCTGTTGAAATAATTGAACCAAAAAAGGCATAATTAGTTGAAGCTGAAAAAAAACTTAAAGAAGCTGAAGCTGATGTTTAAATAAAAAGAGCTATATTAGAATAATAATTAAATGAACTTAAATAATTTGAAAAGGAATTTGAAAAAGCTAATTAAGAAAAATAAATAATTTAATAAGAAGTAGAAACTATTTAAAAATAACTTAATAAAGCTGAAAAATTACTATTTGGTTTGTAAGATGAAGCTTAAAGATGGAAGAAAAAAGGATAAAAAATAAAAAATGAATAAATTGCAATTGAAGGAGACTGTATATTAAGTGCTTCTATTATTGCATATTTAGGAGTCTTTCCTATATAATATAGAGATGTCTGTTAAAATTATTGGAAAAATCTATTAAAATAAAATAATGTAAAATTCTCAATTGATTATGCAATCTCAAAATAATTATGTAATCCAATTATAATCAATAATTGGATTACATAATAATTACCTAATGATTAATTAAGTATTGAGAATGCAATCATACTTAAAGAATCTACAAAATGGCCATTAATGATTGATCCATAACTTTAAGCCAATTAATGGATTAAAAATATGGAAGATAGTAAATATTTGCTTATTTTAAATGCCAATTAACCAACATAATAAATTTAATTATAATTAGAACATGGAATATAAATTGGTTATGCAGTTTTATTAGAAAATGTTGGTTAAACTTTAGATCCATTATTTGAATCATTATTGTAATAAAATGCAAAATCTAGATCAAAAAGAGCTACAATGAAATTAGGAGATAAAATAATAGATATATCTTCTGATTTTAGATTTTATATGACAACTAAATTAAGTAATCCTCATTTTCAACCATAAGTTTGTGTTATGGTTAATATGCTTATATTTTAAGTAACATAAGATGGATTAGTTGACTAATTATTAAATATTGTTGTTAAAATAGATGAACCATAAAAAGAAGAACAAAGATTAAAGAATATTTAATAATATTTTTAAAATAAAGATAAATTAATTTAGACAGAAACATTGATATTGAAATTACTTTCAGAGTCTACAGGAGATTTATTAGAAAATGAAGATTTAATTTAAACATTATCAAAATCAAAGGATGAAAGTATAGCAATTGAAGAAAAATTAAAAAGTTTAGAATATGATAGAATAAACTTTATGTAAATCAGATAATTCTATTAATAAGCAGCAGAGAAAGTAGCTAATCTATATTTTATATTAAATGATTTGGCTGTAATAGAACACACTTATATTTGGTCATTAGAATTTTATTTCTTTCTTTACACAAGATCTATAAGAGAATCTTTAAATGAAAAATTAAAAAGAAATTAAAATATCATTGATAAATTCATATAAATTTTATACACTTAAATTAATAGATCACTATTAGAAAAAGATAAATTGATCTTTCGATTTCTATTATATGTAAAAATGATGAATATACCATCTGAATTAATTAGAGCAACTGTTATGGGTTGCACATTAACTACATCTGATGTTTAAATGCCAAAAGGATTTTCATGGTTAACAAATAAAATGTGGTTGGAATTAGTAGATTTATCAAAATCTTTTCCTAACATATTTGGATCTATTTGCTAAGATTTTGTATCTTAAAAATAATTCTGGGATAGCTTTTAAAATAGTTCTAATTCTTATTAATTATAATTAAGAGGTTTAGATCAATTTTAAATGAATATGTTAGTTAAAATAATTAAACCTGAATAATTTATATCTGCTACTAATGAGATGATAAAATAATAAATGGGTAATCTCTTTATAGAAAATATTCCAACTACATTTGAATAATTTTATTTTGAATCTGATTCTAAAATTCCTTTATTATGTATCATAACACCTGGAGCAGATCCTAGATAAGAAATCATTAAATTAGCAACTAAATATGATTTTAATGATAGATTTAATTAGATCTCTTTAGGATAAGGACAAAATTAATTGGCTATCAAAATGATACTAAATGCCATGTAATAAGGTACATGGGTATTATTATAAAATTGTCATCTTGCTGCTTCTTTTATGCCTGAACTTGAAAATTTATTTGAAGTACAATATAAAAAAGAGATGAATTCAGATTTTCGATTATGGTTGACATCTCAACCAACATCAATATTACCACATAATGTAATATTAAGATGTATTATATTATATATTATCATAGCTCTCAAAATTACATATGAATTACCTAGAGGTCTCAAAAATAATATGTTAAGATCATATTAATAATAAGAATCTGACAAATTTGAATAATCAAAAAAACTAAAAGAATGGAAAAATCTATTTTTTTCATTAGCATTATTACATGCATGCTTACTTGAAAGAAAGAAATATGGTCCTTTAGGTTGGAATATTGGATACAATTTTTCATAACATGATTTTGAAATTTCAAAAGAATAAATCCATTATTTTTTAGAAACCTATTAAGATATTCCATGGGATGCTCTAAATTATTTAATTGCTGAAAATAATTATGGTGGTAGAGTTACAGATCCTATGGACAGAAAACTTCTAAAAATTTATGTTAATGATTTTATCAATTCCAAAACTATTCAATAAGATTATCAATTTTATGATATTTATTAGATACCATAATAAATGAAACTTAAAGCTTATATGGAATACATATCATAATTGCCAATCTTTGATCCACCTTAATTATTTGGTCTTCATTAAAATGCTGAAATATATTCTTCAATTTTAGAAACTGAAAATTTAAGTTAAGTCATTTTGTAATTACTCCCAAGAACTCAAAGTGATTCCAATTAAACACATCCTGATTAAATTGTTTATAATAAAAGTTAAGAAATCTTAAAGAATTTACCTGAATAACTTGATTCTAATTTAGCAAAATAAAAGTTTCAATAAATTTTAGAAAATCCTTTGAATGCAATAATTCATTAAGAAATTACTAAATATAATAAATTATTAACCAAAATATCAGAATCTCTAATTATTCTAATTTAAGGTTTGGATGGTTTAATTAATATTTCTGATTAATCAATAGATATTTATAATGCAATATTTGATAATAGAATTCCAGAATAATGGTTAACATATTCTTACTTAACTACTAAATCTTTAGGATCTTGGTTTAGTGATTTAATTTAAAGAACTGAATTTATTAAAAAGTGGATAAATTAAGGTTAACCTAAAATTTTTTGGTTGGGTGGTCTTTTCTTTATATAAGGATTCTTAACTGCTGTTTTATAGACATATTCAAGAAAATCAAAAATACCTATTGATCAATTAAAATTTGAATTTAATTTTTTTTCTTAAGAACCATAGACTATAACTAGAGGTGTTTGTGTAAATGGAATATCTATAGATGGAGCTTAATTTGATTATTAAGAGTAGACACTAATAGAACCTTAAAATAATATTCTGTTCTATCCATGTCCAATAATTAATTTTTGTCCTACTTAATAGAGAAAAATAATAAAAAATTATTCTTGTCCTCTTTATAATACAACATAAAGAAAAGGAATACTTACTTCAAATGGAATATCAGTTAATTTCATTTGCAAAATAAAAATACCTATTAATAATAATAAAAATCATTGGTCAAAAAGAGGAGTTGCTTTTATTGTTTAAGCAAATTGAAATTTTAATTAATAAATATTTGAAAAATAAAAATAATATTCCCATTTAATAATTTTAATGTATTTTTATATATTGTTTATTTTCATTCATTCTCAAGGCTTTGAATTATTCATTGAAAAAGACAAGTAATATTTAATAGCAAATGAGAATAAAACTGATATAAGATTTAAACAAGAATCTTTGGAACAATCTCAATGTCATCCTGCAAAATTGTATTTAGAAAATTCAAATGAAAAACATACTAAATTTATATTCAATAACAATTAATAAGATTAGATTACTGTTGTAATGCATCCTTTAGTATATGATACAGAAGTACTTAACATATTACAAAATTCTAATAAGAAACCATATTAATTAGAGCCAAATTCTTAAGAATAATTAATAATTACATATGAATGTAAAGCAAATAAAGAATAAGTTTCGTGGAGTTTAATAATATTAGATTTTACAGTATTTGTTAATTAGAATCATTCTTAATCTTATTCAATTTAATTTTATAAATAATGCCAATAGACAGAACTATATTTACATCCATTAATTATGTTATTAATTTTAGCAGTATCTTTATTAATAATAGGCACAAATTATGGATTATAAGAAATTAAAATGATTGAGTCAATAAAGACTGAAGAATTTAATGCAAAAACATCTGTGTTCTTTATATTATCTGCAAGTGTTTTATTATTTTGTTTATATAAATTTCCATCAATTGGATAATTGTAAAATACAATATAAATATTAGAGTATTGAGTATAGTAATATTCTTTATGGCAATTTTGAGTATTTAGATAATAATAGAAGATTAATTGTAAAAGATGTTAGGAAAAAATATATTATTGAAGATAAGTTCATATTTTATTAGTTTTTTGATTGTATTTTCATACTTTTATACTAAACATTGGATAATAAATAATATAGTAGCATTTTTAATTACACTTTTAATGTTCAAAGTAAAAATAAAATTAAAATTTAGATAATAGAAATTGATAGTTTTAAAACTGCTACATTGTTATTGACTTTAGCATTCTTTTATGATATATTTTGGGTATTTATAAGTCCTTATTTTTTTGGAACATCTGTTATGGCATAAGTTGCTACATCAATAGATTTACCAATGAAATTTATATGTCCACCTTTAATGAAATCATATAATTCTCCTTTAATGAGATGTTCCATACTTGGTTTAGGTGATATTCTATTACCAGGAATAGTTGTTAAATACATTCTAAAATTTGAAAATATGATAAATAAAGGATATTGTATGTATATTACATCAATAATTGGATATTGTATTGGATTATTAGTTTGTATGCTTTCTTTGGTGATATATTAATAAGCATAACCAGCCCTATTATATTTAGTTCCTATGATATTAATACCTGTTTTGATAATGAGTGTCATAAGAAAATAATTTTATTCATTATGGAAAGGATAGATATTTAAATCATAGAAATCAGCTGGAGTTTATGAGTTGCAATAGAGTGAATAAGTTTGATTTATATATTTATTATAAATTATATGAATAATATATGAAATATTTATTATTTGATAACAATTTAATGATTAATTAGGAAATAATTAGGAATGTTAATGGAAATAAAGAAAAAAATGATTTATTCTAAAATTGTATTATAATCCTATATACTAAGATATAACTAAAAAGGATCTAGAATAAGTGAGTGGAATATTATAACCATAGCTTAGAACATTAAATTTTGATGAACTTACTAATGTACAAATATTTAAATTAAATCTAGGGAACTTTAGATGATCATATGAGTTGTTAAACCTTTTTAAATTTCTTACCAAACTAAGATTATAGAGATAGTGATGATCATATGTGTGCATATAAAAAGAAATATATTATAGATTAATTAAAGAATGCATTTACTTAAGGTTAAGGTAATAATATAAATAGATAAATAGGAATTAATGTGTCATTATTGAAAGCATTATAAAAAAGAACTGATTCATGTGAAAAGAAAACCGATTTATATACATTAATAGATGATGAAAATATTTCAAATAAAGGAATTGAACAAATGAAAACAATGATGGAGAAATATTCTGAAAGGTAATTCAAAATATAGAGATACAAAAATAAAAGAAGGAATTGGGATAGAAAAATCTCTTATTAAGCTAGATCTTAAGTTGCTGAATAACGTTTAAGAATTAAAGGAAGATTTATTAGTAAATAAGATTAATAATCCATTAAAAAATTAATTAATCATAAAAAATAAGAAGAATTTTACGATTAAAAGCATAATCTCAATATTTCAAAATTTTAATAACATACAAAATTATTTTAATATAGTTCAGACCCTAATAAAATACCTAAAAAGTAAATTCTAATTGATATAAGAGATGAATACAAATTTCAATAATAATAAATAAAGATACTCAAATAAATCCATAATAAGACTTAGATTTTTTAGATTGTCTAGTAAAATAAATCTTGAAACATATATAATTATTATTATTATATTTTTAATTTCCTACTTAATTCAATGTAACCCTAAACTTTACCCAATATTACTACCAAATCACCATAATCCAAACTCAAAACCCTTGACTCAATGTTAAATGCTCAAATCAAAATCAGATAACCGAAAGATATAGCCTTTAAGACTTTACCGAATAATAAAACCAACATTTCATTTCTCAAAAATGAAAAATTCGAAACTCGTTAAGATGTAATATGATATATATTTTTCAGTAATACTACAGTTCACCCTTATTAACAAAATCTTAGATAACCGAAGTTGAGTTATAAAACAGATAAAGTAGAAATGATTTCTATTCTTAAATGCTTAGCGATAATCCCTATAAATATAATGAATATAGTGATATAGATTAAGAATATAACAGAAGTATAAATCAATATTGAAGTATTAGAAATTTCAGATATCAATGTCAATTTATTGGATATGAGAAATAAAGAGAAGATTAAAGAATTCTTATAAGAATCTGCTACTTTTTCTAATCATCTCTCTACTCATACATAAAGATTGAAAAAAGTAAATGTGCTTACTTAAAGACAAGACGTTATCAAATTGGCTTAATGGTTAGATTATTAAATGTAACAAGTGGTTTCTAATAAAAAAATGATGTAATAATAATAACTAAGAGAAATTGAAAAGATATTTAATCTTAGTTTAAAAGAGTTAGTTAGAGAAATATCATTAGATTGTGTTGAAAAAAGGTATAATCTCATCATTAGGTAGTGTACTATTAGAGAAAATATGGAATTAATATGTTAATTACAATACATTTCTACTTAAATCATTAGATGATGAAAAGAACAATCAAGAGAATGAATATTTGTCTTAACTAAAATCAGTATTATAAATATTTTTAATATTTTAGTTACATTAAACATATTAAAATTCTGTTAAATTTTTAGAAGATAAATTAAAATAAATAGATGATGAATTTAATTAATTAAGCACTAAATTTGACAGAAAGAAGTTTAAACATAAAAATATTAAAGATAACTTCTTTAGTATTTAAGAATAAAAAAAAGAAATTGAATAAGAAGTTGAATATCTTAAGAATTAAAGAAGAGATTTATTAGAAATTAAAGAAACACTCTAAAATTAAGTTGAAAATTTGACATAAGAAAATGAAAGATTATAAACTACAATATATTAAAAATCTTAAGAATTGAGAACAGCAAAAACAAAACGTTATTCTTAAATTTCACTTGATAGTTGTTGTAGTGAATAAAATCACAAAGGAACAACAATGGAAGATTTTTTTGAAATGATGTCAATAAAAAAAGAAAAATATACTTAGACTTTTGATCATGATAAACTTAAATTATCAACAGCTATCCAAACTGATATAAAATTCATTTTTCATTAAGGGACTTAAACAGGTTTATCTTATGATGATGAGAATTATTAACCTCACACTACTGAAAATAATGATTAAATCAAAAGATTATTGGATTAAAAGTATGATTTAGAAGAGAAACTTAAATTATCTAATAATATTATATCAGAATTACAAAGAACTAAACAACATTTAATGAGAGAATAAGAAATTAATACTAATAAATTAACATCATAAGTAATCTAATTTATAATAAATAGGAAATTTCATTATCAGCTCTCTAAAAGGAAATAGAAAGACTTTAATCTGAACTATAATCATTATTATAAAGTAGATAATAAAAAAAGAGGAATATTGTATCATTAGAAGATAATAATGGAGAGTAAATGTCTTTAGGACCAGTTAGAGAATAATAAAAGACACCTTCAAATACATTAGAAAAATTAGTAGATAAAAATAATTTAAATAATAATTAAAAGCTAAAACAACAAAATTAAATCCAATAATAAGATAATATTATAAAAAATGTAAAAAATGATAAGATTGAAAAGAATTAAGGATAAAACAGTAATTTCACAAGTAATAATGCAAGTTAAAATAATTCATAAAATTAAACACCTTTAAATAAAGAACTATCTAATAATACGGCTACAAAATTATAGACATAAAACTAAAACAATTAATAAAATTAATAATAATAAGTTAAATAAACACTCCATTAAAAGAAACTTTCAGATAATTAAAAATCAATATCTCATAATATTAATTAAAATTAAAAATAAACAAAAATTTAAAATAATAAGAAACCTAATATTGAATAAATAAATAATTAGTCCAATAATTAATAAAACAATTAAATTAATTAAGGAGTTTAGAAATTAAGTAATTATATTTAAATATAAATATATTAGAATATGATACAAATTAGATTGCATAAGAAGAGAAACTTATAGAGTCATCAAATAAAGATTATGATTAACTTAATTCATCTCAAATCAGAAATACATTATTAAATTTAAATGAAGTAATCAATGAAGATGAATAATTTGGAGAAAATATAATAGAGTAAAATAATTAAAATGAATATGCATTTAAAAGATCTAGCACTAAAAAATTGTCATATAAATTTAATGGTTCATAACCAAATTCTTAAAATAATTCAGTTTATGTTAATCAACGTAATTTTAATAAAATATTTTAGTTTAAAGAAAAGGATCTTATTTAACTCCTGCTGCTCCTGAAACAAAAACTGTTAGAGATAAGGAATAATAATTAAAAGAAACTGCATTAGAATTTATTAAACAATTTATTTAAACAATTAAGTATATTAGTTATTTATTTAGTTTATAACATCCTGAAAATATTGAATAGACAATGTAATTATAAAGTGTTTTTAAATTAATTACTTAATTTTATAAAGAAAGATTAGAGAGAAAATAACCAATTTATGTTATTTGTTATGAATTTTATATGAATACTTTTGGATTAAAATAAATAGCAGAAAATAAATTAACTATGTTATGTTAAGCAGTTATATTTTATAGAAATATTCCAAGAATTAGATTATTTTCTAGATTTTTATAAATTTAAGATGCAATTAATGATGAAGATTTGGATTTCTATTTTTCAACTCTTAAACATTTAGATTTATAATAGAAACCAGAAAATTTAATTTCATGTACTCAAAATTATGAATGTGTTTTGATTTTATATGATAAAGCTTTGGATTAATTAGCATCTCTAGATGAACATTTAATGGAAATATAATCTAAATTTAAATCTTAAATATAAATAATTAATGGAAATAGATATATAGATTTAGATTTATTTTTTATGGAATCATTATAATAATTCTAATTAATGAAAAAAATACATCAAGATAATTTTAAAGAATTATTTTAAGCAGTTGATATTAATGATGATGATTCAATAAGTGTAGAAGAATTTACTATTTTATTTAATTTAATAGAAGAAGGATAAAAGAATTAATAAATATATATTAAATAATTTATTGAAACATGTGGTAATTCAGATGGTCTCTCTTTCTATTAATTTGGAATGTTTTGTATGTCAAATTAATTATTTCAAAAAGATAAATAAGATGCATTTCTATAATATAATAATGATTAATACAAATAATTATAAGTTAAATGGAATGAATAGAGAAAATAAATAACAAATAGATTAAAAGAAAATCTAGTTTTTACAGAATATTATTAGAATTTAGTTAGAAAACTAGATGATGTAATTATTCAATATAAAATATATAGTCACTTAAAAATAATCATCCCTATTCTTGGTTATTATGGAGAATATTAGAGGAACAATGCAAAAAGCTTACTTCTTAAAGTAAATGATAGGATTTATAAATTACTTGAACCCTTTTATATGTTTCAATAATAATATATTACTTTGTTTTATTTATGTATATAAATTCAAAACTTGAAAAGATTATAGGTTTTTTCGAATAACTGAAGTATAATTATGGATTATGTTAAGACTTATTCTAAGAAGAATTATAGATGTAATTGAATTTTTAGGTCTATTAATTTAGTACTACCTGAATTAATAATTACATATAAATATATAGTAAAAGAACAGGTTTATAAATATAAGAAATTATTCATATATCTACAGTCCACGGATCTAATGCGTCTTCATTAACAGAATGTATTCGAAATCGAGGCTACCTGTCTATTTAATTAAGTTTCGGTCTGCAATATTTTTACAAATAAGTTCTTCTTAATTCATTGAAATCAGAATTATCAGAAGAATCACAATAAATAGAATTGTTTTATGATTTTTTGTTAATGATTAATGGTTTTGTTAATTTAGGTTCATCAGTTGATTATGTTCGAATATTTATTGTTTTCATAATGAAAATAGGTTATTACAAGCGCATTGATGTATTAACAGATGAACTTTCATGTACTATTATATTTTTGGTTTTCTTTTGATATAACTTATTTAGGTTAAGGGGTATTTTTATTTATTTTTAAAGGCTTTAAGTAAAAGTTAAATCTGGAGTTTTTCTTCCTAAAGGATTGGTATTACAAGTCTGATAGTTTCTTCTTAAAGGCTCTCTTAAAGGGAATTTTTTGTATCTTAATAAAGAGTCTAAAGGATGATCGATAGAAAACATATGAATAATAATATTAATAAAATCAAAAATATAATTACTACTTATTTCTAGACTCACATATAGATATATTAAAAGTCAATGTTATTTAAGACGCATTTCAAAATTAATTTGTAACAATAGATTCGTTTAACCATATATATTTTCTAAAGAATTTTAACTAATTTTTTTATGGTAGTTTTTATAACTTAGATTATTAGAGTCTTTTCCTTTATTCATTTAAAATCAAATTAACTTGAGAATATTAATTATAAATTAGTGTTCTGTTTCCTCTCTTTAAATATATTCAAAAGATTATTTATCAATCGAAAAATTTGATTTGAATTTTAAAATTTATTAATCAGATATCTAATAAGTTTTATCTTATTACTATATAAATAAATGATATCTATATTTTTAATTATCTATTGAAATATCTTATTAATCACATACTTTAATCCTTTAAATATAAATTATTTAATAATATCATTAATATATTTTTAGTAAATATTATGCCTATGAATTCTTTATTTTATACTTTATCAATCTTAGATTTTGGAAATTATAAATATACTTTAAGTTATTTTTAATCAATATGATTTTATTAACATATTGAATTTAACATTGATTTTACTAGTATTTAACTGACATCTCTTATTTGATCAAAAAATATATATTAAAAAATATGTTGTAATAGATATCCAACCATCTTATACAATAATTATTAAATATTTAATTAAAAAAGAGTATAATATTCAATTCAATTTAATAGAATTTAGTATTAGTAATTTCTGAACTTTTTAAGATCTAAAAAAAGAAATAAACTAAGTAAGTCTTTATTTTAAAATAGAATGAAATATAATAATAAATAAACTATAATCGTCATCTTTGAAAAGGATTTTATATATTCAGTTTAATTACTAGTAATGTTTTTGATATTTTGAATTAAAAATATATTAAGTCATTAACATTTTTAATATTTTATTAATTGTTCTAAGTTATATAGATTTTTAAGATTTTAAATCTCTTTTTCTAAAGTAGCTTGTATTAATTTGTTTTAAAGTAGTTTGATTCAATATAAAAATCATATATTAGTATTTTGGGGACTTATTTATGAGGGAAATGTTGAGGTGAGATTAAATGACGATTTGAACTTAATGATAAGTAAAAGAGGAATTTAGGAGAAATGAATAGATTTTGTTTTAAATAAAATATTAATGTAATTAAATTATATTTTTTTTCAGGCACCTAAGCCATAATATACTTCAGAGTCTTTTGGAACTAATTTGATATTTATCAAAAGCAAGGATAGATAAGTTCCTTGTTTTATGATGAAAGGGAATTCTAAAATTTGGATAATCTATTTTCATGGAAATTCACAAGATTTGTATATAAATTGATTAAAAGTATAGATTAGGAGCATCCTAATTTATGTAATAATTAAAAAATGCCACAGAAAAAGATTTCAATATATTAGCAATAGAATATCCTGAATATGGACTATATAAAAATGCAGAGATTACTGAAGAAAATATTTAGTAAGATGCAATCGCTGCTTTTGAGTATATAGAGAAAACCTAAGAAAATGCAGAGATTTATATAATGGGGAGGTAGAATAATAGATAATTATTAGGTCTATGGGGACAGGTCCAGCATGTTATTTGGCCAGTCTCAATAAAGGAAAAGGTTTAATTTTAATATCAGCATTTGCTTCATTTAGCAAAATAGCATATTAACATGCTGGCATATTTGGAGCAATAGTTAAAAATAGATTTTAGAATGCTATTTATGCAAAAGATATAACTATTCCTACTTTATTGGTACATGGCAAAGCTGATGATATCATTAGTTACACTTAAACTATAGAAATATATGAAAAGTATAATAGATTTATAGACTAGTTTACGTTCAATTTTGAAGCTAATAGTTCTTCCTCCAGATATGACTCACACAAAATATGATATGATTAAAGACATAAGTGAACCATTAGAAGATTTCTTTAATTTAGTAATCAATAATTGATTTTATATTATAAATTTATTTATGAGTTTAAAAAGGTAGGATGGCAGAAATCTCTTATAAATGAGAAATATTGAATTTAAACTTGCCATTGATCTCTCTGTTGATGGGTCTTGCTTATATAAATAAGGATTAACTGAAGTCATTTGTTTAGTTTAGGGACCAAGAGCTGTAAATTATCATTTTATATCAGAAAACATAATCAGAATTATTGATAATTGAATATTCTGTTTCACCATTTAGTAACATAGAATCAAAAAGGAGTTCTAAATTTGATAAAGATTATTCAATGTTTGCTGAAAATCTTAAAGAGTCTTTTGAAAATCTTATCATTTTAGATGAAAATGGAAAATCAGAAATTTCAATTTCAGTTTGTGTTATTTAAAATGATGGAAGTTCTAAAAGTGCTGTTTTTAATGCAATTACTTTAGCTTTATTGGATGCTGGTGTTTCTATGAAAGATTTTCTTGTATCAGTCACAGTTGGTTTAGATTAAGGCAATTTAATTGTAGATTTAACTTAAGAAGAAAGTAAAACAGCTTAAGGAGAACTTACAATATCCTATTAATCTAGAAAATAAAAAATAGACTTTTATGAATTAAAAACATTAAAATTATAATAACAAGAAATGGATTAATTAAGTAAATTAGCAGTATCTAAGGCAGATGAAATCTATAAGTGGATGAAAGAAGAAATATATTAAATAAAACAAAAATAAATAGATTAATGAAAATTTGTGTATTTGATATAATTAAATATAATTATTATGCAATAAGCAATCCCCAGTTTAACTCCTGAAATCAAATATAGACTTGAAGAATAGGGATTTTAACCATTTAAATATAGACCATTACCTGATTATGCAAATCCTCATACTCTCTCATGTAAATACATCATTTTTAATAAGATTGGTTGACAAATGCTGGCCTTGGTGCTCTATGTCTAATTGGAAGACATTATGCTTCTTAATAATAATCAATCAGAATATTATGGTCGACTGCTGCTATAGCAATTCCTCTTTATGCCATTGCAACTAATGCAAAATTAGATGGCTTAAGATAAAATAATTTTTATAGGTTTTATAAATCATTCATTTATTAGAAAAACTTTAGATGATAGACTTGAATTACATCCATTAACTAGAAGAGCTTGGGAAAGAGCTAAGGAAACTAATAAAGGATATTAAGATTAATTAAGGGAACAAATAGCTACTTTAGAAGCAGAATTGAGAAAATGATAAATCAAAAGCAAATAAAATATTATTATATAATAATATCTATAAATTTTAACTTTATTATCAATAAAAAAATATTGAATTTCTTTTCTTCAATTTAAGTATCTCATTAATATTAAATAACTTACATACAATTTATATAAATGATATATATCAGTTATAAATATCATTTATTCAAATAATTATAAAACCATAAAATCATCTAAATTTTATGGTAAACTCTTTATTATTATACTTATTACTATATTTAAAATTATTATTCATTTTTCATATTCATTTTACATTGATTTATTTTATTGATTCAATATATTTTATAAGTATGTTAACATAGTCATATAAGCTAAGCATTTTACCTTCTTATGTAACCTGAAAATTGAATACTCATTTTATCTGATTAAATTCAATAGAGAGCTTTAATTTGATATAAAATTATATTAACCATAAAAACTAAGAAAAATCCTTAAATGTTCTAAATAATACACAAGTTGTTGCCAAATCTATACCATAACAATGAGTACATTCCCGCAAAAATAGAAATTGATAAACTGACATAGTTGGAAGCAGTATTTGACAATCTAATGACTAGTGCATGAAGCAATTAAAAATTATTCAAACAAATGAAGAAATTTTTGCCAAATAAATTATACGTCGATAATCAATTGAAAGATATAAGTAAAAAAAACGATTTGGGAATACTTTTTAGATATATTAGATACGTAAAGTTATTGCAGAGAGGAGATTAAGAATAAATGGGTAATTTTTAACTTAAAGTGAATCTGAGAAGGTTTTGTTAGCTAGGAATATTCTAGGAAAAAATAAAGTTTAAATAAAAAACAATAATGTGAAAATCAAAATTTCGAATGAAAGGCAAAAGGAAAACCTTATAAAATTTATTGATAAATTAATGCCTAATTAAATTTTATAGAAAATATAGAATAAATAAAGAATATTCAAAATTAAATGAGTTTCTATTTTTTCATAACTAAAATTAACAAACTATAATCCTTCATTATATACAATTTATACTTATAAATGATCTTTTTTATTAAATAAAATTTTAATAAGAATAGTTAAAAATAAATATTATAACCAAAGGAATTATACATTCAATAATGTTTACAATAATTATTATTTATTCTATATAATATCATATTGTATTGAAGATATTCTTAAAGTTATAGAAAATTGTGTTTAAAATATATTGAATAATATGAATATTATATTCTCTTAAGTAACAACCATTTTATAAATAATAATAAGTTTACAAACTTATATGTTAATATTTATATATTTCTTAATATTTTGAATATATTATATAAATATAATATTTATTTTTATGTTAATTTTTATTGCAGCAATCATTAAATAATTTATTTTTATCATAAAAGTAATAAATAACTAAATAATTTGATAGTTGAAATATTATTTTATTAAAATTTTTAATTAATATAACCTGTTTTACATTGATTTGTTTCAAATAATTTTTATTTCTCCTTAATATAGATTCTTTATTAGCAGCTAGTAATCAAATTATCTAATTTTTATTGAATATATAACAGGAATTTGTTAATTAAATTGTAAAATAAAAAGATATTAGAGATAAATAAAAATAAGTTATCATTTGAATTTAAATTGCACGATTATACATTAATAAATATAGATATTAGTTTAATAAAAGAAATACTTTGAAAATTAAAGAAACTTTATGGAATGCAATAAAAAAATAATTTATCAATCATTTATTGATATTTGAAATAATATTTTTTGTACTTTGACTTAATTATAAAGTATTTAAAAAACAGAACAATTTGATCCTTAAATTCTAATTTCTAATTCTTAATGTGCGTCATCTATTGTTTAATATTATACTTCATAAATCATTTGACGTATTTAAGAATCGCAAAAATGAATAAAATTAAATTTTTTCTATAAAGTCCGATTTGAATATTTATAGAATTAGCTTTATATTCCAAAATTTTCTTAACATTTTATTGATACCAAAATTTTTATTTTTTTAAATTGTTTCTCAATAATTGCCTAGAAAGTCCTAGTAGATGTAAGTTCTAAGTTTGTTTAATAAATAAAGAGTGCAATTGAAGTTTAAAATGTTTCATTAATATACTTTTGATTCTTAATTGATAAATTTTAAAGTTTTAATGGGGAAAATACTGTAGTAATATTTCTCATAATCCAAAAAATGTTATTATAACTTCCGCCTCCATCTAATTAATATTTTTTTATAAATACTAGGATAAACATAATATCTATATTCTTAAGTTGTATTTTTTGGTCCATCAGCTCCTTAAAAATCAAAATTTACATCTTTTGAATAATTTAAACCATAAAAATTAATTGCTAAAATTTTCGTAATCGTAGATGCCAAAGTAAAATCTTGACTTTTAAAACTCTTATTAAAGTAGCTCTAATTNAATATAACCTGTTTTACATTGATTTGTTTCAAATAATTTTTATTTCTCCTTAATATAGATTCTTTATTAGCAGCTAGTAATCAAATTATCTAATTTTTATTGAATATATAACAGGAATTTGTTAATTAAATTGTAAAATAAAAAGATATTAGAGATAAATAAAAATAAGTTATCATTTGAATTTAAATTGCACGATTATACATTAATAAATATAGATATTAGTTTAATAAAAGAAATACTTTGAAAATTAAAGAAACTTTATGGAATGCAATAAAAAAATAATTTATCAATCATTTATTGATATTTGAAATAATATTTTTTGTACTTTGACTTAATTATAAAGTATTTAAAAAACAGAACAATTTGATCCTTAAATTCTAATTTCTAATTCTTAATGTGCGTCATCTATTGTTTAATATTATACTTCATAAATCATTTGACGTATTTAAGAATCGCAAAAATGAATAAAATTAAATTTTTTCTATAAAGTCCGATTTGAATATTTATAGAATTAGCTTTATATTCCAAAATTTTCTTAACATTTTATTGATACCAAAATTTTTATTTTTTTAAATTGTTTCTCAATAATTGCCTAGAAAGTCCTAGTAGATGTAAGTTCTAAGTTTGTTTAATAAATAAAGAGTGCAATTGAAGTTTAAAATGTTTCATTAATATACTTTTGATTCTTAATTGATAAATTTTAAAGTTTTAATGGGGAAAATACTGTAGTAATATTTCTCATAATCCAAAAAATGTTATTATAACTTCCGCCTCCATCTAATTAATATTTTTTTATAAATACTAGGATAAACATAATATCTATATTCTTAAGTTGTATTTTTTGGTCCATCAGCTCCTTAAAAATCAAAATTTACATCTTTTGAATAATTTAAACCATAAAAATTAATTGCTAAAATTTTCGTAATCGTAGATGCCAAAGTAAAATCTTGACTTTTAAAACTCTTATTAAAGTAGCTCTAATTTACCATAATAAAAGCTTCTTATATTCCCAAGATTATTTGATAGCCCAATTAAGAAACATTTGCATAATTTCCTTAAATATCAACAGTTACTGTGGTTTAATTAATTTCCAGAATCTAGAGAAATTTTGATATAAATACTTTGAGAAAAAAATCAAATTTTCCTGTAAAACCTATACTTGTTATAATGACAAATGCTGTTAATGCATTAGGATTTTAATGTTTAAATGTTTTTTTTGTTAAATTTGTCATATTGAAAGAATCTAATACTTATATTCTTTAATCATCAACAACAAACCATCTAAATGAAAATAATTCCAAAACTCCTGATTTACAACCAATATTAACTTAAAATTCTTCATAAATAAAATAAATTACATGATTACTTTATATGTGAAATCGATGCTTAAACTTCAGATATACCTTTGTCCATTTTAATTTTCCAGAGATTTAAGATTACTTAAGGTTTCCTTGGAATTGATGAAAATTTTATTGAATATTATATTGGTTATGTTTGATTGCAAACTATAGTTTCATTTGATTCAAAGGGATATTTACTAAGACTTGACCGTATTGGATTTAATTAAGAACAGACACAAATTAGAAAAATTGGGAATATGGTAATATATATGGATTTTGACATTATTTTTAATATAATTTATTTGTAAAAAAGTAATTATAATTCAAAATTAAGACTTTATTTAAACCTTTAATATGTAGACTACAAACAAATATTAAAAGAACTAGTATTTTGAAAACAAGGATTTAGATTTTTGGGTTGCAATCCATATTCTAATTTAAAAATTTATGTAAATCAAAATATGTTTTAAAAAGAAAACTATCTTAATTATTTTAATTATATTATAATGATAAGTGTGATTTAAAACTTACATTTTATTGCTTCTAACATAGTTTAGAAATTTTTGACATTATTTAAATTATAATGAAAGCAAAAATAAAATAATCGAACTAAGAAAATAATAATTTATAAAATAAACAAATATTACTTATAAAAATTAATATGGATTTGGTTGAAACAATAAGAATTTAGTTTCACACTATTCACTTTTATAATTCAAAAAAAAATATAATTAAATTGATTTTTTTATATTATGAAACCACTTAATAATTTCAAACTAATTGATAATCAATAAAATTATGAAATATAAATGTCAAATTATTTGTTATTAATAATATTTTTTATCCAATTAATTAACAAATCTTCACTATATTTATTAGATTTTGAGATTGTCATAACTTATTTGTTGTTATTTTTTATATTTAAAAGAATGAATTATCAAACTGTTTCTATATACATTTAAGATGATCGTCTTAATTTACTGTTTTTATTAGTTGTTATCCTATTATTAAAAGATTAAAATTCTATAGTATTCAGTAACTAAAGGTAGTTAAATTGAAGATAATAATAATAAATTATAAAATACCAATATACTAATGTATAATAAAAATTAAAAGCTATGTTGTTATAAATTTAATTTTTATTGATCTATCTTAGATTATTATTTCATCAATAGAATAGTCACTTACTCTTTTTTATCAATAATTTAAAGTAGTTATGGTAAGTTGCTTAACCAATTAAAAGTAATGCTCAATCTAATCCTATTTATACTTTTACCATTATTAAAATTATATTCATTTTAATCAATATCTTAAATAAAATCTTTTAATAAGCTGACTATATTTATTATCAAATTATCTTATGATTTCATTACTAATAATGAGAAAATATAAAATACAAAATATTTTTAATAAAGAAATATCAATTCAATATGTCATTACATTTATGAGACGTCGAAAAACAAACTTAGATTCTGGATTTAAATTTTTTACATCTTTTCTTATCTCCCTATTAAATAATTTTTGACAATATAATAAATTTAATTTATTAATTTTATGATTGGCCCAGATACACCAATAAGTAAAAGTGATATTTAGAAAAATCCGATTGATAATTTTGTATTTTGAGTAAAATATTATGAAAACTCTGAACAAAATGTTGCATTAATGAATGTAAACATCATTATCGGAAATTCATTCAAAATAATCATCATAAGTTCAAACTTTGATTATGTTAAAGAAAAAAACCATATGATTTCAATATAGAGCAATTAGCAAAAGGATATAAGTAAGCATTAAAGTATAGGCTCTACTTAAGCTCTGATCAAAATTAAAAGAAATAAAAACTTTTTAAGTAAATTAATAGATTCAAGTTATGATTCCTTAATTTTTTAAATTACTATTATTTTGTTTCCCCTTGAAAATGGTTAAATTAAAATTTTGATCATTATAATAAAAAATACTAAGCAAATTCCAATTGAAATTTCTGATCTCACATTAATTGATAGATTTGAATTTAGATAAAGAAGTATTTTGAAAATTAAATCAAAACTATTGCTATGAAATATAAAAATAATTTCTTAACTTAATTTAATTTTATGTAATTTATGAATTTTTTTATGTAATTAATAGATTTTAATTGCTATATAATTTACTATTTATGATTATAGCCTTCTAATATTACAAAAGAATCTAGATTAAAAAAAATCAGTTTTTGAATAAAAAATATAAAGCATAAGTATCATATAGCCCAGGAACATTATTATAATTTACACTATTTACCCATAAATATTACTCAATAAATCTGCATTAAGTTAATATTGATAAAATACTCCTTTACTTTCAAGATTTTCTTAATAAATAATTAAATTTAATGTTTCTACAATTCTAAAATTTATCAAGATATTATTTAATTATACAAAATCTGATGCTTAAAAATAAATCTACAAATTTAAAGGGTATTCGATATTTATGAATTTAAGATAAGATTGATATTATAAAATATCAAGAATTTCCAAAAATTGTGCTAATTATCCAAATATTAATAATAATACTCCAAATCCAGTTAGTCCCATCATTAATCTCTATCCAACAGCTTACAATCTTTATGTATTTTGCAATTAAAATGAATCCATAACTTAAGGTATTCTAAGTTCAATATCAGTAGAACTTGTAGGAACTATGATTTCGTTCTCATCCAATAATACTGTATTCATAGAAACTATCAATTTAGGTTAGTATTCTATCTTTTCAAGAAAAGTGATTTCAATAATATAGTTAATATCTCTTACTGATTCAAAAATGATTTCAGTTACAGGTTCAATAGTTAAATTAAAATAATTTGAGTTGATATCTTGAATAAATATTGATAATGCTTCTAAGAAAATTTAGTTAGATTCATTCAATTTAACTTTCTTTGTATATGTTAAAGTTACATATTAAGTATTAGATGATTAATTTAAGAAATTTATAGAAAGCAAAGCTATTTTATAACATTGACTAAATTGATTGTTTTTGTTATTGCAATCCCAACCTTATTCAATATTGCAATTATTTGAACATCCATCATTATTTAAAGTATTTCCATCATCACATAATTCATCTTTTGATTTATATCCATTACCACATTTAATACATTAGCCATTCTCAAGAGTTGAAAATTATTCACATAATTAACATTTTTCTTCTAAACATTATAAGCATCCTTCATTACAAATTTAATCTATTTATTATATTATTGGTTCTGTATCATTTTTTTAAGGTTCTTCTAGTTTCTAGTACTCTTTGCATTTTCCATTTATACATGTTATACAATCAATTTCACATTGAAATTAACAATTATGGCAACCATCATTAGCAATTTAATTTCCATCTTCACACTCTTCCAATCCTTCTACTATATATGAATCTCCACATATGGGTCTACATGAGTTCTACACGAGTTCAAAATATTTTTAACAATTTAAACAATTATATTGATCAATGCAATATAAACAATATGGTACACATTCAAATAAACATTAGAAACATCCATCATTATCATTTTAATTTCCATCATCACATTATTCATTAGATTAAATTGCTAACAATCCATCTCCACATATTTATTAACAAGTTTTATTGATTAATTACCATCCATCAAAGCATATCGAACATTCTCCATTGATGCAATATAAACATTCTAATTAACAACTTTATTAACATTTATAACATCCATCTTATTGTAAATTGTTTTAATCATCACAGATTTCATAATCTTAAACAATTCCATCACCACATTGAGGAACACATTCTCTTTGATTTATACTCAATATAAAACCATTTTCACAATCTTAACATGTTTCTAAACCATTTTATTTACATTAATAAATCTTTATTTAATTTAATTAATTAATAATATATTGCTCTAAAATTGGATACTACATAATTATTGATTCAATAAAAATCTTTTAGTATAATTCTGCTACCAAATTTTATCCTTATAAATAACATTCAAAGTTTTTAAAATCGCCATCCTTTTCTAAATCATAATAAGACTGTTTACATTAATTATGATATAAAATGACGTTTGGTTTAAAATCAAATAGAAACTAAATGAAATAGAATGAATACATTTGAATATTGTATTTAATGTGAATTATTCTCTTATAAACATTATCCAAATTAACATATATTACAATTTAAAGGACAAGAAAATTTACAATTATGGCATCCATCATAAGGATATTCATTTCCATCATCACATTCCTCTTATTATGTTAAAATAAGATCGCCACAAATTGGAATACAGCTATTATTAATTTCAATATATTGCCATCCCATTAAACAATTAACACAAATACCGTTTATACAATTCATACAACCCTAAACACAATCATAAATGAAAGAAAAACATCCATCAAAAGCGTTTATATTTTTATCCTTACAAATATAATTTAAATTTTGAAGTATAGTAAATAATTAAAATTCTCGAATCCCAAACCATGGAGCCCAAGGTGTATAAACTGCATTCATTGAAGTTTATATAGTGATTTTTATTTAAGGTTAGGTATGAGCATAATTCACAATATTAACATTTGTTTATGTATAATGATACCAAAATCCTTGAAAATTTATATCAGTGTGATCATAATTTATCCATTTTTATTTATATAACCATTATTGTACAATAATGTCATCAATTTTAAGAATGATTGTTGTAGTTCCAGAATTCAAAATCATAATTTTTAATTTTAAACTAATAGCAACATGGAAATCTAACGAAATTTATTTTTCAAATGAATTGCTCTAAGATTTATGGTAATAAAGGTCTAATTTATTTATAAATTTACCATGACAAAAATCTATCACACTCGAAGTTGAACCTAAGTCATTCCATCCTTCTGAAATATTAATCGATGATATGAGAATAGAAGTTAATGATTCTAAAATTATCCTTTAATCAAAACATTAATTAAAATCGCATGATTTAATACTATTAAATTCTCTTATACTTAATATGAATTCTGAAATCCCCCATTTTCCATTCTAAGCAAATATTACAATTTAGATTGAAGGGCGATCATGTAAAATACGCTTTGAAATCATAGTAACTTCATCTTTTTATGTATCACGACATACATTGATTGCACTTAATGAACAAGAGTAAAGTTAATCTAAGATGATTTCATTATCTACATATATTAAGAATTAATTATCAATCCAATTATCGATTCTAAAAATTATTTATTTAAATAGATACTTCCAAAGCTTAAATTCAATAATGACTTCATCATGAGGATTTAAGCTAAATGATCTATGAATCAGAACATTATATTATGTGTTTTTATTGTCAATATATAAAATGTTTGCAGACCCACAAGATTAAAACAAAAAATCATAATTTGAATCTTTAGAAATTTTGAGCCAATCTATTATTATTTTTACTGATAAAATACCATTAATTTAAATGAGGGGATTGTCAAAAAAATTACTGTAAACAACTTAGGTGGTATTTCCATTTTCAATTAAAAGAAAAAGTAACATTATTTTAAGTTTTAATCCTTTTGTGTTTAATCCTATTACTTTTTGGTTCAGAAAATGAAATATCATGTAATTCAGAATTTCCAACATACATTAAATTTTGAGCATTATTTCTTTAATTACAAATTTTTAATAATCTACTCAATTAATTTAATAGATTATCAAATTGATAAATTTTTATTGAAAAATAATCTAAATATTTGTTAATACTTATGAAGATGATGTGATCCAGAGTTACAATATGTATAATTTTAAAATAATATTTTTTTATTTAGATACGTTTATCTTAACATATTTATTTATGAATAATAGTACTTGACCGTTGAGTTCGAAAGTATAATTTTAAGTATTATTATATGTGAAATTTAAGGAGTCAATAAAACTTATAAATCAGCTAAATGAAATGTCTACTAAAATTTATATAAAAATTAATATATTTTCATTCATTAGTAAATTGAACGTATTTAGATTATAGTACTGATTTTATCTTCAAACCTCAAAGTTCTATAAATTTTTATTGATTAAGACTTCAAAAATGAATCTTAATATCTTCATTTAAAGAATAATCCGGTTTATTTATTGTTTTAACATAATTAAAATAAGGATTTGAGATTGTTTTTAAAAAAAATAATATTAATTCTTAAATATTCTCATTTTCAATTCTATAAGAGATATTCTACATAATACTAGTTAAATATGAAAGATTTATTGGGAAGAAGTGAAATGAATTATACATTTAGTATGGCTAATATAATACCTTTTCGTTGAGATTTTATAAAATATAAAATTTTTGGTTACTATTCTAATCAAAAACAGAAGTAGATTATATTAATATCTTTTAATTTTGGATTAAGTCATAGACTTGGTCGATTGGCCTAATTTTATATCAAATCTCATTTAATGGAAAAGAGATTTTATTTTGTGGTTGCGCTTTAGTTATTTGTTGAATTCAATAAGTAATTTAATGATTTAATTGATCTTAATTTATAAATTTATATTTTAGAATTTAAAATCATAAATTCTTACTTTTTAATTTCATTATGACCAGATTTATAATTGATATTATTTAATATCCCAACTAAATATGTATTTCCCATCATTGCTTATAGTTCCATAAATAAATTCTGTTTTTAAATCAATAGATTATTCCACTATGAACTCAGAATTAGGATAAACTCTTATAAAATGAATATATGAACCATTCTTATTAATCAGCAACTGTTTTTATTTTATAAATTTTTAAGGAAACAGAATATCACAGCCTGATCCATTTTTTATCGATATTTGTTTAGTTTTTTTGTATTAATTATCTATGAATTCATAAATATGCATTTCAGGATGATTGAAGGGTTAGAAAGTGAATGTATCATTAATAAAACAGATCCTCAAACCACAAATTTCAACTTCAATAATTTATTTAACAGTCCATTCATTATTCTCTTATTAGATAATTAAAATCTTTTTATCACGTCCACATGAAATTAATTTATTTTATTACTCATTTAAACACATACCATATACTGCACCACTGTGATGTGTTATAGTCTAAATACATAACCATTTTTCTGTGTATTGCCAAAATTTAATTGTCTTATCTAAACTTCCTGATATTATCATTTAATCTTTATTATTTATCAACAAGCAAACTATTGATTCTGTGTGTCCTACTAAAATCTGTTCACATTTCCATTAATCATCCTTATATTATTTCCAAATTTTGATTTTCTTATCTCTGCTTCCAGATATAAATGAGTTTGATAGTGTCATAAAATTTAAACAATTTACATCATTTTTATGTTTACCAATACATTTGATCTTTTTTAATTCTTTAGGTTTTAATTCATATATATATATAAATCTACCTTAACCAACTAATACTAATGATAAATCATTATTAATTGCTATTGAATAACAAAAACGATATTCAAGTTAAAATTGTAAAATAATTCCATAATTTATTGGACTTATATCGAATTTCATTTATGAAGAATTACAATTTAATTTAATTTATTTTTAACTTTCCATACCTAGTTATTTTGTGTCTTTTATTAAATTTTTTTATTCATTTTACAAATTTCTCAATAATTTTAAAGTTTAATCTATTGCAATAACTTAAGCCTCTTATAAAATTTAGATTGTTTCTTTAACAATTTCATCAATTAAGCTATCTTTTGTTTTAAATTCACTTTATAATAGATCTTCTGTCAATTAACAATCATCATTTTAACTTAATTGGTTAGCTATATGAATAAGTTATTCCTTACTCAACTTTGACCAACTTTGTCCAACTTTTTTTTGTTATATTTTGTATTCTTAAAAAAATTAATTAATATTTGTATTAATCTATTTTTGTGCTTTTTCTATAATTATTTAACTATCTTATTTCATTTTATTAAAGATTTCTTGAAATTTCTCTCCTTTATTTTTCAAAAATGAGGCATTTTAATTCATATTTTCCTTTCTTATTTATTCAATATAATTCCATTCCTATTACACATATTTTATTGATTTGTATTGACTACTATAATTATCAACACACAATAGACAAGCAATTCTTTTTTAATTTGCTCTATCTTTATTTAAATCTACCAAAATAATTTTTTCTTTATGCTCATCACATGTGATGTCTAAGTTCTATAGAAATATATTATAGTTTACATGTTAATTTATTTCATCCTAATCCTTATTTGGAAACTATTCTTCAAATATTGTTTTAATTTTGTTAAAATTTTATAGAATATCTATGCATTTTGATATTTTTTGTGTTTCTGTCATTTCTATTAGCTTACACTGAATATCATTTTTAATATCATCAAAACATAATGATTTGGATTTAAATTCTTCTTTAGCTTATTCATAAAAATTATAAATATCAATAGTGTTGATGCTATCAACCTTATTAATTAAGGATTATTCTTAAATTTATAATTATTCTATCAATTTTCTAATACTAACTGTTATCAATTCAAACATTTACAAATATTTATCTTTTACCTATCCCAACTCCTCTATAAGACTATTCAAAACTTTAATGTTTAATTCTAAATGATTTTCTCTATCTGTCTTAATTATTTTTTTGTATTCATCTATTTGTTTTAGAGAATCTTTAATTAATACAACCTAAACTCTTCTTTCCTATGATAGGCATTACCAACATTATTAACATAATCCTCTTTTCTTCTTATCCTATTGTTCTTTATCTAATGCTATAATTTCTTCATTATGCGTAAGGCATAATTTTTCTGATTAATCTTTATTCATAAATTTGATTTATTTTAATTAATATAAAATATCTTTATTCTCCATATTTACTCTAATGAAATTTGGTATAATTCTATAGAAAATTTATTAAAGAGAATATATGTTTTGAATAAATACGTTTTATTCCCCAATGTATTTATTGACAGTATTAATATAAAGAAAATATTTGTTCTTATTTAATATTCTAGCTTCTATAATGAATATGATTTACTTGAAGTTTTCAGAGCCAATCCATGAGATTATTGATGTACTGTTGGTTGGAAATTCAGACACAGAAAATGGATATTACATAAATATTCATAAATTATATTTTAATCTCATTGATAAATATCATTTAAGTTTTAATTATTTATAAATTTTACTTCTTTATTTGAGTAGTCTGAATCTCATTAATATTAATTTAAGTTTTGTTTGGAAAGTTCTTTATTCTTAAATGTATTAATTTTTTAATTCTTTTCCTCAATCTTTTAATTAAGCACATATTTTTCAAATTGATTATTATTTTTTTAATTCTTTAATCTATTGATCTGTTACTTAATTTTTTGTATCTTTACTTATTTTTATTAATCTTTAAGTGAATATTCTTTGTTGCTTACTTATAAATCTAATTGTATCCAGGTTTTTCAGAACTCTATTTTTATATATATTATTACTCTAATTCTTCTTTTGTGATCTGAGATTAAAGAAACTTTTTTGGATTTTAAATTATTTTTTAACTTTAATTTAGTGAAAAAATTGTATAGATTAACCATTTTCTATCTGTCATGAATTTCCAACTTTTATTTTGTTGCAATAATTGAGGATTGGTTCCTAAGGCAACTTTAAGCTAGTATTAGGAATTGCAAGCCGAAGAGTTCAGATTAGGAAAATAATAATCTAATTAATCATTTAAAATATAATATCTTATCAAATTTTAATATGGTATCATTTTCGAAAATTTTTAGTATAAATTCATATGTAAAATGAAAATAACATGAAAAAATGATAATTCATATTTCAAATATATTTTTTGAAAAATTATTTTCTTATCATAATGTTTTTAAATTAGTTGTGAAGGATAATTTTCAAATAGTTCCTTTAACATATGATAAAAGCTCAATAAAAAGTTTTTAAGTGATAATTAAGCAAAAAAATTCAATTATTATTAAATTTCAAAAACATTTTAGGATTACTAATTTACAAATTAAAATGCCAGAAAATTAGATAAAGAGTTTGTTTTATGATAGGTGATTATTGATATATAATCGATCTCAAAAGAGGATTGTATCAAGTATAGATTGGTTAAGAGACTAAATTAATCATAAAAAAATGGCTTTTTAATTTTTAGATTATAATACATAGATTAAGTAAGCTCAAAAAAATATATATTTACAATTGTTATTAAATTATAAAATTTTAAAATTCCAAAAGAGACATTAATTTAAAAAATTATTATTCATAGCTAATTATATTTACTTGATTTATTACTTTATATAATCACTTCTAATTAAAAACATTGCAGGATATCAATAGATTTACTTAGTCATTAATGTAAAAGAATAAATATTGGTTATTATATTAATCTAAACAACTTCAACTTTTTCTATTTTCTGAATTTTCATCCTCTAAAAGATTCTTAAATTATTTATCTTTTATCTTTGTAATGATTCGTTCATTTCTTAAGGATCAATCTTAATATTTTCTAAAACAAAATGATCATAGCTACCAAGGGTATCATGAATTAAACATAGTTTATTAATTACTAAAGAGGAATGCAATATTATTTGAATTTCAATTTTTCGATTTAGTCATGATTAGATTGTCTACAATTTCATCCTTAACACATTTTGGCACCCCTAAAATACTGTTAAATGATTATCTTTGAGCTTATCTAATATCATTCTTAACCCCCCTATACTAATTGTTTTATACTGCCAGTTCTTAATAAATAGATACTATATTGATATTTTTTATTTCATATCCATTCAAACTTATTTTGGAGTTTTGTAATTTTTGGTTACTTATTACTTAATTTTACCATTGCTTTCTAAATGAATTCTTAGATGACAGTATTTTTTCACTATAGGATATCCTTTAATCGATTTTTGAGTATGTTAAGATTGATTTATCGTAGACGTTATTCCAGACTTTAATTTATTGATATCTAAGTTTCACTTAAGACTTTCTCATTTGAGAGTATCAATAATTATTTGTGTTCTTATGATTAATCTAGAAAAGCAAATCTTCGGCATACGCATAATTTTTAAAGATTAATTAAGGGACTTTATTTATTAATTCTTTGAGAAACTAATAGAAGTAGGAATTAAAAAATGGAGGATATATAGGTGAGACTTAAACAACTCCATTTTAAAACCAATATTTCTCTTTTTTAATCACTGGATCCTAATAGTGTAAATTAAGAGACACAGCTTCAAGAAATTTATCTCATATTTTCTTTATAATTTTTAATATCTCCACAATCTAAGAGTTTCAGTGTTGGTAATTTATATGTTCTATATTGTTGTCTGTTCGAAATAGTACTTAATTATCTAAAGCAATTTAAATAGTCATGGGGGGTATTATATATTATCTTCATCATCTAAATTACAACACAATATATTCCTCCATCTTTTTTCTTTGGGTTAAGTATTGTAAATTGTTTCATTTTTTTGAAGGCAATAGTTATTTTTCTTTTTGTTAGAATTTTATAGATAGTTCTTTAAGTTTCTCAACCAAATAAGCTTTGAACTCCCTCTATTTTGATAGAGTTACCCTTATTTTTTGAATTAATTTAGAATAATGTAGTTTCCTTCTCACGTTATATATCAATCTTTAAAGTTGTTGGATTTTTAGCATTTTCTTTATTATATATTATAATTTAATATTTCTTATTTTTACTCTCATGTATTAGAAGTTTGGCTGAGATTAGAGCATGGTATGATAGATTATTAAAATTTATCTGTGTTTGAGAAGTCTTACAATATGAAATAAGGATATGGTAACCTATCTTTTCCGATTCTCTAAAATGTTATTTCTAGTTTTGGAATTAAATGTTAAAAACCAGTAAATTATACTGTTGCTACATTAAATTTAACACATATATTAGTAAAAATCATGCAATTATTTATTTTTCAAAAGAATTCTAAAACTCCTTCTATAAATTCATTTTCAGCTTGTTCTTAATTCTGTGTAGGACATAGATCTGATTCTTCAGTTTGGTTACATTCAAAATCTTCCTCAGTTAATAGATAATAATTAGTTAAACTCAAAACACTTCTCACTTTAATTGTTACGCTATGAAAGTAGGGCATGTCATCGTTTGGAAATACTTTATAAATATTATTCTTCCATCCTTCAGTTTCAATCAAATAATAAATCAATCCAGATTTTGAAACAACTTATTAGAGAAGAGATCGATCATTTAAATGAAAATCTAGATTTCCAACACTTTTTTAATTTAAATCAAGACACTAATTTAAAACAGAAGCGTTGTTTTCAGAATTATTATATGATCTAAACTTTTCCAAGTATTTATCTAACCTAGAATGGTATTAATTTATTAAGCCAGTTCTTTGAGTTGCTACTATAGTAAATAGAATGAATCTCATAAGAATAATTTTCATCTTATAATCTATTTTAATAATTGATTTAAAATAGATTAATTTCAGAATTAAAAATAAATAATATTCTACTTAGTAAATGTTGATTAAATTAAATTGTGTAGAATTATTTATTATTGAAAGGACATACATTAATAATTAAACTTCGTAATTTAATTTACTATCATTAAAGTCATAAATTCATTTTAATATATTTCATATATTGCTGTTAAATTGAATTTGTGATTATTAATAATATAAATTCAAATTTTAAACATTCAAAAAGATGAAAGTGATTCAAAATCCAACTTAATATTTCTTTGAATAATCTAATAATCCATCTAATGAATATCTAGATAAGATTAATACTTTCATTGGAAAATTAATAAATCAAAAATCATGTTTATTATGCAAATAAGACTATAACATCAAAGATAGATTACCTAGAATACTCATTCATTGTGGACATACTATTTGCACATAATGTCTAAGCAATTTCTATAAGTTTATTTTATAATATTAATGAGTCTTAGAAACAGAAGAGTTCGATGTCCACTTTGTTTGAAATTAGTAAAACATCTTGATTCAATTGATAGATTACCTGTATCAATATTATATTAAATTTAGATAAATCACACAATATTTTCCAAAATGGCTGAAGAAATAAATAAAAAGAGCAGATTTCATGGAGGTACTGATGTGATAGATCCATAATAATATTTATTCACATAATTTCAATAATCAGCAATCTAAGCATAGAAAATAAGACAACAACAATAAAATCAATATCCTTAGATTGATCCTGATTCAGGACTTGAATATTGTGAATTTCATAATGATAGAGTAAAACATTTCTTTTGTATGAAACATAAAGTTACCTGTTGTAGAGCATGTTCTGAAATGATTCATTAAAATAAAGTAATTATTATTATAATCTTTAAGGATTGTATTGTTGTTGATCTTTATGAAATTGAGGATGTTCCAGCATTTTTAAATGAAGCTTATAAATTAAATCAAGAAAACAATAGTTAAAATCAAAATATTTAATTTTTACCAGGTATTCTTTTCTTTTAATTAGATGATGATAATAATTTTAATGATGATGATTTAGAAGGTGAGTTTGCTCAAAATGAAAGTCTATAAAGCTTATGATATTAATTAACTATAAATCTATCATGGATACTAAAATTAAGGATCTAACTCTTTTTATATTCCATTATTGTTTATTTATTAGATTCTTTATACATAATTGTCCAATATATTTGTCCTGTTTTATATTTCTAATTCTATTTGACCAACAACTTGGTTACTATATTTAACATCCTTCTTAAGAATGCATCCTAATAACTCCTTGCTATTTAGAATTGTTTCAGCTATTAATTCTGGTTCAGCTCTAGAATTAAACTAATAGTTTTATCTAAATTTATACATCTAGTATTTATAACTTGATATCCTCTCCATCATCAACTTCAATTATTTATGTGTAATTCCATACAGGTTGCTTTTCAGCAGCTTTACTAATTGATGATCGGTATTCTTATTTTTTTGTGATTAATTTTACAAAAGGATTCTACAAATCAAAAAATTAAATAATACCATTTTACTAAAAATTCTTGTAGATCTTAATAGATTAGCTCGACTTAATGTAATTTTTCTTTTTTTAACATCCATTTAATTGTTGATTTTTTATTTTTTATTATATTTATTAATTTTTCATTTTACATTACTTTCTATTCATTCTAAAAAATATTCTAGTATTCCTAAATAGTCCTTGCTATTTTTTTGTTTTACTTCTATATTCTAGGGATCATAATAATTACACTAAAAATACTTAAATGCTTAGGACAATATGTATTGAAATTGATAATATTGTTAATCAAGATTATAGTGAATAAATTGCTTTAGTTAAGAATATCCAAAAGATGTTCTTATTATTCTAAAGAAAAATTTTTAATTAATTGTGATTATTCAATTGCTTAGATTCATTGATATAGTTAAATTATTATTTTATTAAATTAGATGTATTCATCCAAAGAAATTATATAATTACTTAAATTTTCTATTTTAGTCAACTGAAGGTAGCCTAACAAATAGTCATTTTATTTAAGGATTAGACCTTCAGATTAAATTAATTATCAAAAATCATCAGAATATAATAATTAATTAGAATTAATTGATCACTCTTTTTTGAATGAATTTTAGATAAGCATAATAATATGTTTATATTGTTAATATGATTGCTAATTGTCATTTGACAGTTGTTGTAGGTACTCCATCTCCCAAAGCTTTAACTTTTTCCATTAATGAGTCATCAACAACAGTACCGTCTACATTTTTTAAGGTGTTTATCCTTTTGAGAACGAGCAATTTAGGATCATCCTTTTAGTTCTCGTAAATAGGATTTCCTTTTAAATATATTTAAAGAATTACCTACAAACAAAACATTTGCTATTTCTGGAAGATCTTTCAATTTATCAACTTCATCCCATACTTTAATTCTGTTATTACCAATATAAAGTGTGTGTAATTTAACGCATGGTTATAGACCATCAAGTCTTTCAATATAATTATAACTCAACCATAGTTCTTTTAATGTTTATCCTATTTCTTCTAATCCAGCTATTTTCTTTATATTGTTTCTTGATAATGAAAGGATTTCTATTTGTCTTAAACCAGGCAGATTGACCATTTTTTCTATAGCATTTGAAGAAAGGGATAAGCGTTTAACTTTAGCCAATGTATTTAAAACTGGTGGATCCAATTTGTCAAGAGGTGGATTTTAGAATATCAATCTAATATCTTCTGCTTCAGATGGTTGTTCACCTGGATGTTCTTGTTCCCAATTTTAAAGAGCTTTTGCACAGGTTGTCTTTGCCATTTGATAATTTATAAAAAATTTATTATTATTTTTGAAGTTCTAAAATTATGTTTAAATATATATGCTTAAAAGATACTTATTAAAGGAATAAAGCTTAGGAATTAAAACTGATATTAAAGTTGTCAGTAAATCAATTTATTTATATACTATAATTCATAAAAATTCAGTTAATTGTAAACAATAATTCATTTAGTAAACAAAAAAAGGTATTTTTGTATGAATATTGATATCAATAAAAGTGTAGAGTTATTAATAAAAAATAGAAATTAAAAAATGAATATCATTGAAGATTGGAGTGAGTTTCGAACTTTGGGTACAATTTATATTTGAAAAAGTTTGTTAGTTAATATAATATATATATATATCTGTATTATAACAAATTTTTGATATTTGAAGGGAGGGTATACTTTGATTGGTTATGTGTTTGTATTATTGGATAGTTGATTAATATAAATTAGTAATGAATTCATTATTTTATTTATTAAATAACACTCTTTTTTGGAGTAAAGAAATAAGAGAAAGGTATGGTTTCATTGCAAGAATATCTCTTAATATTCTTTTAACATTCCTATATACATTTATATTATTACAATTACTTAATATTACTTTAGGAATGAGTGAAGAAAATTAATTGAATGCTGATAAAAACTTAAACAGAAATAATCTTGAGAAAATAATAAAGTTAGATAAAAAGAATGGGAATTTTGATATTTATGATAAATATTCTAAGTATGTTCAATTTTCAATACAAATAGACGGAAACTAAAAATAAGAACGTCTTAGAATAATTCACACATCAACAGTTCATATTAAAATGAATATATTTTGTGTTATTTTTGGAGACACATTAATTAAGTATACTTCAAAAAAATTGATGAACCTGAATAAGAGCGACTTGATTATCTTAAGGCCATGAATGAAGATATCTTACACACTGAATTTCCTGTGAAACATGCAGATTATAAGTTTTATTAAGCAAGATAAATCTTAAATAAGTAGTATTTGAAATCAGAAAATTCTACTTATTAGGAAAACATTTTAAAACATATTAGATTAAGTGGACTCATTCACAAAGCTAAGGATTTAAAAATACCTTAAATTGATAAAATATATTATATGAAATAGAAATCTATGGTCAAATTTAAATAATAAAATATTAGGTATTATTTTATTAATAAAAGTTCGTTAATTTAAGAAAATATTTAATTAGATAAACTATTAGATAAATTGAATGAACAAATAGAATTAAGAACTGGTTAAAAAGATGAAATATTTTAATAATTATAAGAGTATTCTTCAGAATTATAACTAATCAACAAATAAAATAAAAAAGATTTATAAAATTTAAATTAAAAAATTAAATCAGAATAACCATTAAATGTCTTTGGTACATAGGTAAATATATATAAGTAAGCACGTAATAATAATAATGGATTGAATAAAAACAAAATTATATATAATAATGAAGCCTTACTAACTTATTTAAGAAAAAGTTTATAATAATTAGATTATAGATAAACTGCTGAATCTATTGTTAAAGTAATAAATTCAACTCATTCTATTAATGGCTATACATTTTGTGTAGTATTTGAATAAGCATTAAATTCAAATAATGTTAATATTGAAGAAGACTTAATGTATGAATTAGATAAGTTAAGAGATACATCATTATTTAAATTTTATAATATTCCATAAAAAACTAAGTATTCTCATATTGCTTAAAATGTAATTAAATATATAAATATATTAAAGTTCATTGGGATAAACTAAGTATAATATAATAGATAGAAACCAAATCCTTTAATAAACAAAAATCTTACAAAAGAATCTAAAATATCATCTTAAAATGAGAATGATTCCAATTTATTAAATTATGAGGCTTGTCATCATTGTAAAATGTTATTTAGGCAAGAATATTTAATATCTTGTAATTATAAAAGTAGTACTATGGGATTACCAATAATAAATTCATCAATAACTGATTCTTATTTATTCTCATAAAGTATTAATTTTAATCAATAATTTAAGTGGATGACGAAGGTATAACTAATAGAAGATAAGTACCAAACAGAAAAAAGACAGCCTATAGTATATATTCAAAGAAAAGTATCATATTTATTAAATAATTATTAAGATGGTGAATTAATTTGTCAAAGGTAATTCTGTAGAATGTGTTTGAAATAGAATTATGATATTAAAATTGAAGAAGTTGCTTAGAAAACTGATTGGGTATGTCCTTTTTGTTAAGTATATCTTTATTAAAATATAAATAGGCAATTTGTTTTTGTTCAAGATGCTAAAGAAATGATATTATGATTAAATTGAAAGATCTGTTTACAATTTGTGGTGGAGATCTTGAATAATTAACCAAAGATTCAATTTTTGAGAAATATGTTAGACCATTAACTGAAGAATAAATATATAAACGAAAGCCAAGTCAATTATAAGTAAATTTTGTATTTATGTTATAGAGAACTGGTTACTCTATTGTAAAATAGTAATTGAGTCACTTTAGAGATATGTAAACTATAAGGCTTGATTTTGAAAATCTAAGATTATTATGTTCTTAAATATTAAGAAGAGAGAAAATGAAATGGAAATTATTAGAATAAGATATTCTTATGTGGAATGAGGATATCAAATCAAATTAAATCAAGAATAATAAAAAAAATGAAAAGATTAATAAGTTAAAATCAAAAACTAAGCAAATCACTAAGAAAATATAGAAGTATATTCTCTATATATCTAATAAGATAGGAGATTAATTAATTTTAAGAATGTTCACCTTCATCTTCATCTAGCAGTAGTGAGTATTTCTAAAGCAATGAATATGAATCTGTAGAAAATCTAAACTAAATTGACAAGAAGAAATAAATAACTAAATCGAAAATGAATATAAAATCTAATTAAAAATAGAAAACATAGAAATAACAACCAATAAATTAGATATAATAGAATTATAAGTCTTTTCCAGCTAAAAATCTCAAAAGAGAAGTTGCCTATCTTTTATAATATCAGGATACTGATACTTACAGTTTAATTCTTAAAAAAATCAAATAAGATCAAACAAAGAACTCATGCAGGAAATGATAATCAAATTATTAATATATAAAAATAATAATAGTTATGAATTATCAATCAAAAAATTAAATTTGTCTACTATTCATTCAATGTAAATTTTATTTAAACATAATGCTTATTACGTTTACTGTTAAATTAACCATCCAATTATATTGTTATATTTAATGTCATCTTAAATAAGATGAGTTATTTATGTACATTAATATTAGATTATTTTTCTTTATTAAATTATTTAAAATTTCAAATAATTAGACAAATGAGATCCAAAAACAACACATTTTTTGATTTTCTTTATTTTATAAAATTTATCTTCAATTTTAAGAAAATTCAAATTTAAGCCTACAAAAATAAATTTAATATTCTCAAAAAGATCTATTTGTCTTCCTAAATTAAAAAATTCAAAATTGATTGGACTGAAACTTTAAGTTAAATTTTTAGATTAATCAATCTTTTTATCCATTTTAGATTTCTTCATAATATAGTATATACTATTGAATTCTTATTTCTGAAATAAATTTTTAGACACTATTAACTATATTTAAGTATATAAAAAAAGTTATTGGCTAAATCTACTTTTTCTATCAAATAAATTGAACATATATATTCAATTCTAAATAGTATAATTCATCAAAATAATTGATAAATCCATATATAAAACTCTTCAATAATAAAGACTAAATTCTTTTGATAATTATTAAATATTTAACAAATCTAATTTCTACCTTCATTATTAATATCCTTGTTATTGATTTTTATAAACTAATACAAATATCTCTAAAAAATTTATGTTTTCTTATAAAATATCAACATTGTTAAATGAGGATTTAAACCTGCTATAAATTTGAAAATGAAACATCTTAATTAATTATCAATATGAAGAAACCAAAAAATCTTCAGAGATTCTATTTATGAAATGGATTTTTTAAAACATATATTCAAGATTAAAATTTACTTCCATATTGTTAATTATTCGATTAACTTTAAGAATTAATATGAAATTGCATTTTTGTATAGTCTTTGGTATACTTTGTTAAAATTGTATTAATGGGATAATTTAATCATTTGCACTATCGAATATACGCTGAATACTATTCTTTTTCTGTTATAGAGGAATATATGAAGAATATATTATATTATTTTAATTAATGTCCAAAAAATAAAGCAATGAAAATGCAGATAGATATTAAGGTGATGCTGGCAATTTCTAATCCTTAGAAAGTGATGATGGGCCAGGACCAATGAAATGTAATTATAAAAATATAATTTTTAGCTATTGAAGGATGGATTGTCATTGTTAAAGGTATACATGAAGAAGCTTAAGAAGATGATGTGTTTGATGCATTCAGTAAATATGGACCAATAAAAAATTTACATTTGAATTTAGATAGAAGAACTGGATTTGTTAAAGGGTATACATTACCTAATAATAATTTATAGATATGCATTAGTTGAATTTAATGAATATGCTCATGCATCTGATGCAATTAATGGGATCAATAAATCAGAGGGAATATGTGGTAAAAAAGTTCAAGTTGATTGGGCATTTAAAAAGCCTCCCAAGAAAGGAGCATTAAAATAAACTAAAAAATAATGATTTAGAATTTATTTGGTTTTTAATAAATAAATAAGAAGCAGAAACATTATGATAAAATTTAGTTTTTGTAATATATTGATGTTTCTTTCAGTTCTTTATATATTTTCATTTGATTATTAAATATCATACATATCTAAAATAATAATTACTATTTTTATAATTAATATATATATTTATATGGGTAGGTAATACTAAATTTAATTATAATAAAGATATTTGATTTATATTTTGAGTAAAATGCAATTATATATCATTAATTGTCGATGTACAATCACATTGATTCAAGATCATTTTCTAATAGATTACGGCCTAAAAATGTAGTATAATCAATTTATGTATTCTATTTACTCTTCAACCTTCTTTTAAAGATAGGGTTCTTGTGAATGATGTATTCCTCTTCTAAATCAAAGAGAGTTCTACGAGAATTATGTTTAGAACTTTGATCTTAATCTAATTACTCGAAGGTGGGAGTGGAAGGAGTTTATGGAGTGGATGGTAAATTGAGTGTACTATATGTTAAATTTTACATTGTATTTTTAATTAATAATTATATATATACTTAATTTAAATTCAAATTATTGGAGCAACAGAAAGGTATATTCTTTATATACATGATTATCATTTGATCAAATCATATTATTGACTGCACTATTTCTTATATTATAAATTAAATTGGTAAACAAAACTATAACAGTTTTATCTACCCACAAATACTATTTAAATTTTAAAGATTATTAGTTTACTGTTCATAATTAACATAAGAGTGAATAATAGAATAAGATTTTGGAAATACTCATATATTTAAATTATGAGTTTGGTGATTATTTATAAATTTTTGGGATGTAAAAATGAGCAAAAAATTAATTATTCTAGTTTAGAATTATGATTTTTTTTATAGATTTTTTATTAATATAATAGTAGATATTTTATAAGATGTTATAGGCTTATCATAGACACAAATATTCAGTAAACGAAATTAATTAATAAAAATGGAAATTAATGAATTCTTTTTGTATTTTGCTAATATCTATAATTATAAAATCATTTTTGAGAGTAGAATAAAATAAATAATTTTTCTTTGGAGAACTCTAAATTAATTTAGTTATTTTAATTATTTTATAAGCAATATAAATCATCTAATATTGCTTATAAGTTAGATTAAATTAATATAATTATTATTACTTTTTAGTAAAACATAAAATATTTAAGAAGATTAATATAGAATGGAATATTATAATTATATAATGCATTCAATTAAAATATAATTAAGTGATGAACCAGAGTTATCAGGCGTATGTTGGGCTTTGTTGTAAGCATTTACTGAGAATTCTCGAGTATTACGACATTGTTCAGGAGGAGGCAATTAAACATAAACACAGAATAATTTTGGGGATCATTAGTTAGAGTCTGATATCTAGTGTGAAGTTAATATCAATAGGGAATTAGAGAAATGTGGATTTGTGAGTCATAGTGCAAACGAAGAGAGTCCTGAAGTAATAATAATTAATATTATTTAGATGAAACAACTATGTGAAGGAGGTAGATATATTGTCACATTCGATCCTTTGGATGGAAGCTCCATTATAGGCACAAATTTTACAGTTGGTACCATAGCGGGTATTTGGAAATCAGATGATAGCCTATTAATAGGAAAGAGAGGAAGAGATCTAATATCTGCTTGTTGTTGTTTGTATGGGAGTAGAACAACTGTTATAATTTATAATTAAAGAGAAGATAAAGTTTAAGAATACACTTTATTTGGTATATTTTATTGAATAATATATTTAGATAGTGATAAATAAGGACATTGGGAATTAACAAAAGAAAATATAAAAATTAAATAAAAGGGAAATATCTTTAGTCCTGGGAACTTACGAAGCATAATCAATCATAATGCTTATAGAGAAGNTAAATTAAATTGGTAAACAAAACTATAACAGTTTTATCTACCCACAAATACTATTTAAATTTTAAAGATTATTAGTTTACTGTTCATAATTAACATAAGAGTGAATAATAGAATAAGATTTTGGAAATACTCATATATTTAAATTATGAGTTTGGTGATTATTTATAAATTTTTGGGATGTAAAAATGAGCAAAAAATTAATTATTCTAGTTTAGAATTATGATTTTTTTTATAGATTTTTTATTAATATAATAGTAGATATTTTATAAGATGTTATAGGCTTATCATAGACACAAATATTCAGTAAACGAAATTAATTAATAAAAATGGAAATTAATGAATTCTTTTTGTATTTTGCTAATATCTATAATTATAAAATCATTTTTGAGAGTAGAATAAAATAAATAATTTTTCTTTGGAGAACTCTAAATTAATTTAGTTATTTTAATTATTTTATAAGCAATATAAATCATCTAATATTGCTTATAAGTTAGATTAAATTAATATAATTATTATTACTTTTTAGTAAAACATAAAATATTTAAGAAGATTAATATAGAATGGAATATTATAATTATATAATGCATTCAATTAAAATATAATTAAGTGATGAACCAGAGTTATCAGGCGTATGTTGGGCTTTGTTGTAAGCATTTACTGAGAATTCTCGAGTATTACGACATTGTTCAGGAGGAGGCAATTAAACATAAACACAGAATAATTTTGGGGATCATTAGTTAGAGTCTGATATCTAGTGTGAAGTTAATATCAATAGGGAATTAGAGAAATGTGGATTTGTGAGTCATAGTGCAAACGAAGAGAGTCCTGAAGTAATAATAATTAATATTATTTAGATGAAACAACTATGTGAAGGAGGTAGATATATTGTCACATTCGATCCTTTGGATGGAAGCTCCATTATAGGCACAAATTTTACAGTTGGTACCATAGCGGGTATTTGGAAATCAGATGATAGCCTATTAATAGGAAAGAGAGGAAGAGATCTAATATCTGCTTGTTGTTGTTTGTATGGGAGTAGAACAACTGTTATAATTTATAATTAAAGAGAAGATAAAGTTTAAGAATACACTTTATTTGGTATATTTTATTGAATAATATATTTAGATAGTGATAAATAAGGACATTGGGAATTAACAAAAGAAAATATAAAAATTAAATAAAAGGGAAATATCTTTAGTCCTGGGAACTTACGAAGCATAATCAATCATAATGCTTATAGAGAAGTACTTGAGTACTATTTTCATAATGGATACACTTTAAGATATACAGGTGGAATGGCACCAGATATCTGTTAAATATTCTTGAAAGAAATTGGAGTTTTTTCTCTTTTTGGTGATGAGAAGAATCCTTGCAAATTAAGATATTTGTATGAATGTGCTCCATTAGCATTTTTAATCGAAAAGGCAGATGGAAAATCATTCAATGGTTAGTCTTCCGTATTAGATACAGTTATTAATGGATATGAACAAAAGAGTGAAATTGCTGTTGGAAGTGCTGAGGATATTGAATTCTTTATATAAATTTGGAAAAAGCATGGATTATTGAAATTTTGATTGGTTTAGCTTGAATTATATATATAAATATTGATATTTAAAATTATCATAAATTATTCAAAAACTTATTTTTATACAGTTTGATTTTTTCTTTATTAAACTTTTATGAATCTAATTTCCTTTTGAATATTTCAACAATCAAATTTTAATTATAATCTTCAAAAGAAACTTTGGATTTCTAAAATATTCTGCTTTTTTGTATCCTCTAAATAATTAACTAATAATAGAATACATCATTTTTTGCCACTGCATTAATCTTATCATTAATTTCTCCAAAATCAATCATATGCGTAATTTCAATAACTCCAGCCTCCACTAAACTTATTGGTCCTATTTCAACTAAATAAAACACTAAAATATCTATAAGATCTTATTAATTTCTATAAGTTTATGGAATGAATCCATGATTACCAAGAGTTGGTTAAATGTTAACATATTATTATAGTAAGTGATTATAAGTAACCAAGACTTCAATTATTGAATTATCCTTATATCTTTGATAGCTAACCAAATTATTTTTTGTAAGTTGATATGCTTTTAAATTCTAAGCAAGTAAGGAGGATTCCATTTTAACTCATTTGATGAAAGTGATATAGAATTAAAAAAATGTTAGTAGTAGAGATATCAAAGGTTTATAGCTTCTTATTTACTTTGGCATTTTGGTTCAAAGGAGTTATAGGATTATCATAGGTACAATTTTAGATATATTAGATATCTTCATTAGGCTTATTGATAAATTGAATTAAAAAAATGTAATGAAATATATTGAATTCAAGGATAACAGATGTAAGCAATATGTATTTCTATTTGGGTTAAACTGAGTGAAAATTAATTTAATTTAAAAATAAAGGATTTCTTATAGAATGATATAATCTGACAATCAGATCAATTCTATCTATCATTTATTTGAAAAAGTATAAGGGTTTATGTTGAATTTCTTTGATAGTTCATATAGAATATCTAATTATGATTATAGCATATGATAATTTTATATTTAAATTAAAATTTGAATATAATTCTAGACTAATTTAAGAAAATATATGATGTGAAAGTGAATAAAAGTCTTTTAGATCCAAATTTATCTTTATCAAGAATTTAATCATACAAATAGAAAGAATTTATTTAATGATAATTATAATAGCGGAGATTATTCTATTATATAACATGGTATGAAAATTCTTGATTTTGATATTTTGATTTACATTACAAATATTCATGAGTTGTAGTAAGAATTAGAGATTTAAAATGGATAACAGCAGGAATAATTAAATGTTTGTTTATTTTTAATATATAAATTCATCAATAAAATAATTGAGATATTTAATATTTAAATTATTAAACTAAGTCCGATTAGCATAGAAAAAGTAATATCTCCTCCTTCTTCTTTCATATCCCTCTCATATATTACAAAGTGTTGATTTTTTTATTCTTAGTGAATACGTCGAATGATGAATATGCTTGGAATTAACATTAATAGGATGGTAATAATTTTCTTTTTTGATTTATCTCCCTCTTTTAGATCTTCCTCGAAATCAATTCTTCACGCCATCTATGCCAGCCGAGAAGAATATAGAGAAGAATAAAAATTGCAAATTGCACATTGGAAACCTTCCTCTTTAGATTACAGAAGAGACATTACATCGTGTATTCTCCAAATATGGTTAAATTAAAGAAGTTAAGATCATTCGCAAAAATAGTTAAGGGGTTTAGTTTTTTATATATATTAAATAAGTAACCACTAAAAGATTACTGCTATGGGTTTGTTCTTATGTGTGATGGTGATGGAGCTTAAAATGCTGTCACAGAGTTGAAATAAAACAGTCCTTTGGGTACTACATGGACAGTTGCTTTTAGTAAAGATAAAAATGATGTATGCTTCTATGTTTTTGTATTCTTTTCTTAAGGATTCTGCTGGTGCCGGTCATTAGAAATCTGATAAAAAAAAGGATGATAAGATTAAAAAGAAAGAGAAATCAAAAGAGAGATTAAAGAAAGATAAATCTAAACCAAAAAAGAAAGTTGTATTTTTTAATTAATAAAAGAAGAAGAAATCAGAATCATCGTCCTCATCTGATTCTTCAAGAGCAAGATCTGCTAAAAAATAAAAAAAATAAAAAAAGCGTAAACATTCTAGTTCATCTGAATCATCTTCTTCTAAATTGCCACCTAGAAGTGCTCTAGTTAAAGTTGAGAATAAGGATATAGCAGATATAGTATTTTCAGGTGGCGATTTATAGTCTCATCTAATTTTTTAATAAGTATGTTAATGTCTAAAAAATAAAGTAGCCATAATAATAATATCAAATAACTCATCATGTATATGTAAGAGAGTTGTTTATATCTGGAATACCTCAATCTAAGATTTCTGCTGATATATAAAGAATCTTTTCTGCTTATGGTATTGTAGAGAGAATTGATATTGTTCCTAAATAATTAGTCAATTACGCATATGTGAAATTTAAGAGATTGGAATCAGTTCTATAAGCTATGCAAAATTCATAATTAATAGCAGAATAATTGGAGAGTGCAGGATAAGTTAAAATATATTAATCTGATCCATTTCGTAGAGTTTAAATTGTAGGCAATGCTGAAGATAGTGAAAGAGTAAAATAATATAATAAATTATTAGGAAGAAGAAATGTGGCCAGTTATGTTCATAGGTTTTCCTCCAAATTAAAATTATGTTTTGGATGAAAAGTTTTTAAAGAAAATGGCTGAGAAATTTGGAGGTGATGTTAAAGGAATATAACATTTCTAACCTGATTCTCCTTAATTGAGATCTTATGTTCTAATTGAATTCTCATTTTTAAAAGATTGTAAAAAAGCCAGAAGAAAATTCTGTAGATATAAAATACAAATTTTGGGTGATAAAAAATGTGATGTAGCTATCTTATCAAATTATCCAGCTAATCTATAAAATAAAAGATAAACTAATATGTTTATGTAATAACCATTTGGAATGGGTAATATTATCATTATATAATTAGATTATATGTAAGTTAATTAATAAATACCTATGCATTAATAAATGGTATAAAGATAAATGCCATAATAAGTATAAATGCTCGCTCCTTATTAAAGTTAACCTATACCTTAATAACATATACCTCCTCCTAATTTATCAAATATGTATGATTACAACTAAATCCCTATGTTATATCCTCAATAATAATAAAATTAATAGCAAATGATGTATATGAAAAATCAATAACAATAATTGTAAATTCCTGCTCAAACTCCTGTTTAATCTCAATTTAGACCATAACCTCAACCAGTTCCTTAAACTTAATAACCTCCACAATTACAATATTATTAATAGCTTAATCCTTAAGCTTAAGCTCAAAGTTATTTACCATAATAATACCCAATGGATATGATCATCCCTCCTCCAACTATAAAATAAGATGAAATCAATTCACCCTTTTGGTGTGGTTATATGAATAGAGGGAAATAACATCGTGTTGGAATAGATGCAAGAATGCATAAAATTAACATAGATATAAAGAAGAGTAATATTAATTATTTATTTAGTTAATTTGCCATCTAATTTAGAAATGAGTTATAAATGTACTTATCAAGATGCTTATCAGAGAGCAGGTTAAGAATAATCAGCCATTTTAATATTTAGTCCTGCTTAAGAGACAGACTTTCCAAAATTTACTGAATATGTATAATACTTAAGAAATAAGGTATTAATTAATTAATAGTATTTTAGTAAAGAGCTGGTGTAATTTAAAGTGAAACATTTACAATTTATGTTATTCCTCCAGGAGTATCAGAGGCATAACTAATTTGCAATATCAATTAATAAGAGATGATAGCTATCTATTGTCATAAGGAATAAAAATGATAGATTTATAGATAAATAATAAATATAAAATTAGAATCAAACTTTTTATTAATCTTATTTTTAGATTTTTGTTTTTATTTGATCTCTAATTTGTTTTTTTAATTTATTCTACATCTATATTGTTCCTTCCATACCAATTATATTAATAGTTATTACATCAGGTTCTTAATCCATAATCACTCCAAGTTTACAACTATTATCCATATTTCTAATCAATTGATTCATATGTATTTCTTCATATTCCTATGAAATATTAGTTTCAAATGTCATTTCAAAACTCTCAGCAATAATTGAATTAAAGAATTTTGTTACAGTTTTACGAAAATTCTTATCATTCTAAATATTCCTAAATCTAAATTAATTTAATCCTATTTATTCTATCTCTGTAACTCCTAATTTTGTATATACTTCTTGTCCATAAGTAGATGCATTTGAATTTAGTTAATAAATATTCCTAAAATATAAATATTATTTACCTTTACAAAAATTGACTTTTCATATAATCTATCATCTATTACTCAGACACATGTTATTTATTTAGATATGGATGCTACAACACTTAATCTATAGTTGGTCTTTTATCTGGAATGTTAGTTAGCATTCTTTCAATAAGATCTTTGAATTCTTCCTCTATTGTTATTTTTACTTTGTTTTCCTGCTCAACAAATTATTCAAAATAGGTCCAAAATTATTTTGGTTACTTTAATAGATCTAAATAAATAGGATTATTCATATCCAAATGACCCTAAATATTTTTATATTATAAATACATCACCAAATGGGTTAACTCCTGATCTAATCCCAATAAATGAACATCCTAATGAAAAGATATCTGCTTTTTTAGTAGTGTATTTCTCACCAATTTATACTTCTGGTGCCATATATCCCTTAGTTCCTTAGATATCATTTGATTCAGGGTTAAACTCAACCAAACCAAAGTCAGATAATTTTAGGATAAACTTTTCATCTAAAAGCATATTTTCAGGTTTTATGTCCATATGAGCTACATTCAAATCATGCAATATTTTTACAGCTTCCTATTTATTTATAATTTACCTTTAGTTATTTATAGTATGTATGCTGAAGCTATTTGTTCTGGGAGCCAAGGATTTTCACAAAGAAAGTCTGTCAAATTACCTATTATAATTTATATTTCATAAACTACCATTTTTAGCAAACTCTAAAACCAAAAGAAAACTAACTGAGGTTTCATTTCCTAATTTTAGAATCTCCCTATATATTGAGTAAATTTAAAATACACTATTCGATTAATATGTTAAAAATCTTGAGTCGATTTGCCTTAATTTATTATATTCTCTATTGCTTATAGAAAATAGGCTTCTTTTTAAAATATCATAAATAAAGGATGATTTTGATTAGCTTATTCGATTTTAATTGATTTGTATTCCTTAATTGCTACCTTAATTGATGGATTATCTATTCTCGATGCTTCAAAAACGCTTAATTTATTCACATTAAATACAAAGAAGTTTTTCCTTTTCCCAAACATCTTACTAAATTATATCTGTTTTGTATTTGATTCATAAAATTATTTTATTTATATATTTTTTTTAAAAAAGAAATTATTACACTTATTGTAAGAAAATTATTTTATAGAATGATAAAATTTAATAATAAAAATTTAATCGTTAAATGGATTACTAACAAAATCAGTGTCAACATATTGATCTTATTCCTTTTAATAATAAGTTCTTTTGTAAATCATGTGGAATTCATATGCCAGAAGATGGGAGTATTGGAATTAAAGCTATGAACTTTTGTTTTCCAGGTTATCTTAATCCAATACAAAATCTAAAAAAATAATGGAATAGAGCAGTTCCAATAGGATCATTACCAAATGAATATTAAAAAGTAATCATCATTAAAATATTGATAGTAACGTTTGTCTTTAATTGATTATATGATAGAATGGAGTGAAAAATTAAAATTGTCCATGAATTCTTTATTTCTTGCAGTCTAATTTTTAGATTATTTTGTATCATAAAAGAAAGTGGATCCTGTTTAATATAGATTATATGGTGCTACATGTCTTATGTTGGCAGGTATCCATTTCTTAATACTTTAGCCAAATCAATTGAATTGGATGAAAGAATCCCTTTTATAAGTAAATTAAGAAGATATACCTATTTACCTTATGCAACATTAGATTTCAGAAGATGTGAATGCCAAATCATTAAATAATTGAATTGGAATCTTCAATGCACTACTTTAATTGATTGGGCTGAGGCAGTGATCTCTTTAGGAATAGTCTATTAATAGGATGAATTAGCTCAATCTGAAAATATTCTTAAAGAGAAAAGTACTAATATTCTTTAGCAATAAACTAATTAACAGATTAAATAAGATATATTTAAAGAACATTTAGATACAGTCTTTAAATAACCTATTACAGCACCTAAATAGATAAATGAGAAGGTCTAAGAATAATTAATAAGATTATGTGTTTCAGTACTTAAAGATGGTTCTTATTTGGATAAGGATCCAGCAGAATTGACAGTTTCAGTAGTTGGTTGCGCTCGTAAGGCTAGTGGGTTGAAAACTTCAATGTAAAATTATCAAAAATAAAATAGACCAAAATGCTTGAATGAATTATTGGAAAATGTAGAACCTAAGTTTTAAGAGGGTTTAACTGATCACTTTATTAAATAAGTAAAATAGCCAACAAGTGTGTTAGGACGAGCATTTACAACAGACTTAGATTTTTTTAGTCTGTAAAATTACAAACATAGAATAGTATGATATATAATAGTTAATTATAATACTACAATGTATAAAATCATTTTAATTCATCAATTGTGTGGATAATTTTACTAAACTAGCTCTTTTTTAAAGGATCTTCTTTCATAGATTATGTAGATTTTCTATGATGGGGTATAATTTCTTAATGTGTGGTGAAGCATTCATGTTTTGGAGATATTATTTTAACTTCCTTTAGTTCATTCTTAAAAGCCAAACCATTATTGGCATCAAATCTAGGTGAAATTTATATGTAACATCCATTAAATTTATTCTTTGAACTTTCAGAACCTTAAGATGATATAGATGATTATCTAGAATGATTTGCTGATCGCAATGTCATTTATTTTTTATGTTTCATATTATAAATATATATTAGTGAAGGAATTAATTTATCTTGAGTTAAATTCCTTATTTCATCATTTGTTAGCTCAATCAAAAAGAAATGGTAATATTCTAATATTATTAAGAAAATACTTTTAACATCAGATCAATATTCTTAGGTATTTGTGTTGATTATATAAACAAACAAAACATACAAATCTTATTTTTGTCTAAAAATAAAAATTTTATTTTCTTCTTATCAAATATTATTTATTATAATATATCAATATTATGTTTTGTATTTTTTATTAATATATAATGCCATTATCATTCTTCTAGCATTTTCTTCCCTTTCTCTGCATACTCTTTATTGAGTTCTTCCCAATTTTCCAATACCATTTCAAATTGCTCAAAGATCATTGAATGTGTCAACCTATTTCTTGAAGGTCCAACTTCCATTGAATAAATCTTATGGGAAGTATTTGTTTCAACTGTTCTATTCAAATAAACTCCATAACTAAATTTGATATAATCCTTCATACACATAATGAGGAATCCAAATAATTGCTGCTAAACCAAATGAAAGTCTTGTTTCTCTTCCAATATAATCATCATACAATCCTCTGAACCACCAATGTCTATTTCTTACTGCAATAGCTGCTCCCATTTTTAATTAAATATATTTAATTAAGATTTTATTGAATGTATATATATATTATATGAAAATAAGGACATAATCAACAAAGTTCTTTAATTCATTTCTTATCTAAATCATTTATTAATTAGATTAATAGATTAAATAGAAAGAATATAATTATGAGATTGAGATTGAGAAAATAACTAATTTATTAAGTTTTTAATTATAATATAAATGAATACATATGAAGATGAGAAGAATAGAATAGCACTGAAAAATATCATTGATGAAAGAAATAAGAAGATTATCAAAACTCCATTACCTTAATTCTATTTAGATTAGGTTTGTGGAATAGCTGATAGACCAATTAGCAATCAGTTAACATTCATATAAGGAAGTATTGGAAGTTATATTAATTTATAGATCTAATTGTGTTTTATGCATCTAATATGATAATAGTTTAGAATGTTGAAACAGGATAATAATAATTTATACCAGGAAGATATAAAAATGTGACTGCAATTGCTGCTGCAAGTAGAAAAGATGGTTTAATGATTGCTGTTGGTGAAAACTTAGAATAATCATCTAATTTAGTTATTATTATAAAAGATAAAATAAGAACTATTCCATTGTAATGCAAAGGTGCTATTACATTAATATAATTAAATGTAGAGAAATAATATTGTGGATTACAAATATCTAATTAAATATAAATTTGGAATTATGAAAAGGAAAGATTATTAGCATCAGCTTTTGTAAAAGCACCTTTTGAAAAATTTAGTTTTCATCCTTTGAAACATAAACATATTTTATTATCTGGTCATAATTATTTAAGATTATGGGAAATGTAATTTTAAGAAAAATAAATTAAAGAAACTCATGAAACTTTAATACCACTCAAAATAGAAAAAGAAAATAAATTTTTAGATCATGGATGGGTTATGCTTTCAGCTAATTAAGCTTTATTAGTATTATTAGCAGCTGGTAATAAGATATTGATACTAATTAATGATCATTTCAAAAAACCTATTGATATTGATCCTTAAAATTTAAATTTTATTGATGCACCTGTATAAGATTTTAATGCAGAAGATAATGATGATGTTATGGGTATTAATTCTGCACTTGAAGATGTTATCAAAGATAAAGTTGGATAAATTGGAATGAACAATCAAACTAAATTAACATAAAATACAACTATAATGACATAATAATAATTAGAATTCTAATGTTTATCAACTACTAAAAAAGGATTTATTTTAGGAGGTACTAAAGGAGCTGTTTGTATTTATGAATTTGATAAAAATTATAATATTGTAAGTGCTATGTCATTTAATATGAAAAGTAATAGAGGTGAACATAAAGTTATATAAATATCTAATAGTGGTGATTAACTTATTTCTATAATAAGTTTATTTGGTAATCAATTATATTATAGTATTTTAAATACTGCTTAAATGGATACTGAAATTAGTCCTATCTAACCATTCTTTGCTGCAGGATTTCATAATAAAAGAGTTAATTCTATTTCACATGCTAAAATTAAATAAGTATTTGTTACTTGTTCAGAAGATAATTCTGTTAAAATTTGGAATTATTATTAAAATGAAAATAATGATAAAAAAGGAGTCTTAAGTAAATATTTCAAAGAAGAACCTGTATGTGCTTCTATGCATCCATTTGGTTTATTTGTAGCTGTTGGATTTACTAATGGATTTAAAGTTTTTGCTATCTTAAATGAGGGTTTCTTTCCTCTTAAAGATGTTACATTAAATAATTGTAAAATTGTTAAGTATAGTCATGGTGGACATATGCTTATTACTAATGAAAAAACAAATGTTTATATTTATGATGCAATTTATTATGAACTAATACATTAATTTGAATTTCATAATTCACCTATTAAAGATATTGCTATATCTCTAAATGATCAATATATTGTTAGTACTTGTACAAATGGATATGTATATTGTTATAATTTAGCAGAACTTAATAATAATGTT